CCTAGGAAAATAAATAATATTAAATACGCCGTAGGTGTTAACCCTCGGTACCTCTACAAGTACTCCCTTAAGGGGCTATAGATGATATAGCGGGCCCTTAAAGCCGCGTCGGGCGGTTATACAGGTAAACTTGTAGCCAAACGACTACTAAACCTCCTGTCCCTCCCTAAGTCTGTGCTACAACCCCTGCCTGAACTACTGATAAGTGTGGTAATGTGGCACTTAAATTCGTCCTCAGGGGTGGGATGCTGCTGATGTGCAGAAGATGCTCGACTATTTTTTTGTCGCGACAAGTCGTAGTATCTGCTAATTGGGGTTCTCGTCGAGCGTATACATCTCAACCATACGCTCAAGTGGATAGACCGTAACGTGGTCAGACGCTCGCAAGAATCGCGGCGAGAGGGCGTGCTGCGCGCCTTCTATCGTGAGGGGACGGGTTCGCCGACGAGCGTTATCGGAAAGGCGAGGTCCGATAAGGGGTCGGATTAACGATTCGAATTCTGGACCGGCTGTCGAGTTATATTCCGCCGACGTAGTGCTTGACGGTCGACTGGCTAGGATGCTCGTAATCCTAAACTGCACCAATCTCCCTATTATCGCTAGGTAGGCGAAGTCAACAAGGTGGGCAGCGCGCCGTAAGGGTTGACTAAACCCTCTTGTGTGTCAGCTGCGGGATTCGAACCCGCGACTCGTCACCGACCCAAGTGGGCGAGGCTCAAGTCGGGACTTATCTACCAGCGAAGTGACCAACTACACCAGCCGACTGAACAATATAACTATCCTAAGCGGACGTTGCCTCTAGAACAAAACACTGCAGATAGAGGTACTTATTGTGACAGGCTGTGCCTGATATGGGATCCGGAGCTGCAAGGACCGTGCGTCCGGATCCACCAAAGGAACCATCGAGGGCATACAAAACATAGTCCGTGTTCCCGGGACAACTCGCATATTTTACTTTTCTCCTCAGTTAGATAATTAACAGTATTTGGCCATGTTGAGCTGTATGTTTTCGCAGTGAGCCCGTCACACTTATATAGACTATAAGTCGCCCAATATAGTAGTACACTTGGTGCTAAGCTTTTCATAAATTCAATTTCAAGGCGCTTTTGACTTAGTGTCCTTCTAGAATCTTTTACCTTCATTGACATTCACAAAGTGGATGGACTAGAAATAATGTGCCAACATATCGGCTAAAGCCTCAAGATTGTTATCGAGAAAACACGCGGCAGTACGACAAGGCAAAGAGGTGTTTCCAGAAGCGCACCAACTGGATCGGCATCTTCGGTACTATGAGCGAGTGGTACGACAGGATGGAAAGGATCGGCTAGAATTAGGGCCACCTGCGTCTGGGATTCATTCGATTATGAATACAGGTATCTGAACCGTTTTTTGTAGGTTATCGAGCTTGAGTAACATAGGTTTCGAAACCTAAGAAACTGATTGCCCAAGTTAGGACGATCTCGTATTAGAGATTGGTTTCAAGGCATGCTTGAGCACATACCTCTAGAAATCTTGAAAAGATTTCAGAAAGTTTCAAAGCGTCTGAAATAGATGGAAACTATGTATCCTCTTATTGCATTCGTAAGACGCAAATTGCAGGTTGACTTCCTGTCTCATCGGAATCTGCCCATAAAACAGGAAAACACACTGGAATGTAGGTTACAGTTGGCCAGGGTCAGAAAAGGTTGGCCAGGGGTAAGGAGTGTGGCTAATTGAGAGATAGATGGGAATGAAAGCGCAGGAAACCCCAAAGACATCAACAAATCCGCAGCTCTTACCACAAACGCCATGGCGGAAACCTCCTATTCGAATGAAGTTTGGTCATTTTTAACCTGTTCCAATATACCCTTAATTCTCCAAGCCTCAAATGCCATGCTCAACTCGTGGAAGGATAGAGAATGCATTCGTGGTGTCATGTCATCCGGGCTTGGATGCTGCTGCTGATGATGACAATGATCATGATCTTGGTGCCAGAGGAAATCGAAATGTTCTTTCCTTCGGAGTCGGGATGCTGCAGCTACTGAGCTCAGCTTCCTCCTGTTCGCCCGTGAGACGGAGAATGAGGTCAATTAACAGAATTGGCGGTAGGGTTGGAAATAGACGAATTTAAATAGAATATACGGCAGAATAAAATTTCCAGCGAGCTACAGTGTATATGGGCGTCATCGAAAAAGATAAAGAAGGAGCTAACTTATACCGTTGGTAGCGCATGTCATGCTTCGTACTGGCCATTTCACTTGCCTCGTTAGTGATGGTAGACGGAGTTTCTATTTTGCCGTTGTAGATAGCGAGTAGTCCATGTACCCGGGTGAGCTGACTAGCAAGAACCAGTTGCTAAGTCTATATTGGACCCTTGTAACGGCTTAGCCAGAGCTCGTAATTTTCCAACTTGAACGCACCCAAAAGGGTAACGAATGAAGTTAGAGATTCGATTACCTTATGCTAAATTATTAGACATCAGGAGCTGCAGGACGGAAGCTATGAATGTTCTCGGGTGAGTAGCGTAAGACTGTGACAGCCTTAAGATAACAACTAGGCTGTCTTTGTTCATCGAAGTAACAGCTGGGAGGCTGAGCCATGGTCTCCCGGACACGACCCTGCTGTGTAAGTATGCGTTGTCCCCCTTGAAGTCGTCATGCATGATGGAAAGTGTGGGCTTTTTCAAAACGAGAGAATCAAGGTCGACAAATTTTTAAGCTTTCGATACGAACCAAAGCTCGAGCTCAGAGGGGCGAAGTATATGGTACGTAGCCACGGCAGCATCGTGGCTATCCAGGAATACATACCCCTTTAAGCCCGGAGATGCATACCAAAAACCCTGAACTACATATCCTCGATGTCCAGAGCCTTCTCTGGTCATACCGATTACCAGGGTGTAAATGTACCAGTGGGTTTCGATATATATGTACATTTCGATTGGCGTTATTCAGCTGCTATCTAAACTAATGCGATACGCAACACCACTATGCCATGAAGCCAGAGGTAGGGCACACATTACAAAGCCAGCTTGACCATTATATGTCGACGCCTGTGAATTATACAATCGATTTAACTAGGCTAAGTTAGTTATATAAGAACTCAAGACTGACTGGGTTGGTATCACAGGTTAACTGATTTCAAGAAGACGCAACAGCTCATAGTTATAGAAAAAACTAAATGTATTCTAACGTCACCCACAGGTCATTGCCCCACACGGGTCTTTGCCCAACTTTTCAAGAAATCTTGACTTTCCATCTTTACTTATACAATTCTTCCCTTCCACAACATGGCACGCAAATCTAGTGAAGCTAATCTTCAATTAGTCATCCAAACTAAACGACGCGATCCTCACCTAAGTTGGAACAAGCTTGGTAAAATCTTCAAAGTCGACCATAAGACATTGAAGCACCGTTATGAAGGCGTACAACCATTACACATTACTAACATGTCCAAACGGAAAATGACCGAAACCGAAGAGAATACGATTACCCGACGCGTAATTGAGCTAGATTCGCGAACTTTTCCTCCCCGGCTTCGATACGTTGAAGAAATGGCGAATATCCTCCGACGCAACCGCGACGCGTCACCCGTCGGCAAGAACTGGGCCTCGAGCTTCGTACGGCGACAACCAGACCTCCGGAGGCGTTTAAATCGTCGAATCGATTACCAGCGGGCATTCTGCGAAGATCCTGTCGCGTATCGCGGTTATTTTAAGCGTGTTACGGACACAATAGCGAAGCACGGCATCCAGCCGGAGGATATCTACAACTTTGACGAGACGGGCTTTTTAATGGGCATGATCTCAACCGGCATGGTCGTTACGAGTACTGAAAGACGTGGAAGGCATAGGCAAGCCCAGCAAGGCAATAGGGAATGGGTTACTGTCATTCAGGCGGCCAATTCCCAAGGCTGGGCGGTGTCGCCGTACATCATCTTCGCGGCCAAAGTTCACCTCGCTTCGTGGTATCGCGACACCACATTACCGGGCAATTGGGTCGTTGATCTATCCCACAACGGATGGACAACGAATGATATTGGTCTCGATCTGCACACACGCGATCGTATGAAGGGTGTCAAACGCTTCCTGATCCTTGACGGTCACGAAAGCCATCACTCGATGGATTTCGAACAATACTGCAAGGACCTTGACATCATTACCCTTCCTATGCCTGCCCATTCGTCCCATAAGCTCCAGCCTCTCGACTTGGTGCCTTTTAGTGTTTTGAAACGGGCGTACGGTGTGTTTGTTCAGGGTTTGATGCGACGGCATCATACCCACGTTGCGAAGGAGGATTTCCTTGCCGGTTTTTTGGAGGCGTTTGGCGCTGCTTTTACTGAAAAAACATCAGATCTGGTTTCGAAGCAGCTGGAATTGTCCCTTTTGACCCCGACAGGGTTATATCTGCCCTGGATGTCGCAGAAGTCGCGCGTGGACCCTCTGCCGACCCTACCCCCTATTTGGACTTCTAAGACACCTACTACCACCCTTGAAGCCGAATCGCAGTCAACGTTGATTAAGAATAGCGTTCAGAGGCATCAAGACAGCTCTCCGACGCATATTCTTCATTCAATTGACTCGATTGCAAAGGCTACGCATGCAATGATGCAAGAGAATGTTATCTTGCGTCGCGAGAACGAAGAGCTTCGTGAGACTAACCATGTGCTAAGAAAACGTCGCAGAACCAAAAACAAGCAAATCCAGTATGGTGGGCCACTTAATATAGAATATGCACAAGTTCTACGGGCTATTAGGGGTGATACAAGTTTGGAAAGTGAGGAAGAGGATGAAAGTAGTCGTCCTACAAGGAGGAGGGCAACGGGTGCTAGGCGCTGTGGCATTTGCGGAGGAACTGGACATAATGCGCGAACTTGTCAGGCAGGTATAGAAACAGATAATGAAAAGAATTCTGATTAATTTCTTGGATGAATACGGGTTGTTGTTGATCTATCTAAGATTAAAAGTTGGGAGGTCGTGAAAAGTTGGGCAAAGACCCGTGTGGGGCATTGACCTGTGGGTGACGTTAACTCCAATTTTCAACCGCGGCTAGACTCGACAAGGTGTCTGGATGCTCTGGCCCGAGTACTCGATCTCGAGCCAGAGAGCAATCCTGGATTAACGCTAAGGCATCTGCATGGCGACCTTGATCTTTCCAAGTAAAAGCAAGGTTGGCCATACTAGTCAGCGTATCGGGATGGTCCGCCCCGAGCTTCGTCTTGCTCGTCTCCATCACCTGCACCTCCAGCTTCTCGGCCTCCTCCCACCGGCCCTGGTTCCTGTACGTCGACGCTAGGTTGGCCATACTAGTCAGCGTATCGGGATGGTCCGCCCCGAGCTTCGTCTTGCGAGTCTCCATCACCTGCAAAAACAGCTTCTCGGCCTCCTCCCACCGGCCCTGGTTCCTGTACGTCGACGCTAGGTTGGCTATACTAGTCAGCGTATCGGGATGGTCCGCCCCGAGCTTCGTCTTGCTCGTCTCCATCACCTGCACCTCCAGCTTCTCGGCCTCCTCCCACCGGCCCTGGTTCCTGTACGTCGACGCTAGGTTGGCCATACTAGTCAGCGTATCGGGATGGTCCGCCCCGAGCTTCGTCTTGCGAGTCTCCATCACCTGCACCTCCAGCTTCTCGGCCTCCTCCCACCGGCCCTGGTTCCTGTACGTCGACGCTAGGTTGGCTATACTAGTCAGCGTATCGGGATGGTCCGCCCCGAGCTTCGTCTTGCGAGTCTCCATCACCTGCAAAAACAGCTTCTCGGCCTCCTCCCACCGGCCCTGGTTCCTGTACGTCGACGCTAGGTTGGCTATACTAGTCAGCGTATCGGGATGGTCCGCCCCGAGCTTCGTCTTGCGAGTCTCCATCACCTGCAAAAACAGCTTCTCGGCCTCCTCCCACCGGCCCTGGTTCCTGTACGTCGACGCTAGGTTGGCTATACTAGTCAGCGTATCGGGATGGTCCGCCCCGAGCTTCGTCTTGCTCGTCTCCATCACCTGCACCTCCAGCTTCTCGGCCTCCTCCCACCGGCCCTGGTTCCTGTACGTCGACGCTAGGTTGGCTATACTAGTCAGCGTATCGGCATGGTCCTCACCGAGTATGGCTTTCCTCAGGTTTGTTGCTTCAAGTTGGTGTTTCTCCGCACCCTCCCACTGCCCTGAATAGAGCAAGTATGCCGCCACACAGTGTAGAAGAGACGCTCTTGCGATTCCTTCGACTCCTGTGCTAGTGTTTTTGCTTCTTAGAACAGCATAAGCATGTGGAAGGTATTTGAGACATGCCTCCCGGGTTTCAAATCGTCCGTACGGATAAATATTCGATATCGTCTCGAGAGCATACTGCGCGAACTCGGCTGTCCTGCCCTTTTCGACTAGCCACTTACGCGTTACTAACTGTACCAGCCGGTGCATGTCTATACTTTGATGCTTATCCTCCGAGATGAAGGAAAACGCCTTCAGAGTGCCCAGGGCTGTAACGACTTCTGCTTCTTTATTTTCCCCCGACTCTTTCGGCTGTCTGCGACACCAGTAATTGACCACGAAATCTTCCGGAATAGCCTGGCGATCGAGTAGACTGATCAGAGATAAGACCTCGCTGGCAAAGGCATTCTGTCGCTCGATCTGCTCGAAGGAGATGATCCACGTTTCCGTGAGTGCGTGCGGCGTCTCCGAATCTCTACCGACTGTTTCAAAAGGCTCACTTAGGCGATCCACCAGACCAGAGTCACTTTGGTCTAAAAGCTGAACGTATCTACGAATGGACACGTCGTTTTCTTGAATGAACGCCGCCGCCTGCGCAAGTGCAAGCGGTAGATGTTCCAGCCGAGTCGAAAGGAGGGACGTTTCTTCAGTGGGGATTTCAGTATCCTCTAGAATCGTGCGTAGTAGCTGGCTTGCCTCGCCGTCGGTCATCCTGCCGATCTCGATCGGACGCTTGCCCCAGGTTTTGACGAGCAGTAGCACGTCGACTTTTGGATCATTGTATCCCGGGATGTTGCACTTCTGAGCAATGGAAGCAAACGCCTCGCGGAAACGTCCTTCGTTACTAGCATGAACCCAGAATATCGATATGTCCGGGCACGTATATTGGAGCCAGTAAACATAGGCCAAGGCAATTTGGGTCTTGCTGCGATGCGTCAGCCTGTGTAATACAGATGTCGCAATAGGAGTAGGTACCCAACACCACCTAGACCGTAAAGCGACACCCTCGACCGGGGCTTATTGGCTCCCTGGTGCTGGTCGTAACCTAGTTGTCGTCTAAGGTCGTTCAGAATCTCAGATCGGCCAAAAAAGCCCGGGTTTTCGATATACGGGACAAGGACTAGACTTATTTAATAATTGAATAAGTGCTAAAACAGCCCCATCTTCTACATACACTTTGCGTTTAAGGCTCGAATCCGGTGCCGTGCCGTCAGCGCCCGTCGAGAGATGCCCACGAGCCGCTCACGAGCATTGATATACTCGTGGTCGTGGCGCTCAAATTTGACCATGTTGGAGTGCGTGCGAGTTACGGCACAGATATGCTCTGGGCCGACTTCCCACGGTCGGCAATGCGTAGCAGAGAACTTTGTGACTAGGACTGCCGGTGGTCCGGTCATCGTCCAGTTACCAGCTTCGTCCTATTATTCATTAGCGTACATCTTGATGGATAGGAGTCGAATATACTTGTTGGGCCGTTGGCGACTGGACCGTTTCGTAGAAGCAGATAATCTCGGAGTCGCCTTCCTCACCTAACGCTTTATAAAATTCCCGCTGTTGGATGCTGAGGATCTGCGAATTAATCCGGCCGATGGACTCGATAAGGAAGCGATTTGGGCCGTCCCCAACCATAGGAATGAGCGCGCTGATATCCATGCCGTCATGCGGCACTCCGAAGAAGACAATTCCATATACTGCGCGAATAAGTCTCTCGTCATCCTCCCTCTTCGACCTCGATAATGTGATTAGGGTCTGTTACATGCGTTATGACCGTGTAGATAGCGTTAAATGTGTCGATCAACCCACCTGCTTGACGATCAGCCCTCCTAGGCTGTGGGCGACAAAGACGATTGGTCTGGTCATCGAAGTACGAGCTATTGAAAGCAAGCTGCCGTGAAACTGCGTTGCGAGGTCCTCCAAGTTCTGCATGCTCTTACTGTGCGCCACAGTCGATTCGTAGCCGTAGGTCATCACTCGCGCCATCGGACGGTTTGTGCCTTCCAGGGTAAGATCGTATGGGAGAGAGTCTCGTAACCACATGAAGTCGCTATGCCTGTGTTTGAACGACCCGAAAGCATGGCCACCAAGGCCCGATATTGCAATAACACTACCTTTTCCGCGGATTACTTTACTTACTTGATTTTGTGATCATCCGCCAGCGGGGTGAAGAGTGTAGTAACGCCGAGGAAACCATCGTCAAGCTTAAGGTTGTTCTCGGACAACTTCGGCAGTGTCCCATAGGTGATACTTTGGAAAGTTACGGTACCAGTGTGGGAACGACCGTCGATGTCGGGAAAGAGAGATCTGACGATTGGGCCTGCGGAGCTATCCTGGTCTACCAGGAATGATCGCAAATGGTCAACGTCCCAGTCTAGGGGCACACCTCGGATGCAAAATGTCCTGCCGTCTTTCAGTTGCCGAAGTCGCTGCTTCTCCAGGTGCACTGGTTCTGATACCGGCGGCGCATATTTCCTGAGAAGCCAATAACATATCAAAAGGGTGGAGATCGCGATGAAGGTCAGGAGGTAGAGCTGACCAGCATCGGGCACATCCATACCTTCGGACGAGGTGGATCATAGACTAAAAGCTTGAGTCGCTTGTGGAGCTGGGACAGGCTGTGGATGTTGTCCGTTTTGATATCGAGGTCGGGTGGGTATGACTGCAACGGCCGCCTTTGTTTTCGTAGAGAATGCCAAAATTGGAGTAATTTGGAGACGATACAGGTCAGAAGGGGGTGTGGATGGGAACGCGGCCGTTCGGTGCCTTATATATGTGCGGCTGACGCAAGTACTGCAACCAACCACGAACCCTCGTTTCGCGCCTTAACCAGTCAATCTGATTCTTCCGATCAGGCTGATCAGTACGTTTATGTCTCGATACTAACTTGGGTTAGATTATTTGTTGATCGCAGAATCACGTCCACCTTGTGGTGCAGCGCCCAAAATGTTACCTTGCTCTCCCTTATCAATGTTTTTATGTCCCTGTTATCTTCAGGCTCGAGCGGTGGCTTCCAGGAAACTATGTAGTGCATCACGCCATCGACGACATCTCTAACAGCTTCAGCCTCCCGTTCACCAGGCCAGGCATTAAATGGTAATGCTATGCTTGAGGTCTTCCAGATTCCCGACCGCATGAAAAAGATGCAGCTGGACGTGGCGTGCTGAGTCTTGTAGGATCGTGATTATGCGAGGGGCGCTTTTCAATATTGGTCAATGCTACGATTGGATAAGCGCCTGTGCCCCTCTATGTCAGAAGGTACGTAGAATACAGCGTATGGTTGACCAATAAAACGTGTATATCAGATCTCTCAATTTTTACACCGTTCAGAATGGTTCATAGACAGCCGCTTTTGTCTGCAAAGGCTCCTGAATTCGACCATTGATAACCGATAGCACCACATTTGTTCAGGAGTGAATACTATAGATAAACCAGAGCTTTTAGATTATTCCAAGCTGTCTAACTATAGTATAGATACGTTTTGCTTATAGAGTATAGAGAATGAATCCGACAGGCGATGTGGCGTGCTGTAGGCTTGCTCAGGGGCTGCACTCTCTGCATGCGAACATATAGGCAGTGCTGGAGGGAAACAAGACAGTTGGTATCTTCCCCTTCTTGAAGTAGTTAACAGGTTGCCCAGGAGTCACAATACTACCAAGTCCACCACGGCTTCTTCCAACTGATCCTCTGAATAACTGTTTTACCTAACGTAGTCCACGGTCCAATTGCACACTTCGGCAGATTTTCGTACGCTACCACTTTGACCTGCGGTTTTTCACCACATAACTATGGTTGGTTCTTGGAATGAAAGTGATATGATTCTAGCATTACATGCGCTTCAATCTGATCCAAAATTAAGTGTACGTCGCGCTGGTCAGATCTATAACGTACCTTTTAGAACCCTTGCGTATCGACGCGACGGTAAAACCGCTCGAGCGATTACGCGATCGCCAACGCAAAAGTTGACTCCTTCCGAAGAAGAGGCAGTCGTACGACATATAACCGACCTAGATTCGCGAGCATTTCCTCCCCGATTGAGTGGTGTTGAAGATATGGCCAACCGATTACTTCGAAGTCGCGTCGGCGTCAACTGGGCCTCGAGCTTCGTAAGACGACAACCAGACCTCCGGACGCGTTTAAATCGAAGGATCGACTATCAGAGAGTCCTATACGAAGATCCCGACGCGTATCGCGCGTGGTTTGACCTGGTACGGAATACAATTGCGAAATACGCGATCCAGGAGGAGGATATCTACAACTTCGACGAGACCGGTTTTGGGATGGGCCAAATCTCGTCCGAAATGGTCGTGACGACTTCTGATCGGCGCGGAAGGCCTAGAGCAGCCCAGCAAGGAAATCGGGAATGGGTTACAGTTATTCAAGGCGTTGGGTCGTCCGGTTATACCCTCCCTCCGTACATCATTTTCGCCGGCAAAACCCACCTCTCGTCATGGTACGAAAACAGCCCATTACCGCCTGAATGGGTTATCGCAGTTACTAAAAATGGCTGGAATACGAACGAGAGAGGCGAAGATTGGATAAAACACTTCGATCATCACACCAAATCTCGTACGAAAGGTACTCATCGCCTATTGATCCTCGACGGTCACGAAAGCCATCACCCGACCGATTTCGAGGTATATTGCAAAGCTAACAATATCGTCACGCTTTGTATGCCCCCTCATTCGTCGCATAAGCTCCAGCCTCTTGATGTTGGTTGTTTTCGCGGGTTAAAAAGAGCGTACGGAAAAGAAATCGAAGATCTCATGCGACCACATATAAGTCATATCTCGAAAGAAGACTTTTTACCGGCGTTTTTAAACGCGTAAAACGCAACTTTCACGGTTTCAAATATCCAAGGAGGTTTCCGAGGGGTAGGAATAGTTCCGTACGATGCAGATTATGTCATATCACAGCTCGATGTGAAATTACATACGCCAACATCTCCGGGTAGCTCGGCTGGTCTCCCCGTCCCTTAGGAATCAAAGACTCCGAACAACCCAACCGAAGCCCAATCACAAACCGATTATGTAAAAAACAGGATTGTACGACATCAAAATAGCTCACCAACGTCAATTTTTGCTGGAATAGATCAGATTGCGCGAGGTACAACGAAGGTTATGCATCGGCTTGCCCTTTTAGAAGGCGAGGTCGAATCACTTCGAAAGGCAAATGAGACCTTAAGTCGACGTCGCCGTGCGAAGAAAAAACAGCTACAGAGTGGAGGGTCACTTCGTATACAAGCTGGACAGGACCTACAGTCTCAATGAGAGGTTGATGGGCAGTTACATGCCGAATTTCGTCAAATTGGTGGTCGGACGAGGCGGCGAATTGCGCGTGTACGGCGCTATAGAATCTGCGGCGAGCCCGGACATAATGCGCGCACTTGTGGAAATGATGTAGAGACGTCTGAATATAACGATTCTGAGTAGTTTCAATTGATGATAGGCGTTGTGGTTGAATTAACTTATACATTGTTGTATAAGGTCTGCCAAAGTGTGCAATTGGACCGTGTGTGCAATTGGACCGTGGACTACGTTATACTAATGATTTCCACTAGTTATCAGAAAACATGGACGAGATGTTTGTGTTAGGGTAATCCCACGACGTGAGAAGTCCCTGATCCCGGGATATAGTATAGCCTTTGATAATAGCATACAAAATCGTGGTGCTTGATTCAATGCTCTCGCAGCCAACAGAGGTGGGATGTGAGAGTTTCTGCAATGTAGTGACAGAGCCAGGAAAAGAAGCTGCGAACTGGGTTTCTTGCTGTTAGTGGACGAGCCATATAGTTCTAATTAGTGCATCTTCCGTTTCTGTTATAAGAGCTTGGGGCCTTAGGCTTGGGCGGTGAGGGTGCTGCAAGGACTAGAACATTCGTATTTCCAACTACTGTGGCTCTTATCACCTTTCTGAAGTCAAGGTAGAATCGTTCCACACAGCTGTGGTAAGAGTTTCACATAAATTAATTAGCTGTGTTATTCTATATGGGGTTAGACCTTACATACCTTCTCTCTGGTCTATTCTTTGTCCTACCTCAAGTGATTGTTGTGGGTCCGAGCAATTCGACGCGTCTATGCATCTCCTCCCATATCTCCTCCCCTCTTCCAACTGACACAAACGAAGCTAAATGCAACTTGCAAATTTAAATCAATGACTTGAGACAAAAACCCATACCTACCCAATCACGGCTAGGATGCCTTTCAGCTTCTACGCCGTGGCCAGGGGCCGGCGGCCTGGCATTTACCCCGATTGGGACTCGTGCAAGGCCCAGGTCGACAAATTCAAGGGCAACAGATACCAGGGCTACAACAGCATGCAAGAAGCTGAGGAGTATATGAGAATGTATGGGGCTAGCGACTGTTCATCCCTGGTCAACAGGAGCCAGCAGGCTGGACCAGCATCGTCACTGCCCTTTCGCGAGAGGTGGAAGCCGTACCCGGAAATCGCGCGAAGCCAACGCGTCAAGGCCTCTTCCAAGGCCGAATACAGAAAAAGTCGGAACAAATACTACAAGAAGCGGAGCATGGCAGTCGTTCAGGAGGTGATCGATCTTTTTTTCTCGGACCCAGGTGAGTTTGGGTGCTCATGGCTCTTGAACTTGACGCGAATGCTAATCGTCAAGCAAGACCTGGGCATGCTCAAGTGTTGGCAGCGTCTCTGTCGGGCGGTGCGCATCGAGCCCCGTGACACTGAGAATCAGTGCAAAGCCGACCTCAGAGGCACGCTGGTCAACATTTTCGATCTGATCGAAGCCGTTCATGAGAATAAGCCGGTGCCGGTTTGGCCATTGGAGCAGTGGGCCGAGTTTAAAAACTACACCAGAAAGCCAGCCAACTACTTGTCCCGTGAGATTGCTAAGGACAACGAAATCCTCGCGTGTTTCCTGCAGGATCTCACACTGGCGCAGCCCCGTCGATGCGGAAGCCCGAGACCTCTCGTGGATGCTGAAGAGGTGACCAGGGCCGTTCCCCCTACCCCGCCATTGCCAGACCCTGTCGATTCCTCTCATGCGCAGCCGCTTCCTAACAAACGTGCTCCAACCGTCGAGCAGGGTCAGACCACGCAGCAACCTGAAGCGAAGCGTCCTAGAATGCTGTCCCCCGAAACGCACGTCGACGAGCCCGACTGTGATATCTTCACCGATTTCCCACCCGAGTCCGCCTTCAATGACCACGATGTTAGTCACTTCGAGACCCGCTTTGCAAACGGTAAACAGTGCTACGTTCGGTGCCGCGATGCATGCGTTGAGCCAGACTCGGAACAAGACACAGAGTTCGGAGATGAGTCTGACACTGAGCCCGATACAGAGCCTGATATCGATTCGGAGGACGATGTGGCAGCCTTGATCACTGAGGGCTACTCTGAGTGCTCGCCAGAACCGAACCCGCCCCTGCGCGGTTTTGAATATTATTGCTGCCCCACGGACGGTCAGAATCGTATTTTCCGGCGCCGCGATCCAGACTACGAGTCTGACAACGTGGCATCCATGGTCGACGATGGTTTCTCCGAGTGCTCACTCGAGCCGGATCATCCCCGGTTGGGTTACACATACACGTATCGCGACGTCAACGGCCAACTTCATCTTTTCCGGCGCCGCGATTCAGACTACGAGTCTGAATCAGAGGAAGCAGACCTGGAGTCGGACGATACGGCATCCATGATCAATGACGGGTTCTCTGAGTGCTCATGGCCAGCAGAAGGGCCCTTGTGCGGTTATGAATATGAAGGCCGTACCATAGGGGGTCAAGCTCGCCTCTTCCGGCGCCGCGATCCAGACTACGAGTTGGAATCGGCACCAGACATGGAACTAGATAATGAGCCGAAGACGGAGCCGGACATAGAGTCGAAAAACAGGCCACCCATGATCGATGATTACTCGTCCAGCGATTCCACTAGCAATCTTAAAACCGAGCGCATTAAGTCCGGATCCAGTCCTCCTGCACCAGAGACCTCAGAGAAGCAGCGTGTCATGTCCCAGTGCATAAAGCCGGAGCTCCGAGAGCGAACCAGCCTACGACAAAGCCGCCTCGACACTTTCTTCAAGCCCGGCCCGACATCATTCTAAACGACATCTTCAACTATCGAAAGGTCGGACGTGAAGTATAGTACCTGGTCGAATGGTCTCAGACCTACATCAATTGAGATCCGGCCAGAGCTTTGAAGCAGTACAAGAAGATTTGGTTGAGTTCCATAAACGGAATCCGGATAAGCCGTTTGGTCCTAGTGAGCTCTGGATTAGATGCTGGGAAGTCGGCGGGGCCGTTTGGAGTTTGGAATCGGTTGCTAGTGTCGAGTAACGGGGCAGAGTGGGTGATGTGGACGAACGTCGCATCAAGGAGCACATCATCGGCTATTACACTGGAGTGTCGGTTTAGCTCCCATCATTCTACCTTTGGTGCACCATTCATTCGGTTATCTGTTTGATTTGGTGGAGGATGTGTACGAGTATGGGGGGTTGGTGGAAGACGGCTTGTTATGGGCAAAGAGTTCTCTACTCATGTCTTCTCATTTTCTTTTCTGGTCTTTTCTCTGATATCTTCTTACTTTGAACTTACCTTTTTTCATCCTCAGGAGCGCTTTTTGAAAGAGATGAATGTATTCAAAAAAGAAGGGAAAAAGTTAAATGCGTGTATGAAAAGATGCGATTGTCAGCCGAGAGTACGTATGAGCAGGGAATGTGCGGTGTGCGGGTTAGTGAGCGAGCAGGAAGTATCTGCCAGCGGAAGGGTGTTTAAGGGTAGCTATGTCCCGGAAAAAGTAGCGCGCTAGCGAGGTTGTGTGCCAGAAAAAGATGTATACCGGCGGGGTCTAGGATTGGCTTCCAGGCTCGTAGTTGGACTTCGTGGGAGCATCATCAGCCCCAGGGTTTGCCTGGTGCGTCACCCCTGAGGCAAATGGACTTGCCCTTGGGCTGTTATAATTTTCAGCCTTGCGATGGCAGAAGGCTTTTTCCCCAGGACCCTAACGGGGGTCTGAACCTAACAGTGTTTAGTCCAGCATGACGCTAAACTGCAGAACTATGTGCCCAGGATTGTTCAAAGATATCCGCTAGTGCTACGTAGTACCATTAGCAGTGCGGAGGCGGACTGGGAAAATACTGAACTGTGTGTCCAACCCCAGTTTGAATCATAAAAGTGCAAATTGAGATCCAAAGTTGTAGTGCGCGAGTATTTGGTTGATGGACCTAGGCGATAGCTTTCGTTCAACCTACCGACCTAGGGATCATATCATCCTCTGAATCACTGGAAAATTCCTCCTTCATCTCTCGCTGGATGCCTTCAAGCTATCAACAGATGTCACGCCACTACAGCAAGGACGAAACCAACACTCTCCGGACATGGATTTCACACCTTACCTCACAAAGTCCTTCTAGAAACAATGCAACTGCTTCCGATTGTGCCATTCTGCAGCCTGTCTAGCACCTGCTATTTAAACGCCTCAGCCACAATGTAATACTCCAGAGGAATCTCAAAGCTGCCTGGATACCCGATTAAGTCTCGTCCTTCCTAGGCACATCCCGAGCCTATAGCAAATACTCCTGTGATTCCCGAGATGTGTCAGCCCCTTGGCAACGCGGTAGTGACATCGGCGGACGGCAGTACTATCAACGGGTTTTCCGTGGAATTTATACCAAACCACGCAGCCTACGATCTGGGCACGCGGCAGAATTCACTTTTGCACGAATTGCAAGCCTGTTGCAGCGGGGCTTCCTCTGTGGAAAGTGCTGAGACTTTTGGTTCGGAGCACGCCAGAATTCCCAAACGAGTTGCAGTTCTTGCTCAGATCAGTGTGATGCCATGAATGCCTGAAGAAACACCCGGCACTCTTGTTTCCCGAGTCTCAAGGAGAGTGCCAATAGTCACCACATCGTGCCTATATTGGGATGTGCTGGCCACAACCAGTTATGCCCCCACAGGACATGGAGCTGGAAAGAATCGCAGTTGTTGCGCATCAAGTTTTACTCTGTAACCTGGAAAAACGACCGACGGGGGACGGCAGGTTCTTGCGGATGAAGGATGAGGCTTCCAACAGCTTTACCTTCCAGAATACATCCATGTTACGCAAAACGTACGGGGCAAAAGGCTATACTGCCAGAGATTTCTCTGCAGGCAACTTTACCACGGACAGCAACATCAGATACAATGTCAATACTGGATTAACTCATGCGTCTAAGTCCAGGTTCTGTAACTGTGAATTTTCGAGCTACATCCGGTCTATGGCGAATTGCGGGAGGACTAACATTCTACAGTGTACTCGAGATACATGCTCCTTTTAGGTCATCTCCAATCAAACACCCACGATCTCGTCGCACTGCATAAATTCTGTCTGGAGCAGAAATTGCGCTCGCAGGGCATCGCAAACAACTGAACGTGTTCACAATGGGGCATCATTGAGGGGGTGTCGTGTTAGAAAAGATAATGACCAGTTCATGACTTTTGCTGTTTTTCTTTTTGGAAAGGGGCGTAGGTAACATGATCTCTCAGCTACAGGAGTCAGCTGATATTGTGGATTCCAGTTGGTTTTATCGTCCAGACCTTACATTCAAACTGCACAATGAGTTATCAGTAAAGACTTTACTAAATCCAGGGTGATTTGTGCAGAACTCGAAGCGAGGTTTTTGATTTGTGAATGACTGTCAGCTCAATTGCTTTGCCTGATACGGCCGCAAGTGCAGCATACTCATAGCATCCAATAATTTTATGCCCCTGGGCACCCATATGTGCTCTTGCTTACAACGCACAGACATCAAAGCAGCACCATCTGCGGTTGAGTTACCTCACTTCAAAATCGATGTTGTCGCTGCGGGTCCTTGACTCTGTTTGAAAGTATCACGTCGTGAAAGTTAGCCAAAGTCGACGGGGTACGGTACGAAGAGGGGCATGTGGGATATCCCGACATCACAGTGGTATAAACCAGTATATACTTTGATCACACGAACTAGTGTGCCACTGGATTAGTATGGCGAACCCAATAGTCCGGGTGTCAGACAGCCAGATAGTTTGCTTATCACCCGCATGTATCATGTATCGTAACCGCTGTTTCCTGTTTCAATCTGATGCCGAAACCAGATCATTTCTCTTCAGCACGACTCTTCCCATTGAGCCCTTTTGTTCAAGCTTGTCAGTTCGTTTGTTTTCTCCGTCTTTGGAGACACAATAATTTCTTTGGCTAAGGCTTCAATGCTACTCACATATTAGAAGCATACGCCCAAAAGGGTGTCCTAATTATGTATCCACCGATCAAGGGCGACGAGATCCATCTCTTCAGCATGTCAAAAGAACCCGACGGGAATCTATGTGGAGCAATGGAGATCGCCAGTCTTTCCATGCCGTGTCATACATTTCGTGGACCCACCACAAAAGAAACAAACTATACCTTTCAATGGCAGGGAACTGGGCTGCAGAGTGGCAGCAAAATTTTACAAAATGCATGCGACACGAACGGGGTGGATTCCATCTGCATCGATTCGGTCAACATCACCGAAAGCAACGTGTAGGTAAGATGATACACGACATCTACAGAAAAGACACAACGCCCAGACGGAGATGGCTATGCCGTATGATGGTTGATATAAGATAGAGGGGACCCCGGGGTCCAAAGCGGCGCCTTCGGGACGCGGGCCCAGAGTATCGGGATGACGAACTCCTCGTAAATGCTAGAAGCGAGGCTGGCGATGGTGGCCATACAAGAAGCCATGCTTTGTCGCAGTGATGTTTCCAAAGGGTCTTGAGACATTTCAGGGAAGCCTAGGTCGCCCAGAAGGATCGCGTCAATTAACGTGAGATTTGTGTCCATGAGACTGCTCAGCATGTATGGGATACTTCCCGTACCGTGGTATGTGTGTACGGCTAGTATTCAAATAATTATGTTTGCAGAATCACCTTGGCTGAGATGTGTCTCCCATTTGGGGCCAACGTTTTGGTTGCCACAGCCAAAAGGAAATACCAAATGTATGTATTGGACGTTGTCTTACACTGTTTTCAAGCAGGCTCGATTCTTTCGTCTAGAGACTTGGATTAGTTTCGGAATGTGAAGACGGATTTCGAGACTACATTGAAATGGCGCACGTCTTATGTTCGTTGCCGCTAGGGATGATTATCTCCTCAAATGCGGATATGGTTTTCTTGCCCAGTCCTTGAGCACGACAATATGACACACAGATCCTCGGGTCTTTGGCATGATAGAACTTTATTCGTGGACGGCCTCCTACTGGGCTGAAACTAGGAGGGAATCTGGAACCCTTTGGATCCCTTGGATGGGACGTCTTACATTTGGCAACCCGCAATGAGGCTCCGCTGGGCCATACCTTTTTGCCAAAATCCATGCACGATTCATTCACACCTGCGTTCGTTCTACAGCGGTTTCCCCCCTCGGGAAGCACTGTATGTATCATCGCTCCAACTCCTGCAACTCCTCCGGGCTCAGCGTACGTCCCTTCCATGATTTAGGACCGAAGCCGAATCCTTTACCGTAGTTTCGGAAATCCAGCTGAAACAGATACTTGACATCCGGGTCCTTCAGTACCTTGCACTGCGTCTTGTGTCCCTTGTCCTTCCAGCCCTTGACTTGACAATCCTGAATACGGAGGAAGTTTTGTCAGCAGCTCACTCTGGAGACGAAATGCGGTCGTGGCTAAATGCGAGATGGAATACTCACCTTGGAGCAGTAATATGCCAGCTTACAACCGCCACATCTTTCCATCGTCTGCTTCGCTTCACCGCAGCTGTGGCATGTCTTTGGTTCCTCAACGAGCCAGTTGTGCTTGATTGAGTCGGTATTGAGTTTAATGAGTTCGTCCACCTTACAGGGAAAGATCTACATGATTAATGAATAAACTTTCGGCCTGAGAAGCACGGCCATGGAGTCCTATCCATGTGGAAATGTCAATCTTCAAACCTGCAGAAATAAACTTACAGTAATCTCATCCCCATCTTCAATCCGCACTCCGTGCGACCCGTCCAAAAATGAATGAGCAAGCGGATGCATCAACGCTACCGTATTGCCAACCTTGAAATGGGGAACGAGCCGCGTCATGTCTTCCGGCTCGTCGAGATACAGAGCGACAACAAACATATGTCCGCGACGATCGCGGGCCACCAGTCGCGGGCGGAGGAATGTGTTGGCCTCGATGATGTCACCTAGGAGGATCCAGTGCTTTTTGTACGTCGCCGAACCAGGAGGCAACGACGGGTCCGTCGAGTCGATGTAGTAGCGCGCGTCGTACTGGTGCTCGCCCGGCAGATCTGCGAAGGACGGGAAGTAGGCGCGATTGGTAATGGGCTGGAGCGGCATTGTGGGCGCGTCTGGGGTTGGTCCCTGGCTATGGTGCAAATGAAGTTGAGAGTTTGAGAGTTGACCGGGTTGTGACTCAAATTTGACGTGATTTTAAGGTGCTCAAATCTGTCTGAAGGTCTTAAATATGCAGGGACCAGGCTGTGAGGAGTAACGTCCCGCACCCACATCCGGGACACCCCCACATGTGGGACACCCAAAAATGCCTCATCAACACCGCTAGCCTCTAACTTCAACCTCTCTTTTCTTCCCCAATATCGATTCAATCGTTACGAAATTTTACGTACGTCTTCTTTACACTAATATGAGTCAATATACCGAAGATAATATTTATTGAGCTCTTCAAGCAATAGCTACCGGTCAAAGCCTCCGAAAAACAGCATATGAGCATGGTGTCCCAAGGTCTACTCTTTCACGACGGATTCAGGGAGCCCAGTCAAGAGATATAGCCTTCTTTGACTACCAGAGGCTCTCTCCAGCCCAGGAATCTCATCTGGCTGAATGGGTTCGAATCCAGGCTGCCCTAGGCCTCCCACCAACCCATCAACAGCTCAAAGACTTCGCCGAGCGTATCCCACAGATCCACGGAGACACCGAACCACTTGGAAAGAACTGGGTCCAGGCTTTTATCAAGAGGAACCCTTCAGTCAAGGTCCAGCGAAGCAGAGCTATCGATTCCCAGTGTATTAATGGAGCCTCAGCTAATGTGATCAGGCAATGGTTCAAATACCTCGCTATCCCTGAGATCAAAGCTATTAAGGCCTCGAATCGATACAATATGGATGAGACAGGTATTCTAGAAGGTAGAGGATCAAATGGTCTTGTTCTAGGATCATCTGAGACTCGTCCTATACGGAAGAAACAGCCTGGATCTCGAGCTTGGACATCTCTTATAGAGTGTATCTCTGCGACTGGTACTGCACTACCCCCACTTGTGATATACAAGGGGAAGTCTGTCCAGCAGCAGTGGTTTCCTCTGGACTTGACTCCATACGAAGCCTGGAGGTTTACAGCAACAGAGAATGGGTGGATGTCAGACTCTACGGCTATTGAGTGGCTACAAAAGATCTTTATTCCTTTAACTCAACTAGAGGACCCTGAAGAGACTAGGTTACTTATCCTAGATGGGCATAGTAGCCCGTGATACGAAAAGGTAGGGGGACCCACTGTTTAGGTGAATCCCATTCAATTAGATACTATAACGTTGCGCACTACTGCATTATAGCATCCATCCAAATACCCAGCGGCTACTCTTTCGGAAAGTTCAAAAGGGCTTTGATGAGAAGGACTACCAGTTAGCTGTCGCACAGCGAAAGATTGAGGCAATAGAGGCAGAGCTTGAGGCTAGTAGGGCTAGGAAGCGGAGGAAGGTCAAGATGAGCCCTAATTCGAAGTTTACTAATATCAAGGCTATTCGGAAGGCTCAAATCGAGGCTGGTGAAATTGAGGATAGTACAGATGAGTCTAGCGAGTCTGAAAACCCTAGTGACGGTGAAGGCTGTATTGTAGTCGCATCAGAATAAGTGTAAAAAAAGGTTGAAGTCAATGGTTATAATATACAGCATCATTTTTAGGGCGTCCCACATGTGGGAGTGTCCCGGATGTGGGTGTGGGACGTTAATACAATACTTCATTCGTTCCGGTGTAAACAATCCAAGTCACCTGGGAAAAGAAGTTTGGGTTGATTATAAAAGGTCTGGTATCTGCAACCCGATTCCACCATGCTCCCTGTTCATATGCTTATAGCAAAGCGTGGCCTCTTGGAAGGTTCGCATACACACCCAGCAGATATGAATCCCACAGCCTCCACAGGTCATGTGATTACACCCTTCAGTCTTCTCCATCGGTGTCTTACACTTAGGGCAGTCCTTGATGCCCAACTTCTTTTTCACCTTCTCCAACGCCTCATGGCCACCTGAAATATGGTATTTGTGGTCGGCACACGTCATATCTGGGTGGGATGCGCGGCATTTCGTGCAGATAGCCGCAAGGCAATCTGGGCAGGTGAACAAAGCAGTGTTGGAGGTCGCTCGATACACCTGTGCACAGTCGGGCGTAGGGCAATAGCAGAAGTCGAGTGGGCGAAGACGGATATACGTTTTGAAAGACGCTTCCAGCAAATCTTCAAATGTGCTCGACGAAAGATACTCCTGGAGCTCATCGAGACCAAGGACTGACTTGCATTGGCTTGAATCGCCTTCGCAGCGGATGCACAAGTCCTTGTTTCCAGTAGCCCCAGAGAAACAAAACGTTTCGAAGCATTCTGAACAGTAAGTATGATTGCACCGTGTGACAACAGGATTGTCAGTCTCAGTCCAGCATATAGTGCAATCCTTTTCGTTTTTCTCGGCGAGTTCTGACTGATCCAAGGTGATCTGATCATTAACCATTTTCAATGCGGATTTGTAGTCTTCACTTGAGCCAGTTACCAAAAGTCGTTTCGGTGTCGAGATGATGTCGAGTGTGACAATGCCTTGCCCAAGTGCAGCCGACATCAGCTTGAACCCCCCTCGGCAAGCCCAAACAAACTTCTGCTGATCTAGCTCGATCGCATGGCCTGTGGAGGTATCATGGATGGCAAGATTGGCTAGCAATTTCTGGGCTTCGATGCACAGCTCAGAGGGGCCGTATATATGCAAGCACGACTTTCTCCTGTTCCGGGAAATGACAACACCAAGTTTTTGCATGACGGCCTTGACCTCTCTCCAAACCTGTCCATTGGAGCCGAATGATGGTGACCAGATCGGTTTGCCCTCATGTGTAGCCACTTCACCTCCAAGAATGTTCTCGATCGTGTTCTTAGCCTGCGCCACCTTTGTGTTATCTTCCCCTTCCAACTTGAGAACTCGATGTCCATGAATAGGCTCGTATGCGATGAATATCAAGTATTGTACCTTCCAGGTCACCATTTCTGTTTCCAGCTGACCACGTACAGCATTGTAAATCATGTCTAAAACCTTCCATTTTGCCGAATTCACCAGCTGTATGGTTAGCTTGACATTCTTGCCGAATGGTAGAGTTGCCATGTTCAATGAAGCCGCGGCCTTTCTGGCATCCGCTTCGTCTGTGAACCTAGCTTTGGATTTGGCGCGTTTCCCTCCCAGGCCGGTCGCATCTTCCCACCACTCCAGTGGACCAATATCCGCGAGCATCGACTTCACCAGAGTATTTGCCGCGGCAATGTTGACGTCGTACGTTGGCTTCCCCAGTTCAACGTGTCGTGGGCGTATGGATGGTGGAATTGACTGAATCACATCAGACGCAGAGGCCATGGCCGGGACATCGTTGAGCACGATGGTCCAAGCTAGCGGGTTGCGAAGCCAGGCTTGTCCACTGGTATCGCTACCTCTTGGAGCATTGCTTTGGACTTCCCGGCCAAGTATTCGGTAGATTCCGGTAGCGAACTTCTCATGAATCTTTTTTGCAATGCTCTCGTTTCCAAAATTCAGCCACACAACACGGGAGGGTCGATGCCAGGAACAGTGCACTTTCTTCGAGTCCACCCGTCTTGAACTTGACCCCTGTGGCATAGAAGCGGTTATAGGGACGGCCGTAACATTAGGAACCCTTCCACTGGTGTCCATTTTGCCCCCCAGCTTAGAGCACAGGCGTTTGGCGAACGAATCGTCCTCCATGCGGACATCGGCGCTGCGATGCATCGAATTTCCCTGCGGTATGAGACGGATGCACTGCCTTGGGACAGTGAAACCATTATCCGATAAGAGGGCGATGATAGAGGTTATGGACGCTTCAGGTGGAAGCATTCCCAGATGAACAGCAGAGAAGTCTGACGGGAGAGAGATTTTCAGAACTCGGGCACCGCCTCCAAAGTGCGCAATAGTGCCAAATACCTCTCTGACCCAATCGTCGGGCTTGTCTTCTTCCTGCAGCAAGAGATGTCAGAAAAGGCTGACATTGGGGTCCAGGGGAAGCCTAACCTCCTTTTGAGGCATCTGTAGGTTTACGCCATCGTCCTTATTGTGGGCATAAGGACATGTGCTGCCATTGCGGCAAAAGCCTCTCAAGTAGAACTGACATATAACTCGTGACCGGGTGTCTGTCTGAGATGTAGCGGTGTTGGATTCCGGTCCCCTCGTCGCCGTCTCGCTTGATGCAACGTGAGAAAAGCGACAGTTGTTCCCGTCTCGACATGTTCCCCGACTGAAGAAACGGCACGCTGGGGTTGGCCGAGTTGCTCGAGCGTTCTCTCCGAGATGAAGACGAAGTGGCAGGCCGTCCATGGTTCGCACTTGGACTTGGAATGCAGACGTTTAAAAGGCTGTATGTACTTTTAGTATGCAATATTTTATTCTTGCCAGCGTTGTTTGCAGAGAACCCCGCAGCTCGGTGTTACACACACGCACGCGCAGCTGTGCCTTCCTGCAAACGGTACATTTTGACAGCGCTATACGCGAGAAAAAGACCTCAGATGCCTACACCATCGTCAAAACATGTATGTATCCCGAGTACACGAGGATAAAAAGCCTGATAAGCTCGTTTTATATTGAGGCTCAATACTCTGACCGGCCAAGAACCTTGTTGTAGCGGCAGCACTTCACTTGAAGCAATTCACAGGTATCTGAAGAAATTCGGATAGCCGCATTGCGCTTTGGTTCTCCTGAACTTCCCCGCTCACTCGCCTGCCTTTACTATGGCTATGGTCGGCTGTCGGACAGACGGGGAACTGATCAAAGTTTTTGTTTTTCTCGAACAGTGAGCCCAGCTAGGAACAGTGGGGATATACCAACCAGTTTTCTATCAAGCATGCCGTGGTTCAGCAATCAGAACCTTACTGCATGTCCGGGAAATTGCTTGGTAGATTCCCTGCTAGCAATGAGGAATTTTCAGGAACAAGGCCCAACAAAGAGATACCAATAAGTATTGCTCCAATCTCCAACTAGCAGTCTTCATAGTTGCGATGTAGATATAAAGCCGTCTATTATCTAAAGCCACCCCGCTCTACCAAAAGCCTGCTAACCTAGAAATGATGTACACGCCTCATAAAACACCTTGTGGCCCACGATTTTATCCCCTTTGAGTCGTCAAGACAGTCCAGACCGGAATCTCGGCGTTGTGGGACTGTTGAGATCGATGCTCTCATCATCCTCATCGGACCCCATCTCAAACGCCCCCATCATGGCCTCATCATCACTAGACGCGCCAAGAGGCACGAAATCGCTCATCTTCACCCCGTTGCTTCCCGCCGAGTGGTCCGCCTTGTGCACCAACCAACGCCTATTATTCTCGAACCACCTGTCTGTATCCTCCAAGCTGCGTCCTTTCGTCTCGACCACGAAGTAATAAACCAGGGGTACGAACAACGCGTTCAGAACGGCGTAGACGAGGTAAAGTCCCCATTTCAGATGTTCAATGCCTGGCGGCGTCGTCTGCACGACCACGTAGTTGAACAGCCAGTCGCAGGCCGTAGCCAGAGCGGCGCCTTTGGTCCGCATGCTCAGCGAGCTGACTTCGGCCGGGTAGAGCCACGGCACGCTGATCCAGCCGGAGGAGAAAATGGTGAAGTAGAGCCAGATGAAGGCAGTTGCAATGATGCCAGGCGTGTGTGAGTCGGGGTTCACGAGGCCGGTACCCACGCCTATCGAGACACCCAAGAATGCCACAGACATAACCCCCGCCCCGAACATGAGAAGAGGCCGGCGGCCGATGCGCTCAATCCACGCAATGGACGCCGTGGTGGTCAGGAAGAACGAGATGGCGTTCGCGGCGGCGACAAGACGAGCAGTAGGTTCGGAGAGGCCAACGCTGCGGTGTAGCACGACTGGCAGGTAGTACGCTAGGACGTTGATGCCCGAGAGCTGCTGGGCAGTCTGCAACATCATGCCTAGAAGCATGCGGCGCGTGGCCAGACCGCCGCGGAAAATTTGGGCCCAGGATGCGCGAACGGCTTGCTCGGCTTTGACGGAGGCGCGGATTTCCTCGAACTCATGGGCAACGTCATGTTCACTGAGAATAGCGAGGACATGCTTAGCTTCGGCGTCGCGCTTGCGGGCGAGGAGCCAGCGTGGGGACTCAGGGAGCATGGGGACCATGGTAAGGATAATAACGACAAAGACAAGCTGGATGCCTATTAGGGGTTTGAGATTAGTGCCACGTAGGAGAATGAGGCAATGGATCACGAACCTAGTGGGAAGCGCCATTGCGTCTCCGTCATCATGCCGCTGAACGCCAATGTGACGAAATTGCTAATCACGAAGCCTAACACGTTGACGGCCATCTCCTTGACCACTGCCGTGCCCTTGGCACTGGCATGGCTGGTCTCCACATGCCACACGGGAGCCGTTGCCGTGTTCCCGCCATTGCCAATCCCAGCTATGAGGCGACCCCAAATCATTTGGTTCATGTTCACCGACACGGTCTGGACGATGATGCCAATGCCCATAATGACGGTGAACAACATCAACATGCGCCGACGACCCAGCTTCTCGCCCACAGCCAGCGTCAAGATGGCACCAAAGAAACATCCTGGTCACACGGTGAGCTCTCACTGATCAAACCCCCATGTCGGAAAATTGTGGTTGAATTACCCAAATCGTAGACAGACACCACGAACCCCTCAACTGCAGGCGAGGGGTGGTTGAAATACTCCTGAAACTCAGCCGCAACAATGATGCCGCCGAAGACACCCTGCTCGTACCCGAACAGCAGCATGGCCGTGCCGGCGGCGAATGAGATGGCCGAATGGAGCGCCTTGGTCGTCTTAAAAAAGCGATGTTGGGGGGGCACATTGTCATCGAGTTGCAATCCTTTCCGTTCATGGTCTACTTCGTCGTGGTGACCATGGTTGTGATGGTGATTGCGATTGTGCTGGCTGAGGTTGCGCTCCTCGGCTTTAGCAAAGGACAGACGCGCATCATCTGGCTCGCTGTTGGAGCGGCGCAGGCGCGTGTATGTGTCGCCCATGATGATGTTGAAAGCAAACAAAAGAGAGTTGCCGCGCCGTAGTATGTGGGTTCACTTTGCCATTTCACCAGACAAGGCGTGTGCTGAGCGGACTTCAAGTTGGTGGACTGAGAGACAATCTGAACCGGACATGATGGCATCAGCGGCCGCCCCGACCGTGCTACGCGGCGCCTTGGATTCAGGAGGCCGCATGAACGCCAATTTGCTGCTATCAGGGGTGTGATCGACGCTGTGGCTGAGATTGCGATGCTACGGGAATTCTTCTCATTTCATTGGTGCTTGAAAATGCCAAGTTCGATTAATCGTTTGGACGCCACAGGTTAGCCACGGGATGACAGGGGCGTTCAGCTTGCCCAGAGCGCCTCCAACAAATGATTTCATACATGTAAATGTCCGCCTGGACACGGTACTTGCAAAGACTTTTACTAAAATACGGAAAACTCGTATATATACGTAGAAAAGCTACTGTCCTTATTTAGAGGTTGTGAATTTATAAAATGTAATTTTCGGTTCATCTATCCTTTGTAAGCAAATTAAAGCTATGTCTTTGTATGTTAAATATCTGTGGATTTTATGCTTCCTATAACCTAGGATCTAGTGGATATAAAATAAAGCAAAACAACAGTTATAGTCTTTCGCTCTCAAAATATAAGGAACAAGATGTCTTTTCATTTCCAGGCTTTCCGCAAATTAGTTCTTATAAGTTAAATATGTAGTATCTGTGGGATCGCACTCGTTCTGGCATTCCGGCTACATACGAAGGTCAACAGGGGAAGTACAGGTGGGGGATTCCAAGCCGCCCAAGGGCACTAGAGTATCCCAGGTGCACCTCACCATGACCGCAGGCCACCATTTCCACAGGATCTTGACGCACTTTACGTAAAAATTAGTGTATCCAAATTATTGTTTAACCCGCTTTGCTCGTCCGTGCCGCCCTTGCCTTGCCGAGAAGCCGATGCATATTAGCCCTGGTCATAAGACTAGATGGACACGTTGATCGTGGCATCCGTGATGGTTGAGAGTGCAACTGTACTCAATTAGCCTCTAATGTACAAGATTACTTTCGGGAGATGAAGAGTATAGGTAAGGTCTTGACTCTTGACCGTTAAGTTGGAGCTTTGAGTTCCACCTAATAATATGGCAATTGGCAACTTCCCGGTACGCATATCTGACTTGCACTGTGCCAGCAAGATAGTCAGTCCATGCTTACTCCGCATTATATTCAGGTATCCGCCATCTTCGAAAAAGAAATAGAAACTGCGCTATAGCAATTACGCAAGGGAAATCGTGTTATCATAACTTTTAATCTCCCATGTCAGAATCTTTGTCATTAGGTTTAAGTGTGGTGAACATGTGCGTACTTGAGATTGAATAACAAGTTTTTGCTATCTTGACTAGCCCCAAGGGGTTTGTATATAATTAAACAAATTTTCTTTCCATTGTTGTGTAGCTAGGAGAAAGTGTTGATCCTCCATGGTTACGGGTGTATTCGTGGTGTGCTCTTCAACACCCAAACACACATAAATAATAATTTCTGACCAGGTCCATGCACAGCTTTTGTGTCGTTTGGCATGGAGGCTTCAAATCAAGCACCGAGCTCGCCTGGCACGTCTGGTACAGTCTGGATGACACTTCAGGCCGCTGTATACGATCTTTGCCGACGCAACGGGGTTTATCTCCCAAGCATCAAAAGTTTTGAAAGGAGTTTAGCTTTTCCGAAGGCACATGCACAGTATTGTTGCTCTTGAATATATCCAGAAGGTGCTTTTGCCTCAGCCTATTCTCAGCGGCTAATACTCCGACAACACAGCCTTCACCAATGGAGCCGATGGTTCACATCGTACATGCTATATTCGATGACCTTACTTTCCCGGAAGGCGACAAGGACCTGGCTATAGAGAGGCGAGAGGCTATTGTCAAGATCGCGCTGGAGAAATTCGTCAAGGCATAGAAAAGCCTCTCAAGCCTCACTTCGAGCAGCTGCGAAAAACAGCGCAGATAACACTGAATAATATTACTCCCCAGACTTACCAGAAGTTATTCCAGGAAGCACTGACAGACATGGTCATTGGGAATAAGGACCGAACTGCTGGCCCCGATCCCATGAACAACCACCTCTCACACGTCCTATGTATTGCGCAACGTCGGCAAGATGGAAAGGAACCAGCATCTGATTCTGATATAGACGAATTGGAAATACGTAATTCCATTGAATGACATCCTTTCACTTAGCTGCCTAAGTCGATCAAACCCAGGTGTTCATACTGCAAAGCGCCCGGGGCTACATTTCGTTGCGGCAGCTGCCACATTGTCAAACGCAATCGCACTCTACTCAGCCATCAGCACTGCAGCCGGGAAGTCAGAAAAAGCACTGGCCGCAGCACAAGGCCAACTGCACCGCCCAAAGACACCTCCACCGCGCTGCCCACTTGATGCGTGTCATCCTCGTCATCCTTCTCAAGGCTGCCTTTCAGCATAGCGGCAAGCTGAAAGACGTCGGGAAAAAGCAATGGTGGATGTCGCTGCGTTCAACAAGAGAAGCTCAGAGTTCCAGTTTGATGACTGGATGCGCGGTCGCCTGGGCCATCCCCTCATCAACCCGCTGGAAGAGGCCCATTTCTCGTGTGAGGAGCACATGATAGCTGTTATCATGGCGGTTGAGCCGCATCAGCTTTCTTTGATAGTTGAGCCTCTTCTGGAGGGTTTCCTCAGGCGTAAGTCAAAGTCCTATATGTTACATGTCAATAGATGATCACCTCTAACATTCGTATAGCCATCGTCGATGTCGTTAAAGAGGTCTACTTCACGCCCAAAAACGCCGCGATCGGCATGTCGATTTCTCTGGATCGAATGAAACCACCCCGCTTTTCCATGTGTAGTCCTCATGCCGTCTGGATCGTTTCCTGGAACGGCGGAGGGTGATTTCGTCGTGGACCTTTACGTCCCCAAGTATGGTTGGCGCGAACCCATGGCGTACTGGAACGACTACAGTGCCTTTCGCTGCCGACAGGTTCAACTCGTCGTCCCACCGGTTCAGATGGGTCGAAATTTGGAAAAAGGGAACGATATGAGCACGAAGTTTTCTGCGGCTTGCGCTGTAATGATTCTACAAAAGAGGATGATGGCACCACTGGTGAACACTGCGACAGATTGGTTAAAGGAGGACAACCTTTCAGTCAAAGAACTTCACGAGCTCCCGACGGAACAGTACATAAAAATAGCCGCGGATATGTTGGTTGAGGTTCAGAAGACCTCTGACACTTGGATGGAAGATCCGTTGAAGCTTGGAATGCACCGCTTCTACACGGACATCAACCGGGTGGCCCGAGTAACACTCACGGAAGAAGGAAAGGATGAGCTGCCATTGTTTGATGGCAGGTCCTTGTATGCCTGGCTGGAGTCCTACTTTGCGAAGGCAGAGAATAAGGGCGTTGACTTGTCTGATGCCGCGGCATAGTCCTGCGGAGTTGAGAGTCCGAGTATTGGCTCATGCCCTCGAGTTGAGGAATTAGGGGGAAAGGATACTCGTCATCATAAAAAGCCCCTTCGAGACACGGCTGGGGTCTATCAGTTAGCTGAAATGTAGTAAAGAAATTATCTCAATGCAAAGTGCCCACTGCTTCTGTCCGGCTATTTGGTAAATGTAGACTCCTTTTCAGATGTTGCCCAGCCCTTCTCAATTTACGTTTCAGCTTCAGATAGTGCCGTCTTGTTCTTGTATCGTATTCTGCATATTACGAAGGAAGGCATTGTCACGCACAGGCGTACTGCACGGTCACTTACCACGTATTGTGAACTTAAGGGATGGACTAACTTGTAGAACTTTCGAAAACGTATACATACCATGTAAGCGAAATCTGAAGTATTGTGCATAATCGTGGTTCCACATAGGTGGACTTCAATGTCGAACCCCTGGAATTTCGTCAGGATTCTGTTTCGATGGTCCTGATTCAATGGAAATCGCGGGTTCATATGGATTGAAACCGGGTGGGGCCACGCCTGGCATGAATGTCATAAGTATCTGGGTGGTCGCGACTTGATCAGAACCATTGTATTGGACATCCCCTCGCCCTATAGACCATGAGACAAGTTATTCCAATATCAGAACGGGGACCCAACATACTACTCATATGCAGACGGCAGTCAATCGAGCAAAGCTTGTGCCGTATGGACTCGGTCTAGGGTTCCCAGAGTTATAACTGGGTGCCAGCCTGTATTCTGTCGTATTAGCTGCTGTTGTTGTTATTTTCACCTTTGGACCCTCACTGACCTCATCTTCGCTTTTGAGGTCCTAGGGAAATTGTGACCGCATGTCTAGATCGAATTTGACTCGTCAGAACCGAAAACAAAAACAAGAACAAAATACACTTTCACTAGCTAGATGTGCAACACAACGGGGATTATAGACTCCGTCTTTCGCTGCCTAGGATTGGTATGCCAACCGAAAGTAACCTGTCGGTGGTCTCTTCGACGAACTGACACTCGGCGAGAAAATAAGCCAGCATTTGATCTCTGGACTGCTTCCGAGTTGTTCAATGTTCCTCTTTGGGGAGAAATTGAAAAGAGCCAGACTTGGGACAGAGCGAGTTACATATCAACCTGAAACACCGAGTTTCTGATTTTGGGATAACTTGCAGTACCTGGAACCCTTCTTTCGCTATGGCTTGTGTACAGCGAGGCAGAATGCCACACATTCGGAATTACGCAAGGGGATTTGGTGGTGTCACCTTAACCATCCTTCCTCGCTGACGATCGTGACATTCCAGCAGAACCTAGTCAACATTCAATTATGTCTACAGGAGGTTCAAGCAATGTCACAGCAAATCTTGGAAGATAATGGTTGCAGCAAATAACTAATGGACTAGCCGGACGATAATTAAAACAGTACGGCGGGGTGCTCCGAATCTCGGGCGATTGGACGTGTGGGGTTTCGGTTAAGATGACATCGCTATCGGCGATAATGAGCCTCTAGCCATTGCTTGCGCCTTTACTTGCGGTAATGCAAATGGGCTGTTTTGCTTTTGGGTAGAAACCTTCTTGAAAGTAACGTCTGCTTGACTCAGAAGACTAAAGGTACTTTTAGTTGTGACGGCCCTGCCACTTGTATCAGCTCTCTGTAGGTCACGAAGAAGTGCCCATATCTCAAATAAAGATGCCTCTCACGACGCCGTCGGTTTTTCCGCCCAACGCGAAAGCGTTTGTTAAATTCCCGAGTCGAAGGAGCGTTGTGCATAACACCAAGGGTATTGTGTCGTGCACACAGCCTCTGGCGGCCAAATGTGGTCTCAAGGTTTTGCAAGCAGGCGGGAACTGCGCTGTAAGTCCCCTTTGACCCCGAGAGTCATGATGTATGCTGAACAAGTTGAAGGATGCCGCAATAGCTGTCGGTAGGTGGGCCATGAGCACCAAAATCTCTCACTTGACAATGAACGACTAAAAACGAGACACAGCTGCTGGCCTCAACATCACCGAGCCGGGCTCTACCGGCATCGGCGGTGACGTCTTCTGCCTTTTCTACGACGCCAAGACGCAGAAGATCTCGGCCATGAATGGCTCCGGCCGTTCAGGCCACAAGTTCACCCCGGAGACGATCCGCCACTCCCTTGGGATCAAGGATGGAGAGTACGGCAAAATCCCCATGAGCAGCGTGCACGCGGTCACGGTCCCCGGCGCCGCGGCGGGTTGGTGTGACGCTGTCGAGCGCTTCGGCAGCGGCAAGGTAAACATGGAACAGATCCTAGCGCCGGCTATCGAGCTGAGCGAGCAGGGGTTCCCGGTCTCAGAGCTCATTGGGCATTATGTGAGCTATACTATTTAAAGGTGAAAGGAAAGTAATTGAGCGTGCTGACTGACTTCGCATAGTGGAACGCGGCAGAGCAGACTATCCGTCATGCTTCGCCCAATTTCCGAGAGATGCTCAAGGACGACCCTAATGCGCCTGATGGCGTGAGAGCCCCGCGGCCAGGCGAGATCATGAAGAACCCCACGCTTGCCCAAACTTTTCGCACCCTGGCCACCGAGGGGAAGACAGGTTTCTACACCGGCCGTATTGCTGAAGAGCTGGTCAAAGTCGTTCAGAGTCTCGGAGGCCATCTAGACCTCGAAGATCTGGCCCACCACCTAGAAATGGGCAGCGAGCCTGTCGACGCCATCTCGCTCAAATTCCGCGGCCAAGGCATCGCCGAAGCGCTGAAGAATAACGTCCTCGGTGGTTCCAACCCCGACCTGGACCTCGGCGTCGAACTCTGGGAACACCCTCCCAACGGGCAGGGCATTGTGGCGCTCATGGCCCTGGGCATAATCCAGGAGCTGGAACTTGCGGGGAAGATCCCCACTTTCAAGGCAGAGGACTTCAACACGGCGCCCTATCTCCACGTCATTGTCGAAGCGCTACGCATCGCCTTCGCGGACGCCAGCTGGTGGGTCACTGACCCGAACGTGGAAAAAGTCCCCACGGCGTCTATGATCTCCAAGGAGTACCTTTCGGAGCGATCGAAGCTCTTCGACGCCTCCAAAGCCAGCAATATTGTGCACCACGGCTCACCCGCGCTGCAAAGCAGCGACACCGTCTACTTTGCTGTGTCGGACTCGGAAGGCAACGCAATCTCCTTCATCAACAGCAACTACGGTGGCTTCGGGACGTGCATCATCCCTAAGGGGTGCGGCTTCACGTTGCAGAACCGGGGCGCGAATTTTAGCCTCGACAAGGCACACCCCAATGTCATTGCGCCCAGGAAACGGCCATACCATACCATTATCCCCGCTGCAGTGACGAACTTGCATGATGGGTCGTTGCACTCGGTGTACGGCGTCATGGGCGGGTTCATGCAGCCGCAGGGACATGTGCAGGTGCTGCTGGGACAGATTGTGGGCGGACTGAACCCGCAGCAGGCGCTGGATGCACCGAGGGTGTGTATTGGGGCGGGCATGCCGGAGACAGGGAAGTCGTTGGATCGTACGGTGTATGTTGAGGATGGGATCAGCGAGGAGACCGTGGAGGGGCTGAGGAAGTTAGGGCATGATGTTGAGGTCATGACGGGGATTCAAAGAGGGCTGTTTGGTAGGGGGCAGATTATTCGGTGGAGTGTTGATGCGGTTGAGAAGACGGGGGTTTGGTCTGCTGGGAGTGACATGAGGGGAGATGGAGCGGCCTATCCAGAGTAGATATAGGCAGCCGAGGCAACAATAGCAACTCCACTTGGATATTTAGACCGCCAGGGGGAACTTATTGAACCCTCCCCTCTTCCAGCAACCCCTCCATGGTCGGTGCTGAGCATATTGGCCCGCCTAATTGTATGACTTGACGGAAAGCACTTGCATTAATATATATTTTTCCATAATGATGCTCTTGTAGTGTACAGTCATTCAAGTTCATACAGCCTTTTTGCCCTCTACCAATAATCCAGTTTCTAATTTCCAGCGTCTGAGCCTTCCATGGGAGCCAGCACTCCCTTTTCTTCCAGCATTTTTGCAAGCGAGCCGTCTTGGTGCATGGAAACAAGGATGTCACAGCCTCCCACAAACTCCTTGTCGAGGTATAGTTGAGGGATCGTCGGCCAGTCGGAAAACTCCTTGATGCCTGCAAAGCTCAGTGTCAGCTGTCTAGGACCTCAATTGCGCCTGTACCACTTGTTTCCAGGTTCTCTCTAGTGGGGCGGTCTAACCTGATCTCAACTCGTCATCCTCCAATACATTGAACGCCGCAAACTTGTTCGGGTCGACGCCTTGGAGTCCGAGAATCTGGATGCTTGCGCGCGAGAACCCACACTGCGGTGTCTCGGGGGTGCCCTTCATGAACAGGACCACAGGCGCGGAACCAACGGCCTTCTCGATAGCCTGCTTGGTGTTGTCGGAGAGGAGACGCGACTGGAAGGACGAGAGGAAGGGCGCGGGTCGCATGGCCTGTCGCGCCACGGGACGCGCAGCTTGCCGGAAGCCCTGTCATGTCTTCGGATCAGATATCGTCTCCGATAATCGGTGTCGTAAGGATACTCACGGCTGAAAGGAAAGGTCGCGACCACATCTTGATCTGGTATATAGGGCAAAACCTGTTCGTCGCGAACGGCAGTTGGTGAGTGATGCGATGAAGCTCGTGATTTTTGATCGGCAAAGGTCGGATGTAGCCGATGATGTAAATAGTGTAAATGTGGCGTTGAGCTGACACTTATTGCCACAGGGACCTTGCAGCCAATAGATATCATTGGGAAGTCTCTATGGGCCCATCCGGTGTGCCCCGCACGCATATTTCAACTTCACTCCAGTTTGTTGCGGAGGTATGTCGGTAATCGCTTGCTTGCAACACCTCGGCCAGCGATAAATGCCGTTCAACTTCACACCCCCTCATTACTCTTTATGGAATGGGAATTTGAAGAGACCATGAGGTCGTCTCACTTTCCTATGAAGGCCATTCCATCGTAAGTTTTCTACTTCTTGCAAGCCAGTAAATCTGATTTGTGAGGCCACCAATCTGCTGACTAAATCGACTTCGAGAAGATCCGATTGGGATGTTGGCAATCAAAAACCCCGCCCTCTGCACGAGTGGTTTCCCTTGGGTACAATCTGTGTCGTCCTTCAACTGAATCGCTCTGTCTGAGATTTTCCAGAGTCGGCATCTTTGCACTTGAGTATACAAGCTCAAATAATTTCAAAGTTGAGATCACCCTAAGCATCACTACATTTGAGCTGGACATAATGTTGCAAGCCGTGTCGTCGGCCCACGACGACCATCACATCCGTTCAAACTCCTCATCCATTGCCTCCATCACCCGTTCCCTCCATGACTCCCGCACCCACCTTCTCCTCGCCTCCTCGGGCTCAGTGGCCACCATCAAGCTACCCCTCATCATTCAGGCCCTCTCCTCACACCCCAACCTCAGCATCCGCGTCCTCCTCACCCCATCAGCATCCCGGTTCCTGGCCGGCCAGTCCGCAGAGCAGCCTACCATCTCAACTCTGCATCGAATGTCCAACGTAGACGGTGTCTACATCGATGAGGACGAGTGGAAAGAACCCTGGAAGCGCGGCAATGCCATTCTGCATATCGAGCTTCGGCGCTGGGCCGACCTTCTCGTCATTGCTCCGCTGAGCGCCAACACCATGGCCAAGATCGTTGGCGGTATGGCAGATGGTATCCTGACGAGCGTAGTACGGGCCTGGGATGCACGAGGAGAGCTGGATTCCGACGTTGGTCGGACTGCTGCGAATAACGAGAAGGCGGGCCAGGATGGAGAGGTTGGGGGGAATGGCAGGAAGACGAAACGCATAATTGTCGCTCCGGCGATGAACACAGCTATGTGGCGCCATCCGGTCACCGCCAAGCAGATCAGAGTACTGGATGAGGAGTGGGGTATTGGCAAGAATGGCAAGGGCGAGGGTTGGTTCGAGGTGCTGCGTCCACAGCAGAAAACTCTGGCCTGTGGGGATGTTGGAGATGGCGCTATGATGGAATGGAAGGAGATTGTTTCTGTGATTGAGGAGAGATTGGGTTTGACTTAAACGATACATATCGGGATACATTAACCTACAAGGCGCTTATAATGGCGAGTGGGGCCTATCTTCATTCGGGAAAACATGATAACCTAGAAAGTAGCGTGACATTCTTCCTAATCATTATGTTTTCTATGGTATAAAGATTGTTTGTTCCTTGGGATCTTGGTTTGCGTCCGTATTTTAAGAGACTATCTATGTTCTGGACCTGACGGGCATCCACATCGCCTTTCTTAACAGGCACGACGTGACTTATGAGATAGCACGTAAGTTTGTGTTATGTCTCATATCAAGGTCGATCCTCCCCCCTCTTCGCCCGAAATATATCTCACCACACAAATAGAAAGTCCCGAAAAGATTCTGCAATATCCACGTCCTAGAGCAAACTCGCAAATCTAGAAATCCTTGACCCTCATGTTCCAAGGTGCTCTAAGCCACTTCTCTCGTTTACTTTGGATATACAGATCACCTTTCTTTGTCGATTCCGATTCCTATACTTCCGTATCCGATTCGCTATAGGATGCCACTTCATCCAGTTAGTCGTTCTTCTACGACGCATGTTTTTAATCATGTGCTCAGTGATGCCTTCCCCCGTGTCCTTTTATACCTCATGAATCTCGGTAGAGATTTATGGCCGGTATACTCATCGATTGCCTTGGCGAGCCTACCTTCTCAGGTTTAATCGGGTTGGGTCGCTAATGGGAGGACTTGATTTGCAGCATGTGCGCTTCCTTGAAGCAATTCATCAGCTGCACGATAGTGACGGCATCCATACTCTTGGACCCGTTGACAGGTATTGCGTCGGCCGCGGGTGTACTAGAAACTACCAATGGGAAGGGATGGTTCAGTGATCTAACGCGACGCTTCGTCTGCACCTGTGTCTGCTGGAGTATCTGCAGTTGATCCGAAGGCTCCACCTGCTGATGTTGCTGCGCCGCCACGCTGGAATGAACTGATGAAGATGGAAGATACAATATACAGCATGACTACTTGCAGACAAGGTGGGAAGTTAAGAGAAGGATGAAAGGTGGAAATCGTAAGCTTGGTCATTGGAGCTCCAAACATCAAACTTCTAAAGGCAAAATGTAACAAAGGTTTTAACCTGCAGCAGAGCATTATGTTCACTTGTAGGAAAACATTGGCTATTTTGACAAAAGTGTTTATTGTCTAGCCAAGATAGGAAGGCACTGGGTTATTATAGAACAGGCTGTTTGCTTTGAGGTTCAGCTTCCTGTCAACTCTCATCTCCTGTCAATTGGAAACCGGGTAGCTTGGTCAGACTTATCGGCCCGTTTCATATACCCTTAGGTTCTGGACTAACACAAGTCTTACACGTAGGTATCAAGAGGGCTATATATCAGAAATGTCGGCGTATATAGAACCTTAGTTCGAATATGGCTATCTTCATGTCCATAGAACAGACCAGTTTCGCGACCCTTTTATTACGTATATTTGTGTTCTCGCCCGATGGAATACAATTCCTTGTCCAGTCCAGCTATATGCGATATCATCTGGGTTATCTCTAACATCTATGATGCACAAAGCCATTGCCACAAGTGGTTATATTAATGCTTATCTGTGTCTTGGATTCATTTGTAGATACTCCTGATCACAGTCATGATCCTACCAGAGTGTTTCCAAACAAAACGCTCTAACAAACAGAAACATTCAGAAAGCTTTCACGAGAAGCATTTAGACCATTGAAGTCTTGTCATGGAGTTAAGGGTCAATACCAAAGTTGAACTAAATTTCCCCACCTAACCTAGATGATTTGTAACTACTAGAACTGGGTTATCCTTGTATCTCAGTATTGAAGTTTAGTTTAAAGCTACTATTAATGATAATTTTATGAAGTTTCTATAATACTGTCCTGAAGGGATTATACTCTCATAATAGCTAGATATGTGCGGGAATTATATAGCCAAACGTATGGATGAATCTTTCACGAGCTACATCCAGATACCAGTTCTTTTATCTAATATAATAGTGCGATAATGATTATCAGTTAATAGCATAATGGACAGTAATTCTCTAGTAAGAGCCAACTACACCTTGGATAATCAGGTTCTAGGATAGGACCTCGAAGCTAAGGTTATGGCGAGGACCATTGATGAATATTTCTTTCCTGGAAGATTCGGAGTAACTAACATAATCTGAGTTTGATAATTGTAGCCTAGTCATCTTGAAATTAGCGGGATCACTTGAATATTTTTGAATAATGTTCTTTTAGGCTCTTACAGCTGCTCAATATTCCCAATTTAGTTCAGTGGTCACATATGGATGAATGTCAAATGAGAGGGGGCCTGTTTTCTTTTTATTCACATTCGTCAGTGTTAGACGGGATAGAAGATATCCACAACTTGTTAAGTCTGCGAACAGGAAATGGCAAACTTTGAAAAAATATCGCTTCCGGAAGACTCCCTTTGGAAACGCGTGAATATTTGATTTCTAAATCACAGGCAAGGGCCTGCTCAGCAGGCTGGGATAGGGAATTCCGGACCATGTCACTGGTAAATTCTATGAGCGGCAAAATGCAGTGAACACCTCGAGACTCAGTTCCACTAGTGCTCAAGTGGTGTGCGACTTGCGAACCTTGAAAACTTACACTACAAATTCAGGCAACAAGGCAACTATGGCCTGCAGCATCTATGGTTTCTGGTGCCACCTGCCTCTGCATCAGTCGTCGGTCACACTAGCCACTTAAACGCCGGCTCTGCGGGCCACAGACATAGCATCCCCTCATCTCGCATACTCTACAGAAACCATTCCACCTCAACCATACTTGTTTAGGTTGAGAATCAGGACACACCACCAGGTTCACATTCTGAAAATTTAAACAAGAAAATGCGTCGCTTCGTCTCGGCAGAAGAGGAAAGGGCGCGCGCTAGACTGTTTACACAGTCGATGCGTGGGCGCCACTATGGCCGCCCCCGACGAGATCATGGCGAGGCTATGGAAAGAGCCCAAATGTATGTGGCCGCGATGCGTCCTATCCAGCCCGTCACCAGCTCCCCCGATCACAAGAGCTCACAGGACCCCGTCGCCGGCCTGGGTAGGCTAGCGATTTTGCCGAATGAAATCGTCATGACAGTCCTCGAGCAAAGCACCCCTCGCACGCTGACCCGACTGCTGCGCATTAACAAAGCGGCTTCGACTATGGTCAGACTGCTGCCTGAGTTTGCATATGTTCGAGAGACTGCCCGAGGCATCATGGAGCGCGCACAGGGACACTACCTCATCATTATGAAGAAGCTCTTCGGTATCTTGACCTATCGAGGAATGCGGCAGCTCCTGATGAGCAAGGTCTGCGAGAAGTGCGACAAGGCTGGATCATCTTTCCGCATGGTCAAGGTCAAGGTGCTTTGCGATGAATGCAACAATCCGACGAAGAAGATCATCTGAAAGCAACACTGAAAGGTTGCTCGGCGAGTACTTCACCATCATCATCCTACAAAAGTGGGAAGGGCTCGTATTCCGGTCATCGGATACTCCAATACATTATTATATAAATTGGAGACACAACCTGGTCAAGGCTGGCTACGCCTACCTTTGGCTTCGTATGATAGCTCCGCCTATCTGAGCTCTAACGATGTTTCTGCACCACAAGAAGCTGTTGTTGTCTTGAGTTTACAGACAACTGAGATAAGAATCATTGGCCGATATCCTCGAGTGACCCTGATTGAGCTTAACCCCAGCTCAGAATAAATTCGAATTTAAGACGAGCTCAAAGGCTCCGAAGACAAACACAGCACAGCTGCGCCTATTGTGTTCTACAGTACACACTTCACAAGATCATTAGAAATCAACGGCTTTCATCATCATCTATGTTCAAGGGCACTTTCTTCCAGTGCCATCCTTGTAAAGATGTAGATAGCATAATCCAGCAATGGTGTGTGTGATGCTTTCTGAAGTTTGTTAATTTCGTCACAGGAGTTGGTTATCAGAATACTTACGTACTTTGGGGTTTCTCTGGACAGTCAAATAAATTCAAAGATGCTTCGCACAGTAATTTATTCTCAACCAAAAAGTACGTCTTTATAGCTACGGAGTCTGACATAAATTAGCTGTTCCCAAATATGACTCTCAGCACCCTATACCAGTGTGCCCCACTTCATGCCTCGCCGCTTTTGTCAAAACTTGCTCTAGTTACTCACTCTCTAACATCCTCGCACTACAGCAATATGGGAAGTTCTTCAATTCCAAGCGAGGTAGTCTGCAACGGTCACCTGGAGAGACGATAGACGAACCTCGCAGGAAAAGAGGCCCACAATGCTGTTATCCCAGGAACTTATTTGTTTCTAGTTCCTTGATGTGAGCTCGGACGAAAACAGGGAAGTCATACCATGTTCGCCAAATATCATTCCTGTTCTTCCGTTAATGGACGCTAACATAATGCTCGAGAGTTCGAACTTTCGTCGCAATAAAACCACGATCCAGACACGGAAAGTGTGAGGTAAGTACCATTAGTGCGAGCACCATGCAAACGCGAAGAATACGCTGGCTGTCTGTCGGAATTGACCGTAGTAGATGGGGTGATGATTAACCTGCCGAGACGTCCACTCCATTAAACTCTATCTGTTGCGATATGGGAAGAACAAAATCAGTCTGGTTGACAACATGAGCACGAGCCCAATGAAGGGATTTTCAAGTGCCGCAAACATTATTACGTGTACGCAAAAGTGAACGAGTGCAAAGAAATCGGTAACAGGCTTAGCCAGCAAGGCAGGTAGCAAGAGGAGTCAGTGTCAGGGTGACATAAAGAACGGTTGGGACAGGGCCGGTGAGGACCGGCGGAACGCGGCAAAGGTCAGGATAATCAAGTCAGCTTGGGAGGGAATAATCTTGGAAGAGGGCTGGCTGCTTTGAAAGTTCTTGGAGAAGATGAGTCCTGGATATGGTATGAAGATGTCGTATGTTGACAGGGCACGAGACATGGAACAACGCACCATGAGCTATGTTGGCTTAAGTGTCAATCTCGAGGCAAAGCCGACTAATAGCGCAAAGGTCTTATTTACAGACTTAACAGAAGCAACACACGTAGCTCTCTGCCCACTGAATTCCATTTTGCAGGGACAAAACATTATTTCCCCTTCAGGACGTCACGCACGATTCCCTACAGGATATCTCTATTATATCACATATTATGTGTACGGGGCTCGCTGCATAAATGAAGTCGAACATCATTCAAGCCTGCAAAAACGTATTGCCACCTTCCTCTCAAATGAGCGGACTTTCGCGTGACTTCACAGTACTTCAACTCGTCGAACTCTTACCACCCCTCGCCGTTGATCGCCTTCTTCACAACGAAGTCAAGCGTTTCCATATCCTCCGGCTTCAGTCCGATGACCTCATTATCCGTCTTCTCATACAACGTCTTCCCACTCGCCCAAATCCGCCTCAGCGTCAACAAGGCCGCAGCGGGATTCCCCTCAGCCCACAACTTCTGCTCCGCCTCCTCCAATTTGTCAATGGGCGTGTAATCCACCTTGAACTGCACGCCCGTCTGCTTCTGGAACTCGGCCAAGATCTCCTTGGGAGTCGTAACGAAAGACTGTACCTTGAGGATCTTGTCCTGCGATGCCTCGGGATGCGCAAGAGCAGCAGCCACCAACTTGCCAACACTGCATACTCGTCAATAATTAATCAGCTAAAAAAGGAGCGGAGCAACACACTCAGGCATAGTAGTAACCCCAATCTTGCCCTCCCCATCTCCCACAAGCACCGCATCCTTCTTCCCGGCATCAAACCCGCCCGCGACATCCAGCCCTGGCTTTTTGAAGAGATACATCTCCAGATACGGCCCGGTAACCACGTAGGTAACCTTGACCTTCTTCAGATTCTCACGGATATACTTGCGCACCTTGAGCTTATTCTGATGCGGCTTCTCATCATTGCTGCTCTCATCATACTCAATATCGGTGCCGTACTCGCTCGGGAAGAACCACTTGACGCTGTCGCTCTCCTCGGCCCATTTGAGCAGATCGATCTGCTCGAGAAGTCCGCCGCGCCCCAGGCACGAGACTACGGTGTCAATGCCGGTGTAGGCTTTGCCAACATCGTCGGCGTTGTGGATGTCGCCTGTGATGACGGAGAGACCCTTGGATTTCCAGGTGGAGAGGAGGGATTCCTTGTCGGGGTTGGATACGGTGGAAGCGGAGGTTAGGATTGACACGGAGGAGAGAGAGGGGATGGAGGCTCCCTTGGCAGAGAGGATGGCGGCGGTGATGTATTTTCCGATGACGCCGGTGGAGCCGATGATGAGGATTTTAGAAGGGAGTTGGGAGGCCATGGTAACAGGAATTTGTGCGAGCGTAGGTTAGCTATTAGGTGAAGTGAATATGGTGAAATTTAGATCTAGATCGAGTGAGTTTAGTTTGGTCGTATCTATTATATACGCACTTCACAAAATAGCACTTGGAGTTTTAGGAGTGAGATGAACAAGTGGAGCGGGCGATGAGGCTACGATGTCGCCATGCGGGGTAAATCTTAAGACCGGAATTTGTTGGAAGGCTCATTCATTTTCATTTTTATACATCGCAAATTCTGAAACCGTTTTCGATCATGTAGGGCTGAACTCAAAATGCAATGTCCCCTTACCTGTTCAGTTCGGATTCATTACTTCAATATCATAACGTTGAACGAGACAACTTTCCTCGCCAATATTTAACCTAATCGTAACCCTAGCCCTAACCCCAAACTACAGCTGCGGGCGTGTTTCCTTCATTCTGTCTAACAGATGACTTTGAATCTAGTAGTATAATACCGGCAGAGAAATTCTTAAAGAGGGTTTATTGGGCTCATCGGGACTTTCAGGGAGTCTGACAAACATTGATAAATACTATCGATGCCCGTAACATGTGGGTCTATATATAACTACAACAAAGCAAACCGGTGTCTACACCAACCATCCTTAAATTTGAGAAGGTGAATCTCCCCTGACGCAATGATCGCTTACTTTATATCATGCAGATTATCATCCGCCGCCTTCTCAGAAACCATATATAGCGGCAACGCCGGGAAGGTGCCGGGCAGCTTAGGGAAAACCGAAGCATCTACTACCCTCAACCCGTCCACCCCTCGAACTCGGAACTGTCCATCCAGCACCGCCATGGGATCATCATCAGCCCCAATCTGACACGAGCAACTCGCGTGATGCCCCCAGGCTTCATCCTGGATCCACTGCTTCAGATCCTCCTCGGAGCTGACCTCCTCAGGCGGCCACACGCGCGTGATATTCCCATCAAGCGGGGTCATCTTCTCAAAAGCCTTAATTCCGAATTCCACGCCCTCGTATATAGCCTGGAGATCATTGTAGGCGTCCTCGCGACTACTAGCTCCCTCGTAGAAACTATTGAATGTAATCTTAGGCATATCCCTTGGATCCGAAGACGTCAAGTTGACCGCACCAGCCTGGTTACGTCCTCTAGCCTTGAGAATCAACCAATTCCACGCATTCTTTTCCGCCTCAGCCGTAAACGTGTAGCCCGGGAAATACCCTTGAAACAGGGCTGGAATGCTTCCAATCCAGAGATCGTGGTCGCTTGTCTAACCGCACTCTGAATGTCGCTGCTGTACTTCCACCACGCTCAACCAAATATGGGCGGGGAGAGTACTATAGTATTACTCAGACGGCTGTAGAGGTGCCGTCGCTCATCTCTTCCAGGTCGACACTCCATGCGCTTCCAATGGAGTACAAAAATATTATTATTATTATTATTAAATACGCCGTAGGCTCGAAGCCCCCGGTACCTCTACTAGTACTCCCGTATGTCAAACCGTGCCCTAATGGCTGGACTAAATACATACGCTGCGTCGTCGGTTCGCCCTATTGGCGACTGCGTTGCGTTCACTACCATACTACGTTGGTTCTCAACCTACCAACAAAGTCCCCCCTGAGAAGATCGATGCTATCTGGGCCTTGAAGCTGTCCGACCCGTCCCTAGCAGCCATCTTACAATAGTCCCACTAACTACTGGTTCTCCTGTTGCCGTTGCGAGGTCTCTGCGAGAGTATAGTGGTCGTGGTGCGATAGCGGCCCGTAATCGTTCCCTCGGTCCTTCCAACAGCCCGCAAAAGAGGATTACGTGCTCTGCCGTCTCAGGGGCATCGCCACAGCGGCATAGCGGCGAGTACACGCCAAAAGCCCCTGTCTTGAATAAGAAGGCTGCTAGTCCTATTTTTTCCGTCCTGATCTGGCACAGCGTAGACGCCTCCAGTCGGTTCAGGCCGAAATACTTGCCCCCTTTCGGTATCTGCATCGAAGGGCCCTCCGGTTCCTCAGCGATAGCGCGTCGCTGGCGATCGTGATGCTCTGCTCCGGTGAGCCATCTCTTCCTCCAGTGGTCGAGGAGGGCAGCCGGGACCTCCTTTTCCTCACTCATCCACTCGGAGCCCCGGGCCTCCTTCTCCATAGTGTACCCTGCCGGTCGGAGTAGCTGCGACGCCTGCTTCCTCTTCGCCGGCCTATCCTGCCGGAGTATATGTGACGCTTTAGCGCTCGCGCTGCGAAGCAGATTTCTCTTCCCGCTAAGTCGTAGCCGTTCTTCAAACTTAGCAGCCCGGGCACTAAGATAGAGGTCTAGTGGCGGGATTGCTGCTTCTGCTTCCAGGTGGCGAACCGGCGTCGCTTTGTGGGCGCCACAGACTACCCGGAGGCACTCGTTCTGTATCCCCATCAGGCTCTTAGCTGGCCCTGCCGGTTCCTCACTTATAGTATGCCACGCAGTCGCCCCGAAGGCGATCGCGCTACGGATAACCACCGTATATAACAGCCTCGCCCGTATAAGATCGCAGCCCCACGACATATTGACTAGCTTTGTCAGGGATAGCTTTTGAGTTGCCATTTTTGTTTTAACACGCTCAACATGGGCGTGCCACGTCAGTTTGCGGTCGAACCAGACTCCTAGGAACCTCGCTGAGACTACCGGCGACACTGTGGCGTCCCCAAGGCGAATACTTTGCGGCAAGGGCTCTCGGGCCCTAGTAAAATGCATTAGCTCACTCTTGTCAGGAGCGAACTCCATCCCGTGCCTCACTGCCCACCGCTGACACGTAGCCCATGCGCTCTCCAACCGGCGGCAGGTCGTGTCTGGATCGGTGCCGACGCTTAGCAGGTTCGTGTCGTCCGCGAACCCGACTACTAAAAGTAGTGGGTGCTGCTCCGCTAGCTCCTCGTACAGCGTTGAAATGTATAATATAAACAGTATCGGGGATAGCGGTGACCCCTGGGGGACGCCAGCTCGTAGGGGGATTGGCTCTGACTCCTTGCCATCGAACCGGAGGCGTACCGTCCTATCCTCCACGAAGCTGCGTACCCACTCCTGAACCCACTCCGGGTAGCCTTTCCGGGCTAATATGGAAATCAGCCGTCTGTAATTGACCGTATCGAATGCCCCCTTGATGTCTAGCTGTAGCAGCGAGGCGATGCCCCCGCGTCTCCACGCCGTATAGACCACGTCCTCAACTATACGTATTGCCAGTTCGGTGGACCTCCCAGCGCGGTTACCCATTTGGCCGTTTGGTAGTAGGCCGGCCGCCTCAGCTACTTTGGTGATACGCTGGCTCATCGCCGTCTCTATTACCTTCCCTACCGTGCTAAGCAGGGCAATGGGGCGCCAGCCGCCAGGGGTCTGCTTCTGAGCTGTCGTTTTATTAGGCTTAGGGATAACAACCACCCTCGCTGAGCGGAAGCGCTCCGGGTAGTACCCCAGCCTAAAGCTAGCTGTTGCCAGATCCGCTAGGATCTCCCATAGGGGTTCACCGCAGGCCTTTAGCAGGCCAGTGGGGATCAGGTCGTCGCCGGGAGCCTTCCGAGCAGCCGTTCCTTTGATGATAGACTCGATATCCATTGTGGTCACCTCCCTAGGGACGTTCAGCTCTGGTCTCGTCTGTAATAGGCCGCGATCGAGGTCCGATAGATCTATACACGGGTCTGGGAAGAACCTCTCAGCTAGTAATTTTGCCTTCTCATCATGTGTACGTGCCGTAAGCGTGTCGCCGGCGTCCCTCCGGAGATCTGGCAAGCCGTGGGCCTCAGGGGGGGCCCAGCTCCGTAGCCTAGCCCACCTCTGCAGTGCCCACAGGCTTTTGTGATCCTTCGCCGTCCCCTCGAGCTTCTCGTGCCAGCTACGCGTCTGCGCTTCGCTGATTTCGAGCCGTTGTTTTTGGCCGGCTCTTGTATATTCGTCCCAGTTGGTCTGCGACCTTGCCTGGAGGTAGTCCCGCCGTCGTCTCTTCGTCTCAGCGCCTCGGCCAACGGTGCGTCTCGGGACCGCCACGTCGGCGATCTCTTGGAGGTTCCGGATAACCCAGTCAACAGCCTGGTCCAACTCCGTTATCGTCTCAACCGGCAAATAATTCATAAATCTCTGGCTTGATTCGGCTACGATGAGCCACTTATCCGCCATCGCCCAGTTCCACCCTTCGACACTGCGGCGGCCCTCCTTGACTGCTTCCCCGTTGGATATTACCCTAATCACTTGCGCTCTGTGGTCTGAGCCCTCTAGGCCCGGGTCCCCATCGTAATCAATCCTAGCCCCTTTCGTCACCCAGGCTAGGTCGATAGTTGAGTCTCGTTGTTTGTGCCTTTGCCGTGTGATTTCCCCGAACGGCGTAACGAGCTCTAATCGCCAGCGTCGCGCAAACTCCACTACGTTGTCGCTGCCCCGTGACGACCGTCCGTGGACGTCCCACAGCGGGTGATGTGTATTGAAGTCCCCTACGAGGACCTGTGTCCCCTCCGGCGCCCCATTATGGAGGTCTTGGAGCGGGCTGACCCAGCGGCTCCCGGTCTGGTTTGGTGAATAGATAGACCAGATTGTAAGGGCGTCCGGGCCTGCCCCGAACGTAATACTGCTCCAGTCCATCCCGGTACGGGGTCACAACGTAGCCACGTCGTATCGTTTATGGACGTATAGCGCAGCTCTGCCGCTGCTGTACACTACTTCGTACCTGGACGACCTCGGGCAATAAATCGCCTTCGTCCGCCGGTTGATCCATGGCTCTTGAACCGCTATTATATCATAGTCACCCCCCTTATCCAGCGCTAGCGTTGCGTTCGCCTTTGAATCTGCGATATTCCAGTACAGAATAGAGACTACCATTAAGCTGTCGATGGTATATCTTCGTTCGTACGTCCCTTAGTGAGGAAGCTACGCATTGCTGACGCAGACCGTTCGGTTCGCTCCTGCTCCACTCGCGATCCGCCCAGGGGGCGGCCCCGGGGTCGTACAACTGTAAACCCGTCGCTGGTCAATGAGCTAGGTGGTGTGAGCCTGCCCTCACTAGATAACCCGTCCGAGTAGCTGCGGACCTCAAATTGTCGGGGGCGGTGAGCGTACGCCTCGCGTACGCGTAGCCGCTGCTGTTCTGCCGTAGGGCAGTCCCTGTCCCACGCCGTGTGCTTCCCTTTGCAGTTCACACAACGTTTTTTGCCGCTAGGTGCCTTCTCGGGGCAGTCTTTTTCACCCCCTGGGTGTGCCGTTGCAGCGCAGACGCCGCAACGCGCCGTCTTCTTGCAGTGTTTCGCGATATGGCCGTATTCGTAGCACTGGTAGCACTGCCTTTACGACCTCAGCCGCCGATCTGTTCTTCATATTAGGGTCCTCTGTCCCCCGGATCACTACCTCTCTCTCCCTTCGCTGGGGCACTACAACCCGCTGCTGCCACACTGGGGCTTCACCGGGTCCCCGTCCCTGGGCCGATCCTGAGGCGATAGAGGCCCAGGATCGAGTTGTAGGCAAGGCCACGTTCTTCACCGTATCCTGCATGGTCTTCTCAACCATCGTCTGGATCGCCGCAGGAATTTCGGCAAGGGCCAGAGTCACTGCCAGTACGTCGGCATGTGTGGCGGGTCTGTCGCCCCCCTCCTCCAGCGTCCTGCCGGCTAGTTTCAACCCCAGCCAACGCTCCATCAAACCCCCCATGACCTCAATCTTCTCACGTGGGACCAAGTCGGCAATCTCTTGTTCTACCTTTTGTAGTTCTCTTCCGATCCCTTCCCTCTCTGCGTTCTTTCTGCTGGTGCGCTCCACGTTCGGTGCGTGGGCACTTTCGTTGGCGTGGGGGTGGTGAAAACTCTGTTCGAGTCCCGCCCGTCCCCCGTCGATCACCATCGGCGCCGCCATCGCTTGCGTCCTCGCTTCGCGTGCGATGCGAGGTCACTGTCCGACGTAAACGGTCGTTAGGAATCGAATGCCGCAATCGGTTTGATGATTTGACGCTGTTCGAAGAAGTTATCGATGAAAGTCAGAAATCTCCCTTGAAAAGAACGCTTCGTATGAAGGACTTGTGATGAGAATGGGATTCGAACCCATGAGGATTGCTCCACCAGGAATATTGTAGTTAGGGTTGGGACCTTAACCTGGCGCCATAACCAACTCGGCCATCTCACCGGTTGATGTTAAGAAAAAGTGGCCAACTTGCTTGTGGGGTACGTTGTTCTTTATTATTATCCAGGGGGCTATACAGAAGGGGGCGGCTTTAGTATCATTGTTATAGAGTGGACCCTTAATCGCAGCGGTAAGGCTATTCTATAATATTTCAGATATGGGCTCTATATCAAGCCCTACTTCCAGCATATTCACGCAGGACATTATTTCAACAAAATAATGCAGGATTACACAGATCCGCTATAATGATTGATAATAGGAGGTTATTAATAGTGTGGTGGGCAGAGGTGCTACAAGTACGAATCAAGGTAACGATATCAGTCGACAATTGGCACGAAGCGTGAAGCGGATGTATCATTGGACTCATGGACACTGATGCGCGTCTTCTTTTGGTTGCGCCACAACGGTTCAGCGGTCCTTGACAAGCTGATGCGATCAGGTGGGTACGTCAGTATCTGATCTTTTGTTGGATTATGATGCTAGGCCTTAACTGCGGTCCGGTGCTGGCTGTGGTAATAAGGCGTCCCTTCCCTTGGCTGAGGATTTTGCGGCGGTGATATTAGATTTGGCTCGGCGAATGAAGCGGCCGTAACATTGTTTCAAATTCCAGTTGCCGTGGTACTGCAACGATTCGGGTTTAAGTCATGTTGACTCTTGAGGCTGCTCTAGATTTCCGCTATTCGAAGTCGAAAACACCCACAGTTGGAATAGGCGTGGCGCTCTCCATTCGGCCATGGCCTATGAAGCGACTGTATCATTGGTTCGGGTTTCGTTTTGGTGTTCGATTAAACGATTAAAGAGGAGAGATCAACACAGAGCGCCAAGAGGGTGAAATTTGCTGAGTGCAGCGGAAGATGGAATAGTGCTCAAATAGTCCCATGTACCCGAGTGTGAATTTCAGAACGCGAATCGCCTCTGTCAGATTTCTTATGGCGTCTGTCTGCAACATACAGTCTCGCTATTGCTCCAGGTAGAACTTTTTGATTACCTCTACCGATTTTAAATGGCCGTGTCCGTATTCCAACTCGCTTGACGTGAGCGATGGGCATGTGGATAGCCAGAAGTCGGTTTGTGTTGGGTGATGCCCATCCCACCTAGCCCTTGTTTTCTGCTTCCTGGAATAGACCGCACAATTTGCATGATAGGAGGTAGTCAATCAGTCATGATTTTACAATATTTTCCATTGACCAGATTCGGTAAAGTCGAAGTGAAGCCTCCGTCCCTAGCCTACCCTACCTGCCAAGAACGCCTAGAATCGCCTCAAACTCGACTTATATACTCAGTCAAAACCAAACCACCCCCTCTTGCCCTGCCAACCTAAACGCCCATTCCATTCATGACATGGTGTAGTCACATGCGTACGCAGTATAAAAAGTAGTCAGACCGGACAAAACAATGCAAGCCTAAACAAGTCTCTCTCTCGCCGTAATCAAGATGGCCAAAACCACGAGAGACAGAGAGAAACAGCTCCCACGTCGTTTTTACATCATCATCGGCTCTCCCGGAGGCATAATAACAGCCCCAACCCCACTGCGCTCCTCCTCCATCATTTCAATCAAATCATCCAGGTTCGCGTCCAGACTTTCGGCATCGTTGCGGTCCAGACACTGCTTCAGGAGACGTCGGTACTGGTCAATCTTGTCGCCGGTCCCGGCAACGGCCATCGCCTCCACGTACTCTTTCTCGGCCTGGCGCTGATCCAAAATGGCATCACGGACCTCCTGTCTCAGTCTCGTCATTGCTTCGGGCGATTCGTCATCATCCGTACCATTGATGTTCCCATTCCCGTTGGTAGCGGCAAGGGCCTGCTGGACGGCTGCTTCGATGTGGATATGGTTCTGGGTGGCTAGAAGATCCAGGACTTCTTGTTGCAACAGGTTCGCCTCGGCTTGGGTCTGCGCGGTTTTGTCCTCAGGCTCAAGAGTGGCTTGCAACTCTGCGATCTGCTGGTGTACCATAGCAAGCTCGCCCTCCGTGTTGGCCAGAATGCGGCGGGCCTCCAATTCGGCTTCATTCTTCTCCTTCCATTCCTCTTCGTAACTCTGAATCAATTCCTGAAATTTACCCATCACAAGAGGCGTGATCTTATTCTGCACCGTGCTTGCGGCCTCAGAGTTGTATGTGGGGGCCACCTTGTTGCCGTTTTCGGTCAGTGCATCGCGGAAAGACACATGGCGCTGTGATTCGGGCGCGAAAGGCGACGACGAACGCTGCGGGGCACGCTCCTTGGGCCCTCTCGAGGCATTGAGTGACTGGATCATCTCCTCGGCGCGAACACCCTCAGCGTTTGCGATGTCGGTCGATGCTCCTCGGCCCAGCAGTGCTCGTATGCATTTGCGGGCATTGGTCTGGGCGGCGAGATGCAAGGCAGTGTTGCCCTTGTGGTCCTGAGCATCTATTATGTGCTGGACGAAGCTCGGGTCATGAATCTCCTGTAGCTTATTGAGGATGTTGTCGAGATAGTAGCGGGAGCAGGAGTGGCTTGTCACTCTGCCACTCTTCATGATGGTGGCGTGGTGAATGACGGTACTGCCTGTCTCGTCTCTGGCATCAACCGAGTCGAACAGCTCGCGCATGATGGCCGGAAACGTTTGCTTCTCATAGCAGTTGGTGAAGTTCACAGCACGCATGAAGGGCGTCTCCCCCCGAACATTCTGCGCGGCCAGATTCGCGTTGAATCGCTTCAGCTGTTTGACCACATCCACATCACCCATGGCAGATGCCCAGTGAAGCGCGCTGTGCCTCTCCGAATCAATATACCAATCAGGTTGGAAATTAGGGGGTGGCTCAGGTCGGAAAGTCGGCGCATCCTGGCGGCAGAGGAGGAAGTAATCCAACAACTCATCGCCGTAGACGGCATGTTGCTGCTCCGTGAGGTCCTGGACAGGCTCGTCGCGCTTTCTCTTACGATGGCCCGTGGAGTAATGCGACATATCCTGGCGGTCTTCTTCAGCCATGTACGAGGCCGAGGCCACTGTGACGTTGTCGGGGGTATCGTCATCATTCAGCTGTTGGCCCGCGGTCTCCAACTCCTCTGCAGCAGCCGCTGCTGCCGCCGCCGCCACTGCCGCTGCCGCTGCCGCTCTGGGTAATGGGAACTTGGGCACGGCTGGTTTTCTGGGAGCCTTTGGCTTGCTGGTGTGACGAGGAGCAGGAGGGGGGCTCTGGTTGCCAGGAATGTACTCGAAGATGGGTCGGAGTTTCTCGTAGGCGTTGTTGCGATGCGCAAGTTGCTCGCCAGCCTCGAGGGGAATCCAGGTACCCTGGTATTTGCCATAACCGCCCTGGATCTTCTCATGGACGTCCTTCTGTACTTCTCGCTCAAGAATCCTGGTTCGTGCCGGCTTGTCGAAGCCAGCGGCTTTGAGGATGTGTGTCGCATTGATCCAGTCGTCTTGACGTCGGCGCATTACATGTTCCTTCAGATCGGCGCCGAATTGGAACTCATACACGGGGATCTAGCAACAGGGATCCTGGTCAGCTATGTCTACCAAGATGATGATGATGGCGGACATGTATTTGGAGACTCACACCACTGTAGGTGGCACTGTAGATGCCGGGGCCGGTGTCGGCAACAGTGGCCGTCGCACCCTTCACCATCTTGGTTACTTGTGCTTACAACCGTCACACAAGTTGGGATTAGAATAAAACACCTATCCAGAATGCCGAGGCATTACACAATGAGGGGTGAGATACAGGGAGGATGGCGGGGAGGTGGTTGGCGATTCAGCTTGGCGAAGTGAAGGTTGCCCAAGATTGGATTCGGGCCAAAAGTGGTGGGCCAAAAGTGGTGGGCCAAAAGTGGTCGGCAAAAAGGGAAACGGTTGAATTAGGACAGCGATAGAACCAATCTGACCGTTGCCGAGTATAGGTCAGGGTAGGTGACTCTTACAGAATCGATTGGTGAAGACGCGGTGACGCGAAATGATGAATGGTGGGCAGGACGCGGTTCGACTTAAGTCGCGATTTGGACTCGGATAACGGCGGTAAAAGTCCCGGTCCAAGGCCCCGGCACCCAGCCTTTTGGGGTTGATCCCTGAGCTCGGACCATGGTCAAAGTCAAGTCGACCCGTCACTGCTCCTTGACTGCAACTCAGGTGAGCCTGCTCGCGTCGTTAGTTCCGGAGTCAATTTTCTTGATCAACTGTCACAATGCCTTGCGTACGAACTGATCAACAGCACAGCATTGCTCTTATTGTGTAACTCTCTGAAGCCTATTCCCGTCTCACCATTCATAGCGACACTAGTCACTACCGGACGAGTAGCACCTAGCTGGGCTGCATGGCGTCGGTGCAGGCCATCTTCAGTTAGGAAGTACATGAGCCGATGTCTCTACACCATGAGCCCACGCCAGTGGCAGTTTTTCTTCCTTCTTCTCAGTCAATCCAGAGTGCTGTCACAGCTACTCGATGACGATGTGCATGAAAACGAAACCATCGTCACTATGCCGCAATTATTCGGTACGCATAACTGACAGCAGCTTAGCTGCTAGATCGTCAGCAATTGTATCCCCATTCCCTCGTGGCAGCCACATCCCTTAGCACATATCCCAAGGCGTATTTTAATCGCCCACAGACATCCTAGGGTGTACTAAGTGGATGCCGTAGCAATAATCCTAAGAAAAGAACGGAAAGGCTCGGTCATGCCTGACAGGTCTCTGGGTCCAGACTCGTTAAGAACGTTGGGTTGCTTCCTGCCTCGAGGGGATGTATCGTCAGATCACTGACGATGCCGTGGGCCGTGCCGCCCAGGAGCATGTTCAATTTCCTTCCTCTGTTCCCCATCTCAACTCCTCTGCTCTGCTGATCTTTCAATCTGCCATCGAAACTTTGCTTACGTTCGTACCTATTGCTGTCGCCCATGATGGGTGATCCTGCCACTGAGTCTGTTCCTCTTCCAATGTTGGTTGGTGGTGTCGCTGAGGTGTGCGGCATCACTGCGGAGGCACTCATTGCACTTCAAGCTCGTATCCAAAAGAGTCCGGCGAGCCTCTCTCCTATCTCAGCAGAATGTCTCGCCACTAAGGCCGTACTTCAGAGACTCGCGTCCCTCTTGCAACCCGAGGCAGAAGACGGGACTTTGGAGTTCGAAAAAATATTGGACTTCCGGGACTGTATTGTAGTCATTGTGCAAGCTGTCAGCTCCACCATTCTCGACGTCGATCTCGAAGTAAGACGCCTACGCCGGTACAGCGTCGAGGAGGACCCATTGGCAATATCAAAGATTGTCCCCATACTGCAAGACTCCTTCTTTGATGCAAGGCATAACTTGAGAAGGAACCGGGCATCATTGGCCCTGATATTGGACTGTCTGATGAGGTAAGCACATCAACTTCTTGTCTATGCTTGAGGTTAAAGGCTGTTCCATCCTGCCGAATACGCCTTACCTGCTCGTCCGTGAAGCTGACAATGACTTTAGTGGCGACCTTGTGGAGACTTCGGTGCATTTTCCGCATCATGATCAAGCAAAAGATCACGTGGAGAAATATGCGGAACTTGCAAGATTAAAGCCTCAAGTAGCCATCACTTTGTTTAAGGAATCCTCTACACAGAGCGCCCAGCATCTTATTGCGAGGTTTCGGCCAAAATCAAAACGATCCCACAAGATAGACAGCAGGATCATCCGGAAACTGCACGCCGGCATCACCAATGGTAACTACGCTGCCGTCTACAGATGTCTATCCGACAAGGCCGATCCTAATGCGCCACTCAGAAGCTCGAGTACATCACCGATCAACAGGGCACTCACCCATGCTGAGATGGCCTTGTCTGGCGACGACGAGGCAGCTTCGAGAGATGCCATGGCCATCATCAACGCGTTGGTACTCGCCGGAGCGAACCTTCAAGCAGTGGATGAGCATGGTCGAACACCACTCATCCGAGCCGTGAAAGACGAGATGTCCGACTCACTCGTCACATTGCTGCTGGAATTTGGAGCTCGCGTGAACGCGACGGACGAGCAGCAGAACACGGCGCTACACTATGCCGCCATGCAGCAACCGTCCGCAGAGATGCGGAATCTCAACGTGATCCGGATCCTGCTTGTAAACGGCGCTGATCAAGGGATCAGGAATGTGCGAGGTCGCACTCCTCTATACAAAGCCATCATGTGGGAGCGTCTTGGTCGGGCAGTCGAGTTGTTGGACTACGGAGCTGACTTGGAAGCGGTGGACAACAACGGTCAGACTGCCCTGTACGACGCCGTGCTCCACGGCAACGCGCAATTAACCAGACTCCTCTGCGAGCGTGGCGCATCTTTGGACAAGAAGGATAAGACGGGCCAAACAGCACTCCATTATGCCGTATCGCAAGGCCGGAGCGAAATCGTCGAGATCCTCGTCAATGCCGGCGCAAACGTGAATCTCATATCGAAGGGTGAGACGCCCCTATGTCGCGCTACGGCCAAGTCCAACAAGTATCTCATCGCTTTCCTGCTGGCTTTGGGAGCGGACATATCTGTGCCTTCTCCTGGGTATTCCGGCGCGCTTCCTATTCATCTTGCTTGCATTGGGAAGCAGATGGAGATTCTTAAGACGCTGGTCGATGCGGGTTCGCCCCTGGACGTGGTGGATGACGAGGGAAGGACGCCGTTGCAGTGGGCGACAGAGGTTAACAGGACTGATTTTGTGAAGTTTCTTGTGGCGAAGGGTGCGTATACCGAGGCTGAAACGCCTGCTGAGTGGAGTGGTGTTGGTGCGAGGTGATGAAAGGAGAGATTGAGTCCATCGTAGGAACCCTTCCAGCATGAGAAAATCAACTACGGCTGGCTAAACCCACCAACAGACTGGCTGATCGCCCCGTTACAACTTGTTTCACACCCAGCTGCGGACATACATCATGTCCTCAACTGGTCGCCGTGGTTATCATCCTGCTTGCGGACCGGGAATCCAAGGTTCCTGCGGGCCTTTTAGTGCGCGATCATCCTTAGCGTTCAAATCTGTTACGAGCTGGCCGCTTATATCTCAACGTGGGATTATTCAAATCTATGTTGATCCGGCGAGCATCTGATTTTCACTTGTTTGATCTTCTTCCGCTAGGCCGACGTGTGCATGCTTGTAGCCTTGTCTGTACGAGGCATAGCTAACATCGGACAAATATGCTGGGATGCTTTCACGCTACCCGGATCTTCCGATAGTGCTAGAAGTCGTTCGAATCGCCTTTCAAGGATATGAGAGTCGCATTCCGTGTGACAATACTGGCACGCCTGTGATGACCCGGTGGCTGATCTCGCAGCCTCCAGTTACCAGAACCGGCATTTGCTAGTCATTACTTTACCGGGGAAAAGTGATGTCTCGTCATTGTCGAATGAATTTTGTTATTTCCTTCCTCCCTATCTCTCGTGCCGCTTCAACCACAAGCAATATTCAACTCGTTCGCTTCAAATCAACTCGGCCTCTTCAACCTCTGGGGCCTGTCGGTAAAGTCACCATCTCCGTCAGCTTGTGGAAGAAGTCCAGCTCCTCGGCTTCTCGAGAAAATAAAGGACATGACAGACATATACTGCGAAAACTTCGCCTCAAAGACCCTCTTCGCCCATCCAATCACTTCAACAGACACGACCACCATCCAAGCGGCGCAAAACAGTCAAACCCACCGATGCATGCGATCACTCAAATCATGCGCCGGCTCAACGTCTCCGGACAATCCTTCAACACCTGCTCCTTCGTCATATTATCCGCCGGCGACTCGCTAACTAAATAAAGCATTCCACGCAAAACCACGCTCCTTACCATCGGCCTGCCCCCCAGATTTTCCAGCAACCCATCGCACGGCACCTGATTAACCCTTGCCCCAGCATCCCCCTTCATGATTTGCAAGTCCCCCTCCACGGTCAACATTCACGCCACCAAACACACGTATCACGCCCCCGAGGCGACAAAACCCAAATATGCCAGCTGGGCCACCGTCAACCCGATCCTCATCCCTTGCCAAACGCTCTGCAAAGCAAATAACCTCACATTCATAAACAGACGGGCCCTGAATTCGACGGGGGTAGTCCACTTATGGATATTGTGGTATGTGAACAGAAACCCCGTCCGGTAAAAATAGACAAATTGCAACATTTTGCCACCCCAGCTTCTGAGTTCGGCGGGTAGGGATGATTGGAGGAGTTTGGTGAGGGGAGGCTGAGGATGTTGTCTTGAGTATGAGGAGTTAGGGCTGAATAGTTGCGAGACTGGCAGCTCGTGGGAGTCATTTTATGTGATCTCATGGCTCACTACTGCTTAGGGTCTTCTTTGCAATGTTTCATGCTGTCGTCGTTCGCGATGACTGAGGAAAGATGGATACGTTGAATGGGGGACCACAGTTGGGCTTCATAATAGTCGCCAGTTCCTGTTACATGACACTGATAGGGTCATCTGGGTAAAGTAGGATGTCCCCGAGATTAGTTGACATACAGAGACTCTTGTGATTGACACGGTGATTGCACGAGAGGTCTTTCGTCGCTATGGGGAATCCCTATTCATATCATAACAGATAGGTCAACCCAATGAGCTAACGGGATTACACGAATACAATTAAGGTCTCCATTTTCTCAGAGGGACACCATATTCGAATTGATGGGTTGGCACGGTCTGGCAGCTGCTATACTGGGCAAGAAACTTTGCCTGAGTATTAACGCTGCGCTACTAGCCAATCATGTCACAAGACAGCTATTTGTTTGAGTGCTGCTAGATGAGTCTCTACTAGTAAACAACTCGATCGACGACGAGATAATTCATTTTGGCGCGAACAGTTTTGGGATCGTGTAATTGACATTTTCGCACCCTTTCAACTCTAGTATCTTGAATTGTGGAAGAGCGTCAACCCCGGTAGTGGGATTCGACTCCTCACCCTTGAAGTAGTCGAGACGACAACATGCAGACACATTATCAGTCGCTTCTAGATCCATGGGTTGCTACATCGGTTTAGCTTGCTACAAAGCTGCAACCTGAGGATAATAAATTACAGTTACACGATATGCCTACAGTTGACCTTGCCAGCATCATGCATTATCACTCGACGTTTCCGGTCTTCGGTAGAGGTCGCTAGTAGCATGGGCCAACGTCCATCGTCCAAGGAAGAAATAGTAGCTCATTGCTGGTGCTATGGCTCTTGTAAAAGAGGTTCGCAATTGAGGGCGGGTGAGAGCAAACATATAGGCCCCTCCTCCTGTGGGCTGGCATGCTCGTATCTATACATGGCTATATGCAGGTCTCAGCCCGCTTCTGTCGATTGTTTCCTCATGCTATATAGAATAGGCTGGGTCAGAACGCTGCGAATCGGATAAAAACGGCAACCCACCCGTATTGTTAATGGGTCATCTAAATTCCAGTTGCCCTCCAAGCAAGTCGCGCATCGCAGCGGAACAAGCCAGTAAGACCTTCATCGCGACTTTCCAGCAATAAACTTCATGCTAGCAACCCCACACCAGTGCAGTGCAGCGGGGTTACTTCACCTTGATGAGATCAGTCGCCTCGCTCTTCTATTCGACATGATGGCCGCGGCGTTACCAGCATCTGCGTGTAATTCGGCTTAGAAATCGCAGTTATTTCCGATGTACGGAACTGGAGTTTATAGGCTTTCGATTCTTCTTAAAGCCGAAGAGATTTCCCAATACTTCAGACAACTGCCGCCCATGAAGCCCCATCTTTCTACCAAGTCATGACGTAAGTCCCCCTCAAGCTATACACCAATAACCAAATGGAGTGCTCAACATAGTTTGTGCACGGAAAACTTTTCTCTCGCGTCTCTTACTGCCCGTCCTACAGACTTCGTATTATCGTCACATCATTACATTCCCAAAATGCCTCTTATCACGAGCACGGGCAAGCCTCGCGTGATCCTAGGTCTGATGATCTACGGACCGGACGAGGAGGCCGGCGCCCGCATCACGGACCTGGGCGAGTACAACAAGATGCTGGATAAGTTCCAGGAGCGCGGCTACAACGAGGTCGACACGGCACGCCTCTACGTCAACGGCAAGCAGGAGGCCTTCACGCGCGAGGCGAAGTGGAAGGAGCGCGGCTTGACGCTGGCGACCAAGGTTAGGTATCCGGCTGCTCCGGGCGACAACACGGCCGAGAATGTGCTGGAGAGTGTAGAGACGAGCTTGAAAGAGTTGGGGACGGATTGCATTGATGTACGTGCACTTCGACGAAAAGGGGTCAGTCCGGGTCTTCAGCTGGCTAACAGCCCCTTACCAACAGATCCTTTACGTTCACGCTGCCGACCGTGCAACCCCCTTCGCCGACACCTTCAGTGCCCTCGACAAGCTCCACAAGGCGGGCAAGTTCGTCCAACTAGGCGTCAGCAACTACACAGCCTTCGAAGTAGCCGAGGTTGTGATGCTGTGCAAGGCCAACGGCTGGGTGCGCCCGACCATCTACCAGGGTATGTACAATGTCATCACGCGGGGCATCGACGCGGAACTGATCCCGGCCTGCCGACGATACGGCCTCGACATCGTCGTGTACAACCCCGTGGCGGGCGGGCTGTTCAGTGGCAAAATCAAGAGCAAGGACATGGTGCCGAGCGAGGGTCGCTTCAGCGACAAGACGACTAGCATAGGCAAGATGTACCGGGGGCGGTACTTCAAAGACTCAACGTTCGCGGCGCTCAAGACGATCGAGACGGCCGTTGAGCAGCACGGGTTGAGTATGATTGAGACGGCTCTCAGATGGACGGTACATCACTCGCAGCTCAAGGTTACGGATGGAAATGATGGCATTCTTATCGGGGCAAGCAGTCTCGCGCAGTTGGATGAGAATTTGGCGTGTTTGGAGAAGGGGCCATTGCCTGAGGAAGTGGTCAAGGAGCTTGATAAGGCATGGTTGATTGCTAAGGCAGATGGGCCGAACTATTGGCATAAGGATCTGGAATATACGTATGACACCAAAGAGGCCATTTTTGGTAAGAATAAGAAGTGAGCTGTTCATGTGGTTTGGTCGTCCTAGGTCTCACTGCATGATTCATGGAGCATTGTGAGGGCGGCCGCTCTGACTTCGCAAAAGAGCGACGTCTGAACAAACAGTGGGCATTAGCAGCAAAAAAACAAGAAGTCAATAACGACCCGTCCAGACTTGCAACCCGTGTAGCTGAACAACCAGCAGAAAACATTAAGACGACCTGTGTGTTTGAGTAGGGAGACTTCGGACTATCGGCTGAGCATATCGGCTAACTTGAGTCGTGGTCAGTTTTCTGACGGCGGGCTCCCGAGAGGCTGAACCTTCCAAATGGTTGGCTCGGTGGCACGTGTAAAATGCAGGAACAGAGATGTGCACAATTGCTGGGACGAACATCAGTTGAAAAATATGCCCTATCACGAGGGTTTCCAAGTTCATCACAACAAAATGGAATTATATTGATGTCTTTGGTGAATATTGACCACGATGAGCTCAAAGTCAGCCACGATCTCACCCAGAGATCTCGACCGCAAAACCCCTTCTCTTTTCAGCCACGATTATCCCGGTTGGGTCCAGCCGCAGCATCGCAATTAGCGAGCCTGCAGCCCGGCATTCCCTATTCAATCCTAGTAAAGCTGCCAAGGGGGGATTAAGGGTCTCTGTCGTTTGGCGTCATCACCGTCTGAGACGAAGTCAACAACTCCATTACTCGTCGGATAGCGCTCTAAGTCGAGATAGCCACAACCACTCTCACTGGTAGAGTTCGGAACCACATTAAGTACACTTGCATATTGAGTCTACGCTAATCAATGCACCTTCCTGCACATGTCATCCATGTGTGTATTCTGGTATCATACTTCCGTTGCACGCGAGCTTAGCCACGCCTTTATTATCCTTTGCCTTCCTTCCTTTCCCCTTCTGCACACTCTTTAGTCAGATTTGATGCCTTCACGCGAGCTCCGCCTGTCGAGGATTCCGCCGGCGCTTTCGAACCTCCATCCCAGCCTTCGGTCACCTTTCCTCGACGACGGATCCGAGCCTTTGCCGCTCACAGCCGCCTCCTGCGAAACCGACATCGAAGATTACATTGGCAGCGGGTGTGACACCGTCGGCGAGCGGACACCTGCGTTCGGCAAGCGACTTTCTTTCGAGCCGGCAGAACGTTCACCTCTAAGTAATGTCGGACGCTACGACAACGATAAGAAACTGCATCTAGACAGCGACGAGGAGGAAGACGAGGAGGAAGACGACGACGACATGGACAGACCTTCCTACACCCGGCCTAGCAATGGCCGCTCTGGCACTCCCCTCCTTCACAAAAACGATGAAGAGCGCGGACGGTCTCGGGGGGCGCCGTCACCTCTGCTCATGCCTTCCAGCTGGTCAACTTCACGCACGCGACCCTCGCTCGCCCGGCGCTCCACGATGCGATCCCGATCACCAGACACACAGGCGCGTATAGCAGCGCGCAAAAAGTACACATATGCCGCCGTCTTCCTTATCATCTCGCTCGTCTCCTTCTGCATCCAGACGGAGCTAGCGGCGTACGTGCAGCAGGACCTCGGCTGGAACAAGGCATACTGCATGCTGTATCTGACCCACGGTTCATGGGCTATGCTCTGGCCCGTCCAGCTCCTCGTCCTGCGCCTGCAGAAGTGGCAGACGCCCTGGAGGACGTTCTGGAAGCGGCACGTCTACATCCTCCGCAGCACGGCGCACATGGTGCAGGCTCAAGACCTGGAGCCCAAGCACATGGCGCATTTGAGCCCTTGGCCGTACTTGATCCGTACCACGGCCTTCGTCACCAGTGCGCTGACGGTCGCGGGATTGAGCTGGTATTTGGCTGTCAACATGACGAGTCCGAGTGATCTGACGGCTATCTACAACTGCTCTGCCTTCTTCGCCTACGCCTTCAGCGTGCCCCTGCTCAAGGAGAAGCTGCGCCTCGACAAGAGCCTCGCGGTGCTCATCGCCATTGTGGGCGTTCTAGTCGTGGCCTACGGCGACTCCAAACCCCCCGCCGAAGGATCAGAAGAGCCAGCCTCAGCAGACGGAACCAGGTTCTTGGGTAACATGATCATCGGTGTCGGCAGCGTGCTCTACGGCCTCTATGAGGTACTCTACAAACGCTGGGCTTGCCCGCCCGAAGGCGTCTCCGCCCAGCGCGGCATGATCTTTGCCAACGCCTTCGGTAGCTGCATCGGGTTTTTCACTCTGACCGTTCTCTGGATCCCTCTTCCGTTGCTGCACATGCTCGGCTGGGAGACATTCGAGCTCCCAACGGGCGAGACAGCCCTCTACCTTTGGCTCAGCGTCGTCATGAACGCGACGTTTGCGGGAAGTTTCTTGGTGCTCATCTCGTTGACGAGCCCCGTGCTGAGTTCAGTCGCGGCGTTGCTAACGATTTTCATCGTGGCGCTTGCCGATTGGGCCCTCACGGGAGAAGCCATCAGTGCCGCCGCGCTGTTTGGCGGGGTCATGATTATTGTGGCGTTTTTGATGTTGAGTTGGAGTACGTGGAGGGAGATGACGGAGGACGCGGCGCGGAAGGCGGGCGCCGTGGAGGTGGACTATGACAGTGAGGAGAGTGATAAGGATGACGAGAGGTTAGACTAAGGTGTGGTAGTGAGATAAGGGTCGAGGTTTGCCGTGGAGGATGGAGTGTGTGGAGTGTTGATAGGTGCCTTGGAGTTGAGGGGATAGACTGATTTTGGCGAGATCTTGAGAAGGTGATATACAGTGTTGGTTTGTTGTCAGTTGTGTTACATTCAGTTCAGACTCTGTCCTCCAGACGGATACAGGGGTTTGTTTGTTAGACGTTGGATCTGATCTGGGAATCAAGACAACGCGAGATATATAGACGGATGAGGATCACGATGTTGTAGGACAGATTAGCTAGTGCAGCTCCCCGTCCCCCATCGTGAGCATTAGCATCACACGGCGTTCTAGGTACCGGGAATGGATTTGGGGTTTCTTTGCTTCGCGTGCATACACCTATATTTCCCACGTGCTTTAGAAGCTCGCCCGAGTACAAGGGTTACTGGGTGTATTGGGTACATCCGGGTTTCCATCGATGGCGGGAGGGCTTTGCTAGGGCAAGTTGGGCTCTACGCTATGGAATACTTTAGTGACGTTGTTATGCGAGTGTGTAGTCGAGACCTCTTTTCGTTTTGGGGTGGTCTCGGGTTGGGGTAAGCCAGGCAGGGCAGTGTTATACGGGGAGCTATTTGCGCGTCTTGCTGTTGACTTCGAGGCTGTGATGTAAGATAGGACGGTGAGTGAGTGGCGCCATACAGTAAAATAGTAGAATTGATTTCCTGAGCTGTTCTCTTGCTTCAGCTGAGTCGGCGTCGAAGCCTCTCCTGATGGGCTTGCCGTCCCGCGGGCAGGGTCGAGACTAGAGTGATACTTGGATACAGTATATTGTCTTCGCTGGGAATGATTATTGAACCGAGCTGACTAGACGAAGTCATGGTCTTCATCAGGATTACTATACCTCTCTAGGCAAGCAGACGGTTGGCGGATGAGATAACCTATTTTAAGCGACTGATCACTGCATACAAATTGTGTGACAGGTCAAGTACCGGCCTGTTTGGACCAGGGTATCAGCACCCCTCACAGCACTGAAAACTAGTGGAAGACCAAGTATCATGAGGGTTGTAATATTCGAAATCTGCGTGCATGCAGAGGTGTACTGCATACAGATCCGCGTCGAAATGACATTAAGCGATGTTTTCCATCTGGTGTTGTTGCTTTAATTGAAAGGGTGGGATCAAGATTGACGACTTGAACAAATCCAGATGCTGATCTTCGCCTGGCTGACTGCACACGTTGATTTGAGTAATCTGCTTCACTAGACGTACACCTCCATCTAGTCCACTCAATCGTTGATACTCTATTGAAATCTCGTATATTTGCGCGATGCTCGTTCCTCCGGGTCGTGCATCGATCCATGCCACCGCGCCACCCAGTGATCTGCACTATGCGAAGGTAATGCGACTTGAGGAGGCAGGCTGGCATGTTGACAGCTGAACACGGACCCAGCTTGCTAAGCTGACACTGATAGACGAGTGTTGGGGGCGCTTTTGGATCCTTTTTCAGCTGCTTACTAGTAATGATACAGGGTATAGGTTTCGCGGCCATGGGAAGCGGAGTTGCTTACTTGGGTCAAGCATCCGCGCAGCCCTGGGGAAGAGCCAATATAATTGATGCAGTGCTGAATATTATAGGCCATGGTGATTTCGCAAGGACAAGGCGCAGGACGTTGCAAATTATATGTGGCGAGATGAGGTGTGTACTTGTGAATCATGTTGGCACCACCACGTCAGATATGGTATTCGCAACCTCAGACATTGCATTGCACGATGCAGTTTAAAATTTCATGCTTCAAGGATAATGACATAATGTCTTAAAGGGAAGCAGACTCAATGTTAGCTACTATATACTATGCACAGGATGTGGATTATAGGCATCTTGAAACTCCTACGTAGCAATTCGGCACTAAAAGCGTGTTACTGGATAGCTGTGCTGGACACCCCATTTGCTAGTTGATGGATAACTTAATAACCATCCCAAGTAGTGCTTCTCCATATTACGGGTTCTGCAGGTTCACATTATAGCAACTTCATTGCCTTAGTGACAACACCATGCAATTTAAACACCTTCCAAGAATCCATATGAACACATCATTGATGATTCAATCCCTCTGAAGATAAATGCAAGCACACATAAAGTCGTCATTTCTACCACTTTAATAAACGAAAGAAGATGAAAAACCAGGAAATCCCCTATCGCATCTCCCAAAGAAACCTGACCATGGCCGTCATGTAGATCACAAGTCTCAATCTCTATCTTCTTTCCAACCACTCTTCAAACTTGTCCTTCGTCGCTTGAAATATTCGCAACAAAGCTATGATGGTAGTCACACCCGCGCAGACAAGGGTGGCCATGCCGAGGATCCGAACAGACTGGTATTGGTCCATACCCATCTTCGTTTTAGAATGGGCCAACTGCAACATAGCCATACCCCCAAAGCAGTACCATGCACCCATAATGATGAATTCGAAGACGCGGGAAACGATCCTCCACCAGTTTCTCTTTTTGAATTCGAACCTCATCCGAAGAAGTAGGAACCAGGCGCATGTCATGGCAGGCAACACCAACAACATAATGTGCAAAACAGTACCAGGCTCGTTGCTGTCAGAGTCGCGCCAAACGTACCAGATAAGAGCATTCATGAAGAATATGCCTATTGCAAGGAAAATCTGGACGCAAAACCGGAGTCCCCCTATGATCACGGCCACGGTCGTGTCTGGTTTAGCTTTGTTTTCTTCGATCTCTCTTCGTGCTTTCTCTGACTTCTCCTCCTCGCCAGTTGCCAAAATCCATTTCAAAACTGACTTGGTGCCCACAGACCCGCGGAGTATGGCTTCCAAGTGGTGGTAATTGATTCCCGTGGCTGCATGGTCAATAGATGCAGTACCACTAAAATTCGTCGTCGTGGTTGAAGTCTTGGACATTTCCTTTCTTGGAATAGAATCCGCTGGTCCTGTCCCCTCCCATTCTTGGGACGTGGATGCAATATCAGCCATATTTTCGGAATATATAGAACAGATTGGTCCTTTTTTATGTTGTCTGTGAACTGGGAGCTCGGAGTCTTCCTGAAGTTTTGCTGAGATGATCCTGGATGTGTTTCTGCTGACGATGGCCACGGTAGGGATACTCTAATATACGACGAGTCGCGGGGACTAGGGATAACTTCTACCTTATGGTTCTCTTCTCTCTGTCGGCGAATTCATTTGGATGCTTGCTCAACCTGTCGGCATGCGGATTGGTATGTAAGATATAGTGGAAAGTGACTGAACCAGGTCATCTGAGTTGAGTGTGATATGTGGTCAGCATATGACTAACAGGACGGATGCTACTGAACTGCAGCTCTTGAAAGACCCCCAAGCCGTCTCCTATTTCGGCTACTACTCCCTTACACCTACTAGGAGATAGAACCCCAAACCAACAACACATCTAGTGAATACACCATGTGCACCTCCAACCCTTCGCCAATGGTCTTATGAGACTCTTATGTTGGCCGTCAATACCTGATTTGCGGACATGAAGTCAACCAATATCCACCACGTGGGGAAGCAAGACATTAGCCGGTCATGATGTTGGGTGGTTTCCTTTGTTCTCTCTTTCTTTGTCTTGAGGACACGCGATATGGATATGCGAGTTTGCGGCAGGTGATTCTGAGAGCAACAACCAACATTCATTTCCTTTGTTCTTCAGCCTCATTCATCGACCTCGAGATGCTGCCGAGCAAGGCTGACGGACATGTTGTCACAAATCGCTGAGTACATGATCTTGAATCTTTGAATCACAGTAAGGAATTGGAGACAGAGTTGTTCTTGTTCAAAATGCTTCCCCTTCCGTATAAGTCAGGAAGTTTCACGCCAAACTGCAGTTATCCGAGCATCTCGAAACTTCCTGTACTTGCCATTTGCATAAGAAAACCCTCGATTGTTCTCTTGCCCTGCCCCCAAAGTTTCATGGTTTCTCTAGGCAAGGTTTCAGCGAATAGTTTATTAGAGCAGATTCACCATTGACTAGTGTTGGAATTTTTCGTATGACAACATCCATCAGGGTTCTGTGTCCAAGTTTTAAACGGAATGATGTCTCATAGGCCGGGCATCTGGCACAAAATAAAAGGATAACACACACACGGGCAAACCTATAATAGTTATTAGCCGTTTACCATTGTCCTTATAGGCATCTGGCCCAGCTCTGCATAGAGCTTGTTATTGTCTTTCCTTCTAATCCCTTCACGGACAAATGCCCAGGGCCAAGAAATTACCTAGCTTCATCCCCTATAATGTTTTGCTCTTCCGGAGTTGGCGGGTCGACTGTACTAATCACACAGAACATTCTCTTTTGGATATCCGTTTGGTCGCTGCCATTTCTAAATCCCATAGTAAGTTCATGGATCCTACTATGCCAATTTTAATCATGCCAGCCACCGATCCTTCTCCATTTGAGCTTCAGACATAGCATTATCATCACGCCAATCCCGTCCGTATGACCCGTCCCATCCACCAAAGAATTCGCGCTTCGGGCATCTCTCATCTCACCAACAGCCTCTCCACAGCACATTCCTGATGCCTAAACAAACCATGGCGAGTTCCTAGCCTCGGCGAGGTTTGACTCCAGAATGCGAGCTATCAGCTGGCCCACACCCACCCTTCGCTTTCAGGATCCCATGATCACCCATCAGGCTGGCTGGAGTTGGTTCCAAGTGGGTCAACCCCGTGAACGAAGGAAGGATGGATTGTCGCTCTCGCGTCCCCAAGCCTACTGCGGAATCGCGCTTACCACTATCCCATTCAAAGGAGTATGTGGTTATTACTAGCGAATAGGACTGGATGAGACATAAATTTGGAGATGGCACTTATGACGCGAATGGAGGATGGCACGTATTCTGCCTTCCCTGGTGTTCTATTGACGGTGCCAAGCTCGGCTGTTCGGATACGGTGAAATAGATAACGCCTGAGCTCCACACTATTTAGGGAAGTATCCAGGAATATCACTACATATGACCAGAACCTGTCTGTTCCATATTTTGATAATACATGGCCCACAACCTACGGTATGCGTCTGCGAGGCATTCTAGGTACTACAGACGAACTTGCGTTATTTGACTGTTCCCCGTAGGAATGACTATGGAGTCGGGCGTTCGGCCTTTGCCAGGTACCTGTTCAGTCGGAGCCTCATGACTGCATGGCAGAGGCCAGCTTGGGGTCTATGTGTCGTTGTTTGACTGAGGCCTGTGTACCGCGCCTCAAAGAGTGGGGACTAATAACTGGTCAACCCAGGATGCTTTGAGGGTTTTCCCGGTCCCAAAAGACTCAGATCATGCTGAAGCAGGTTGCAAAGATCAAATTCTGACCGGAGGCAACGGAAACAGCTGACAGGCCGCGCGGCACATAATGGCTTCTGGAAGTTCACCCGGCAAGGAAAGGACGAATCTCTCGCATCCTGAAGAATGAGTCAGACCAGAGAGTATGGTGTATAATCCCTTCGAAGTCTAGAGCGGTCTCTTGCTCTCTCATCAACTGTAAGTCATTAGGCAATATCAGCAAAACTGAAATATTGGGCCGCGCACATTTAGACTGCCCGTATTGTGGTAGTGATACATATTGCGATCTTAAATATTCTCTGTTTGGGAACGACACGGACTCCGTTGAGAGGAACCTCGCATAAGATGTAGTTTGAGTCAGCAAGTAGGTTTCGAAACCCATATCCTGTTACCCGATCTTGATTGGCATGAGTTTTGGCTCATCGTGAGTGGACGAGAAGGGAGAAACACTACCGTCAGCTGAGTCACTCTACATCTCACTTGACCTGAGTGCTTGTAACGGAACTATATAACTACTGTAAGAAACCAAGCTGTCCATCATGGGGTAATTCGCGTTGCTGGCACGCTCGAGATCGCGGCCTAACGTCGCATTCCTCATCCTCGCAAAGTCGCAAAAGGTCCAATCGAGAAACTGTCTTCATGGCGCATTCCCTTGCGAGGCGTAAGCGCATGTCATGAGGTGTTTGTGTTGGGCGATTTCCAGGAATTGAACATCACTGGAGCCCGTTCCATGTACTTCCCGCCGAGACACGATGTTGCGAGTGCTGAGAGGAACCCGAAGAGGGCGGTTGGAATTCAGCCTGTCAGACGCCAATAATCCTTCCGTCTCCACTCTTCCAGCTTGTCACCGAAGGATGCAATTTTGACAGCTCATCAGCCGGGCTTCCGGTCAAGTATCTGGCGAGAGTGATCATGAGCCATTGATATCACGAGTGAGCCCAGGTGTATCCCCAGTCGTGAACTGCCGTGGTTTCACATGCCCCAGATGTCAGCAAGGCTAACCACGAGGTTATAAACTCCACATATTTCTATTGGATGATACACGAGACGACAAATACTCGGTACGACTTCCATTGAGCTGAAAGGCATTCAACCACGGTTTGGTAATGCAACCAAAATGGTTCACACAAGTAGTCGGTCGTGGAATCGATAGAACAGGGTGACCAATCAAAATGGAATACAGCCTGAAATGCGGCCAGACTCCAGCAAAAATTGGTTGGTTATACGCAATTCAGGATGCATGACCGAAAGTGGCAGCGTCGTAGGGCTGAAATGCCGAATTAAGCTGCTTCATATAAAAGTCTGTGCAGAGAGTCGACGCTCGGGTGAAAGTGGGGCAATGTTTACAGGTGCGTGACCGATGGCCATTAGATTCGACAGCCGCGCAGCAGACTGGCCACAAGGTTAAAAGGGGGGGGGGGGGGGGGTAAAGGGGGGGTGACACTGGAAGAATAAGCGCCAGGGGACCTAGGCCTTGTTGGGATCGTAAGGCTGAGGGCAGTAGATCAACTTGCCGATGGTGATGCAGGGTAGAGGGGAGGTAGAGGGGCGCTGACTGCACGTCATGCCTCGTGCATCCCTGACTCATCAGCATGGCGGCTCAACTCTTTGAGATAATCATGGCCAACCAAGTCGTGGTGCACGGTGATGCTGTAGGCAAGTCTGCCGATCAAGAGTTCACCTGCACAAAGTGCAAGATGGAGACACCCATCGGGTCCTTGTAACAAAAAGAGCTAAAACCTCTGTCGTGGGAAGTCGCTGTCGGATGTTGGATAGCGGGGTAAATGGCAGTGCAGGCCTCGAAGCAAGCAAGTGAGCTGGAAAAACCTGTTGTCTGGATGACACGACGTGCCGAGTCGTGTTCTAGGGTAGTTCGAGAACGTTACGCCAAAGCTCTCGGATCCAGTGAAGTCGTTTTCTCGCAACGATGCCAGCTGGGAAGGACAGGCGGTGTGGGGGGTCCACGGTCCCAAGTAAGAGATCTGGAAGGCGATCAGTGCTTGCCATCCTGGAAGTCAATCTCGGATAGGGCTGTGGCCGGCTCTGATTTGCTACCGTCTTGACGGATCTGGTTGGGTAGTTGGGCGGCAGGGCAGAAGTCGAAGTATTGACTGAACGGGCATATCGCGTAGATGCTGCAAATGCCAACCAAACTCGACGGCTGTGGAGAAGCTCGCTGCCAGGAGCAGAACAGCCGCCACAATTGGGCGTCGGTGAATGCTGTACGTTCCATGATGCCCTAACATGATGCCCTAAGACGGATCCTGTTGTGCTGAAGTCAGATCCAATTGATGATTCTACCCGTGGGTTTTCACCGCCTGAAGATTTGGGGGTTAGAAGGCCCAAATGGATGGCACGGGGAAAGGATGATTAGAAGTCGCCACCGCGTTAAACAAAGTCTGCATGGACATATTACGAGAAGGGTGCAAGCAACCTATGGCAATGCAATACTGCTTTGAAGCATGGAATGCTGCACGAGATTGGACTGCTGCATGGCTGTAAATCGGGGATGATTAGAGTTGTGGGGATCGTGATATGCACATCGAATGTTGGAAAAAGGAGGTGAAGGCAAGTGCAGCTGAAGATTGACAAATAGGGTGGCCAAGTGGGGCAGTTGGCTAGTTTTCAGCTAGTTTGGTGCTGAGAAAAGTCTGTATGCCAGCTGCCTCCAGGCATGCCTTGCCTGGATGCAAGGTCAAAACGACCCCGCCATAGACGATTTCCAGGTTGGAACTTGGTGCAGTCCTAAACTTAGAGTGGCAACCCTGCAAGTCAAGTCCTGCATGAATTAGCCCCCATCATCATCTACATATTTCCAATATCTTGGCGCCCGGCATCCACACGAGTGACGTGGTTCACACTGCGTTCACCTGCACGAGCAGCGGAAGTGGGAGGAACGAATGTAAAGCATGGCAGGCATGAGGGAAGCACAACAGGAGCCGGTTGAGTGTGCAGACGCACCATGTCGCAACGTCTATCCGGGATCAAAAGCTGCTGAGAGTATCACTGTTCGTGGCGCTCACGTGGCAAAAGCTGGTACTGGCATCTGACGGGCTGGCTGACCCTTGCCTTCACCCTTACCAATGGAAATCATGGAGCATGGAAGACACGGAACGCTAAGTCCACGAGACCCAGCTTCACGACATGGCAATAATAAGCAGTGGACCATTGGTTGTCCCTCGCCAACCAAGGCTCCTGAAAGCATCGACAATACGAGTATCGCCGACCAGTATCATCCACTATCGGGGCCGCATGGTCAGGGATCCAACTGGGAACTGGGGTGGGTGGCCGCGTAGGGCTCACCTCAGCGCAGCTGAATCTCTAGCCAGACTAACCCGTTTGGGTTCTTTGTCGCTCCCTAGCTTCGGGCCTTCAGGGTTCTGGCTGGCGGTCTGCTGGTTGATCTCCGCGGATTGGAGTACCGGCATATGAATATTCGAATAGAATGTGGATTCCGAGTCCATCTTTCTAGTATCGCCGAAAGATGGCTGCCGAACTACACAATCTGATGCCCCCGGCTGAACTTGATGGCTGGATCAATCGCTATCGGATTCGGGACTCATGGAATCATCATCGACCGCACACATGTGCTGACAACAGCACAAGCCCGGAGTTTCATACATTGGCTTTTTGATCTGGCGGCTACTTGACCAACCGGACACAAATTGCTTTAGCCGACAAGCAATCCGCCCCAGCATGAGCAGTCTAAAGGTATTGGAGATCCGGTAGCAACTGTAAAAAATCCACAGCGCCAAGTTGGATGGCCGGCTCATACTGCGCCTTACAGATACCTATTCCAACCATGGCGCGTCACAGTGACTAAATTTCCAGGAACGGTATCAGCTGTCGCCTTGTACAACCGCGATTGAGGCGCGTCCGACTTCGATGGCGCGATTTGTATGTTGATCATGACAGCGCTTCACAGGCCGCAAGGCTTTAGCAGCAACAAGACAGGCCTCCACAATTGCACCGCTCATCATCGCGCCACAAGTCCGACGGGACCGAGTTTACCAGGACTGCTGAAATGTCCCACGCGCGACTAGCTGACAGCCCTGCGGATAAGTGGGATGAAGGTCGTCCCTGGCCTGCGCTGATAGTCAGCAGGTGATTTTGGTTCAATTCTCCTCTTTCTTCGCGCCATAGCTGTTTGCCCCTCGTTCTCAGCCAAATCATGCATCGTCCCCTTCAATTCCCAATTCCTCTCCGGCACATCTTGTTCCAGGCATGCTGACCGAGTATGAACCCTCGCAACAAAAACTGGCCGTGGTTTTTGTTGCGTACTGCGTCAGTCGCGTATAGGCCACAAATCAAGTCTCTCCTACAGCATGACTGCAGGTCATTGTCGCCAACCCCCTCCCAACCTAGCTATCCCAGCTGTCCCACCTAGGCCAAGGTCACTTCCACCTCAAATGCCACACTTGACCTACCCTATACCACTGCTGCTACTTCACTTTCCGTTCGCCGTCGAAGCGCACACGGTAAATCTTTCCAATGGTATTTCCCACTATGTCTATACCCGAAGAGGCAAGTTGTCCGGTATTAGCGCCAATCGACATCGTCTTGTGTACATTCGCTGAGCCGACTTACTTAAACGGCGGGGCTCGAAGGGAATAAAGGCTGGTGTCATTTTCACTCCTCCACTCCACTTACATCCACACCCCCTCTCCCCACACCCCCCCCACCCCCCCAAAGTTGGGCTGGCTTCTTATTTCCATTTCTCATATTACACATTCTTTTCTTTGAAGATTGACGACTCCCTCACTAATTTCGTGCTTGTGGTGAGTTGATCCGCGTATATATAGTACAATCTTGCTCCACCTCGTCACATCCGTTGCTTTCAGACATCGCTCTATCTGTGTCTTCGCCCATTCGCTCCGAGTGGGCGACCAGCTGGGTAGCTCTACGGCATAGTTCCTCATTCTTACTGTTATTTTGGTCATAAATGGATTGAGCTGTTCCTTCCCGATCACCATAATTTCCTGCATCATACACCCTCCAACATACACCAACGACCAACTGGCCTGCCTACCCGTGTAAGTCGGATCAAGCACCATCTATTGGACCCCATCGTCCTCGGCCCTTCTCGCTAGCAGTTGTTGCACCCAAGGCCTGCAGCGTTCTGCACCTCTGCAACCCCTTACGGTTCCTTCTCACCTGCATATTGCGTTTTGTTTGGGGTCCGTCGTGCGAGCGCCTCATAGGTCTATCCGCGAGATTCTCTAGCTCGGCTCTCAAGTCACCCCGATCGACAATTCACCGGCCCACCTACCGGACTTCGTTTGATCAGTGCAAGCCACCACTGTCACCAGCCTAATCCAGGCGGGCACGAGAAACGGTACCCTACAAGTTTTTTTTAAACAGCAATCATGCCCACCGTCAATCTTCCTGTGCAGCACGCCCGGGGTAACGTCACTCTGTCGAGTAGTCAACTACAGCTCATATTCAATGTCGCTGTCGCCTCGGTGATGCTCTTCTCCGCGTTTGCCCTACATCTCGTGATACGATCGAGGAAGCACGCATTTTACGCTCCAAAGCTTGCCGGTTTGTCAGTACCCGGTGCCATTCGCGAGCACCACCGGTACTTAAGGGTACCAGAAAAGTCACGTGGGGTCAGCAACGACACTACGTTGGCCATGCCGGCCAAGCCAGAGACGGAAACTCACCAGTTGGGTACAGACAGCGACACAGTGCAAATAAACACTGGGGGAACACGAAGAGGGTCTCAGGATGGTCTCGATAAGTTCCGCAGAGACGTAGTGGGTACCACTGGGAATGATGCGACAGTGCCACGGAGTCTTAAGTCTCAACCACCGCCACCACCGCCTCTGACTCCTCCTGCCCTGTCCACGGCTGTTTTCATGTTCGAGGAGCGCCGATCAAGCTCGTCTGTATCTGTCATTGGCGATCTGGACACCAATTTTTTCCAGCAACCGAATCCTGACTACACATCGCCGATGTCGTCTACATCGACGGCCTTGCCTCCGAGTCACGGTTCTCCCACAGCCCCAAGGCGAAGATCCTATACGAAAATGCTACCACTTGGACCGCCTCAGCCAATTTCGACTTCTGAGCTGGACAGCCATGCGCCGCCATTTGCTCCAAGCTCGTTTCCGCCTTCCAGCCCAATTCTGCCACTCGCACCCCATACTGCGTTTAACCAGAGGGAAATTGACGTGCATGGTGAGATCATTTCCGTAATGGACGACGCAGGTGCAGGCTGGAAACGGCACACTCGTGTTTATAGCGGAGGCGTATGCCTGGCTTGTCAAGCATCTGGCGGAGAAGGGGGCTTTTACGGCGACAGAGTTCGTCCAGAGGAGCGCAGGTGAGGCGGTTTGTGAAGGAAGGGAGGGGCTTTTACCCCTGTTGGCGCGTTATTTGAAGCGGCGTAGCTCCTCGTTTCCTCCGAACATATTATCACGAGATACGACATCACTAGATGGACGTCGCAAAGACTTTGGTCGGCGCAACTTTTGTGGAGATTGGTGTCTGCGGCGCATTTGCAGGCGGTGGCTTCTCCAGTGTTTCTTTGGATTTACTCTCCCTCATGATAGACGGCCTCTTCCCAAGACATAAAGGATGATGGGTAACCTGTTCGAACGGCGACGGCTGGCATCTAGAAAAGGAGATACCTCTTTCTGTAGTATTGGCTTGCATTCGTTTTGGGTTCCGAGTTGCCGATGTCACTCAAACATATAATGATCATTTCATTTTTCACTGCTTCGTGTACATGTTCAGCAGCACAATGCTCGTGTTGTACGTCTACGGCCAAATGCGAATTATTGGAGGTCGATTTCGACGCCTTTGGTCATAGGGGCTGGTTGTTAGTTAAGCTGTATCACTCCCGCATCTCTCGTGCCGTATGCGCCGCAGAACCTTTTCCTAGGATGCGGCATGAGTTTGAGGCTATGCCGATCCTTAAACCAACCTCATGGTCGGTTTGTTATTTTGGAACAATACACTGCAGAACAGGGATGCCATTCCTACGACAGCGCAAGACACACTCACTCACGTTGTCACTGTCTGGCTCCCGATTTTATCTCCGTCAACATCTCCACTGTTGGGTCATGTCACTGTACACAACCTGGTGATAATGTTCGACTGCGCCAAATATGGCGCCAACAACGCGCTAGTCGTCGAAGGAAGTAGCCGTCCAAGCGCAGATTCCTGTGGGTTCGCCCGAGGAGAGGCTGGTCAAGATTACTTGCAGACCCTTGCATCATCCTTCATTCAACACCAATCCACGCCTCGCGTTTGATGTGCTAACGAAGGCGCCACAAAATTAGAAACCTGTGCTGATCTTGGGACTCAAAAGGTCCCCCAAAATAGTTCTTCGCATGTTAAACGGATACCAGCATGCTCTCGTGAAATCAGTGGAGCTGTAGAATTTTTTCAAGTGTGGAGTATATATGAGGCACGAGTCTCAGTGGGGACGGAGGCCAACAGGTTAGGGCAAGCAATTCACAGCTGATCCTAAGCCACCTTGTAACGAGAAACCAACACGCCAAGGTATGGTGGTAACCAAGGAAACGAAATGGCTACGGAACACAGAGCACCCAAAGTGGTAAGTTACGGGTTCATTGCCTTCCTTCCTTACCTGCCTGCCTATCCCGCTATCTGTTACCGATGGTCTTGTTATCGTATGCAGTCCTGCAGTAATCACTGGTCGGCATCGTTTAGCTCTTGGCAAGGTTCAATATCGAGTTACTCCCGAAACAAGCTACGTCATAATCATTGCCCTGTGACGGGGCATGTTCATGTGAGGGCGTAGAGAGGGCCGAGCAAGGTGGGGGGCCGAGTGAAATCAGGCTCTACGAAGCATAGAGGACTTAGGGCCACAGCTAAGGCTCACGTAATCCGGAGTCGCGGGGATGCGGGAAGGATTGGGAGGCCTGCTTAGCGGAACGAGACTTCGTTGCTAAGAGACAAGATTGCAAAATTCTACCTAGAACAAAAAGACATTGAGTTTTCTGATCTTTAGGTAAGGTATGGTTGTGTCTGAACGATAATATTGTACAGCTTGATCATTATGTTGGTTGGTGAAGAGGAATAGAAAGTTCTCTCAACATAGAAACAGATCACCCACGCAGGACAAAGGCTGTCCCTCAAGCTTAGGGTCGGGGAGCTGACCGATACTACACCAAGTACCGAATCGAGCTTCAGAGTTGCTTGGTGGTGACATTCAGGGGTAGCTACTGAGGTAGGCTACCGATCAAATCCCGGGTGGAGCACCAAAAGGCCATGTGGACGGTCAGATAGAGGGAACTCCTCTTGCATGACACTACGTTACTTGGAAGAAATCCTTGGAAGAAATCCTAATCGTTCTGAAGCCACCTCTCCCCTCCCCCTACCCTCCCTCGAGGGCCAGAAATGGTTAGCCGCGGCGCGATTCCTCAGTTCCAGATGTGCCGGTGTAAGCGCACATATTACACAGGTAAGACCAACGCATACAGAAAACCAACCTCTTACCTTGAACAAGTATGCGGATGCACAAGTCGGAGAAAAGAAATGATGCCGATGTTCCCGGTTAACTTGGTCACAGGCTGGATTATTAAGGATGTCGCCGACGTCTCCGAAGAGTTGAGATTGTAAACTGCCTCTCACAAATTCTTCCCTTGGATCAGCTGACTTATACAAGATCCAATACAGTGGTGCGGTAAGTAGGCACATTTCGGATAATAGTTGGGATGAATATATGCTTCGTGAAACTTATGCATACAGTGCTGACAACAGCGATCGGCAGACCATATACAAAGGGAGCAGAGACCGGTTTGATCATTGGCTCATGTGAAGCCCAGTCATTTAGTTATATTGATTGATAATCTGTGACGATATAAGTCACGAGGCGACTACAGTTGAGAGATTAGGAAAGTGGACCGAAAAAGTCTAGAGTCGTTCTAACTCTGAATAAGAAACTAATCAGACTTAATGGGACCTTCTGCATTTATTCTGGTCACTGGAATGAGTTAGTGCTTACGAAATGATCCCGAGGCCCCCCAGGGTTCGGATTATTTGACGGGGGCTAGAGTCATTTCTTTTTTTCGTGTTTCCATTTTGCAAACGCGTTGAGGATGCCCAATCCGAAGCTCTGTGTATGATGGAGGCACTGTCTATTCCTCATAGTCGCAGTATGTTTCTTGATTTGTCATCGTTGTTCAGCATTTGCTCAGATGTGACAGCCGAGTCAATGCTGGTTCTCGATCCTGTCATGGCGAGAAAATCTCGAAAACGCCACTCAGACTTCGAACACTGTCCTTTTCAGGGAGGCAATAACGATTCCCAAGTACGATGACACATTGTTCTAATGGGTTAGCCTCGAAATCACTATTGGGCACAACGAATACAGAGAAGAAATAATGAGTCTGTGGCGATATGAATGGCTAAATCAGCTGGGTCTTTCGGCACATGATCTCAGCTAAGGCGTACAGAGAAGAGTACCATAATAAACCTTGATATGGAGCGTGTGGGCTATTTCTTCTGTTAAGTAACAAGTGAGAGGTGAACGGTGCTAGTGAAGCCCCATCAGTTTCTCTTTTTGTATTCGACGTGGCCGTCAAGCCCTGACGACTAACGCCGATCAATCCTGAGCCAAGGCGCCAGACCATAGAAAAGATTATTTGACCCACACCACTAGCAAACATCATAAATATATGTCTAAGAGCAGGCATAACTGCCTCTAGTAGGGGTATTCCACACCTATTTAAAAACCGCCACATTCTGTAAGCCATAACTGCGGAGAAGGAATACCGCGGGAAGGCAACGCAAGATCGGCAGCTTACAGCAGAACCTTGAATCAGCCCTACGACGAAGCATCGTCGGGGACTAGTACATCTAGAGCCACAATACTCGGAGGATAGACATTTGCAAGCCTCAAGCCTTTCTTTGAGTCTGCCAGATTCGCTCTGATGACGTTATGTGCAGCCACTGTATTGGACGTTTTAGGAAGTTTTTCCGTTTATTGCCATAGCTCGGTAAGCTAATGAGCCGATCTGCTGAGGCCTCTAGGGCTGAAAGACGTCAAGCTTGCAAAAGTCTAGGAGAAAAGGCATGCTGTCCCTCTTTTAGAAATAACTTGTTCCATAATACAACAACCCCATTCAACTGCTTAGTATACACCAGCTATTTAAGCTAGAATTTAAACAAATTCAGTTAGGAATATATTGCCTGGGGTTTGTTACATTAGGATCTCTGCCATGGGCTCCTCAGTTATTATATGCCGCCGTATATTTCTGCTTTCGCCACCTGGGTATTGAACAAAGTCTTGCCACTATTGTCTTTACAGTCGAGCAAGACGAGATGTTAACTGGGCTCTAACGGCTGGACCAATAAATACGCTGCTTGGTCGGTCTGCCTTATTAGCGACTATGTTGCGTTCGCTGCCATACTGTGTTGGTTCTCAACCTACCAACAATGTCCCCCGGAGAAGATCGACACTATCTGTGCCCTGAAGCTGTCCGATCCGTCCCTAGCAGCCACCTTACAATATTCCCACTAACTATTGGTTCTCCTGTTGCACTTGCGAGGTCTCTGCGAGAGTATGGCGGCCGCGGTGCGATAGCGGCCCCTAGCCGTTCCCTCGGTCTTTCCAACAGTCGGCAAAAGAAGATTGCGTGCTCTGCCGTCTCAGGGGCTTCACCACAGCTACATAGCAGCGAGTACACGCCAAAAGCCCCTGTCTTAAATAAAGAAGGCTGCTAGTCCTATTTTGCCGGTCCTGATCTGGCACAGGGTAGACGCCTCCAGTCAGTTCAGGCCGAAATACTTGCCCTTTTTGGTGTCCGTATCGAAGGGCCCTCCGGCTCCTTAGCGATAGCGCTGCTCCGGAGAGCCACCTCTTACTTCAGTGGTCTGTGAAATAATGAGAGCGTTAAGCACATGCACCTTCTCCAATATATAGACCGCAATAGTATACTTTCCATATTAATACCCTTGAGATTCTCTGGGAAATAGACAAAATGAGCGCTCAGACAGGAAAAATACATACTATTAGTACGATAACCATGACAAATTCAATAGCAGCCTTGCAGAAAATGGCAAGGGTCGGACCAACTTCACCGACCTCACCATCCCCCCTTGGTTGGTTGATGGTCAAATTAGTAAGCAAAACGCTGGTGTTGTTGACCAAACAGTGATCATGGTGAGGTTAGGTGAGGTTGGTGACTTTTTGATTGGGTTTACTGCCAAGAAATGAATCGCCAACCTCGCCGGCGCGGCCCATTCAACACATCCTCCCTTCCCATTCATCACTACGTAGATACTGATCATACATATACATTGATTTCGAAGATGGCCGGCGTCAACGTCCCCAAGACCGTCAGTAACAACTGGATCGAGATTAAGAAGGTGACCAACGCTTCCAATAGCAAAACCGACCCCGGGAAAATGTCAGGGTACGGCTCGGCCGAAGGCGATAATACAGAGTGAAGGGGAGTATTAGGCGCCCTACTGGTCATCACTGGGTGGTCCATTGCGGTCACTGGTGGTCTCAGGAAGGGGTGCCTAGAGTAGTGCATTGGTCTCTAACCATCTTCCTATCTTCCTCCAAGATACCTCCCTCACATAGATAATCAGAGCCCGTATATCGGAGCAGCAGGGTACTAGTTCCTCCGGTTCCTCGGCATACCAAGTCTTCCATATCAGGTCATGACTCGCAAATCCCTACACCGATACCCCACCGGCACCCATCTGGTGCCTTGCACTCGGCACTCGGACAGAATATGCTGGCGGAGTGACAGGCTTCCTCAATCTGCTTGTCGACCGGTATAAAATGAAACCGGCAGAAGCCTACCTTTGGCTTGCAGATCCGGCAAACCATTACACTAGGGAGAAGTTGCAGGCACACGAAGACTTTCACACATGGTCACTGAAGCTGATGAACGTCTGCAAAGCGGTGAATATCACCGAATCAACAGGTCTTATGACCAATATATACAATCGTCTGTACCCAGGACTGAAAGTACACATCCCCGAAGATGCCGAAGGTCTGGAAGTCGACGACTATCTGGACTATATCGAAAGAAAGGTCCGATCACATCGGGACGAACTGGTGTACAGCGGACACAAAGATAAGAAGCCCACAATCAGTCAGATGGTGGTGCGAGGCCAGCTTCTGGTGGCGCCAGCTCTCATTGATGCGGCGAAGCCACAAAGGATGCTGCAAGCAGCTAACGCGACGTACCATCTCAACAACGACGAAAACATCACAATAAGTGATGACGAACACGCAAACTATTTCAACCCAAACCGAAGGAATTGGCGTGGAAACGACAACCACCGTCCCAGGTATGAACGCAATGACCGAAAAGAAGAAAAACACGACAACGGACGCGAAGGAACTAATCGACGTGGAGATCGAAGTGACCGCTTCAAAGGTCGCGACGAACCCCGTCACAACCGTGACAACCGTGACGAACGCGGCGACAGAAGGCCCTTTTACCGCCGTTCAAACAGAAGATTCGGATTTCGCAGACGTGGGCGCGGCGATTTCCGAAACAGATGGCAAGGACGCAACCGCCGATTCCGCAAGTATCACCGCACAGCAAGATACGAAGGCAGAGCCTACGTTGCCGAAGAAAATCATTACTTGGACCCTAATGATAGCGAATTTGACGAACAAGAACAAACCCTGAAAAACGAGGGTTTCATCTACGTTGGTGAAGAGGAGCATGACGGACGCTTTGTCGGATACGAGGATGATAGCAGCTCAATAAACTCTGATATCGACCACTCTGATGATGGATACGAAGGCCATGCCGAGGAGGCACCTTCGCAGCCACAAAACCGCAAAGATGATGAAAGTGATAAGACACACAAGTTCGCATGTTCGAAATGCGCAAAGCCATTCCCAACAGAACAAGCATGGTTCGTACACGAGCTATCAAACACTTGCAAATCAACTAAACACAGCGAACCAAAAAAACAATCAGCACAGATACATGTAGCCTACAAAATTCCGGAATCCGGTGAGATCATCATGAAAGCGAAGCCCAAGAAGATTGATAAGATCGACAAAGGCATCGCAAGTATTACGTACTGTCAGGTGAACATAGAATACGAAGGCCACGAACCAACAACCGGATGTTTAGATACCGGAGCTACTAACACATTAGCGGATCGTAAGTGGGTGCAAACGTACGCACCAGAAGCGGAAATACTGACTAACGACACTCTACGCATACGAGGCATAAGGAGGAACACCGACTTTGACAGAACGAGCAATACTCACATTTGTACTGCGAAGCAACAAGCGGGGAAAACCGACACATTGCCTTATTGCAGTGGAGGTGTGGCTCATGGACAACCTCAAGCCAAACATCCTTCTAGGCTCTAGCTTCCTGGCAGAGCACGGAGTTACAATCGATTACGGGCGCAACAAAGCTACCTTCAGCTCTTGTGACGGCATGGAAACCGATATAACGGTATATCGGAAGCGAAATACGATACGTCGCAGAGTGTTGGTTGAAGCTGCAACGGTTGTGCCAGCGAACTCGCGAACACTCATACACGTCTGCTATGCAGATGTGGACGAGTTCGATGACTACGGCTCAAGACGAGACTACCAGTTTATCGCATCTGCCGAAGGATTCAGCAATTGCGTGACTGATGCAAAGTCAGCAAAGGTGGTGCCATACACCAACCTGTCCGACAAAGCCATTCGTTTGACGAGAAAGCAAAAAGTGAGGCATCTTACCGACATAGGCGAAGACGGATTCATTGCAACATCTTGGGAACGAGCCAACATGGTGCAGACTGCGTGCATCATGCAAGACGAGCAACAGTCAGAGGAGATGTCTGACAAGTCGGCACCAACTGACAACGATATATGGATGTCCCAAGAGTTCACTCTGACGGATGACATGATGGCAATGTTACAATCAGAAGACTGTACACCAGATGACCTTTGGAAGAAAATTAAGAAAAAAGAAATGTCTGAAAACAACGATAAACCAAAACCACCCAAAAACATCGAGGAAGTTATTACGGACGAAGGTATACACATATGTGGGACAAGCAAAAAATGGAGTGCGGAAGCCAGGAAAGCTATTCGCGCTCACAAAGCTGTAATCGGCAAACGAGGTATCATTAAGATGCCGGAGGAAGACATGATAAGAATCGACCTGGTGGAAGGGTGGCAGAATCAGAAATTGGGCGCAAAACACTATCCCCTGGACATCAAAGACAAGGAGATTCTCGACAACACATTTGACCCAATGCATGCCGAAGGCAAGCTTCAATTTCGCAAGGGATCAACCCCATTCGGCTGCCCAGCCTTTGTCACATACCGCACTGTGGAAGGTGTCCGCAAAGGACGAGTTGTTGTGGATCTCAGACCACTCAACAGACTCGCAGTGCCGAACAGGCAACCGATGCCCACGGTCGACGAAATCGTGGAGAAATGTCAAGGCAAGAGATATTTCACAATTGCAGACATGGCACAATTCTTCTACCAATTGCCAGTCTACCCACCACATCGCGATAGAATGGTTATATGTTCTCCAAGAGGTCTGGAACAGTCAAACGTATGCCTCATGGGTTATGTTAATAGCCCTGCATATGCGCAAAGGTTCATGAATAGGCTTTTGCGCGACTATGTCAAGTTTGCGGCAGCATACATCGATGACGTGGTTATCTTTTCTGACACCAGAGAGGAACATCTGGAGCACTTGAAACTGATCCTGGATTTGTTCGACAAAGTTGGTCTCGCCGTTAATCCTAAGAAAACATTTGTCAGATACCCCTCTATCAATATTCTTGGCTTCACTATCGACGGATACGGTAAAGCTATCACGGAGGAACGCGTGGAAGCGATCCGTAAGCTGAAAATGCCGGAAACACTGGGTGCCCTCGAAACATACATCGGCATGACAAGCTACCTTTCTCATTACATCCCCTACTACGCACAAAAGATCAAACCATTGCAAGACCGCAAGACAGAGATGCTTGCAGAAGGCCGCAAAGTGAAAGAAATCCCTTCCAAGCCGACAGCAAGGAAGAAATACACCTCAAAGCGACGCTTCGAGCCCACGGCTTTGGAACAAAGCAGCCTTGAAATCCTACAAGATCAATTATGTGATCCAGACAATCTGATTCATTGGAATTATAAGCAGCAAACATTCTTCAAGATCGACGCCTCTCAAGAAAGAGGCTACGGCGTAATGATATTTCACCTCAGAAATGAATGGGACGGCAACATAGTACACACCGAGGATGTACAAACATCATGTTCCACAGCAAACAACTCTCAAGAGCCGAGAGGCATTACGGCTCCACGGAAAACGAAGTAGCCTGTTTGGTGTGGATCTGTCGACAACTGCGTATTCACATACAATCATGCGAAGATCCTGTAGTGGTATTGACAGACCACAAAGCAACGAGGAGCATCGTGGAGCAGATTAGCCTCCGAACAACGGATATCAACAAGGGCAACCCGAAGTTAATGCTGGCATCAACTTATCTTTCTCAGTATCAACTAGACGTACGCTACATCCCAGGTAGTCTAAACCTGGTACCCGATGCATTGTCCAGGTTGCCGACAGTGGACGACGCCAGGGACACAGCCGAAATGGAATCGGACAAATCGGCATTGGACGACATTGCAGAGGTTCGGCTACATCGCAGACGTATTCGTTCAGGAATATACAACTGAGCTGAGACTAAGCAAGGAATTCCGCGCAAGGATTGAAGAAGGATACAAAACGGATCACAAATGGAAGAGGATCATCGATGCTTTGCAGACAGCACATCGCCTACAAAAGAAAGATTATAGTTTCAGTCTGTCTGAAGACGGACTACTCTTTCATAACACGCGACACGGATTCCCCAAGCTCTGTATACCAAAGAATTGCGTGCAAGACCTGTTCGATTTGGTACACGACAAGAAACATCACTTTGGTGAAGCAAGAATGTTTGCAGACTTGCAAGGCTTCACAATAGCGAAGATCACAAGGGAGATTCGATCCTAGATTCACCATTGCCCACAATGCAGACTCAATTGAACCCCACATTCTAAGCCGCCAGGCTACCTCAAGCCAATCGAGTCTGAGCCAATCCCATACCACACAGTCAGCTGGGACTTCATTGCACCTTTGCCAGAGGTAACAAGCGAAGATTACTTCTGGAAAGTCGAGGGATTCGACAAGATCAACATGTTGATGACAACAACTTGCAAGTACACGAGGAAGTGTCTCTTGATTCCAGGACATACGACATACACTGCTAAGGAATGGGCAGAACTCACAATGCGAATGCTATAACTGTGCGACTGGGGAGTACCACGTAAAGTCATCTCAGACCGAGACGCCAAATTCATCGGCGAATACTGGCAAACATTCTGGACCAGACAAGCAGCGTTACTCGCATTGTCTACGGCCTGGCACGCACAAACCAATGGACAAGACGAAAGACGTAATCAGGAAGTAGAAATCGCAATACGATACCACTTAGCAACGCATCCTCATGAAAAATGGACAGAAATACTTATACCACTGCAACATAATATCAACAACAGCAAACACTCAACACTGGGAATCAGCCCAAACGAGCTATGCCTTGGTTGCAAACCAAACACGATGTTGTCAGCCCTGGAATTGCCAGAACAAAGCATCGACTACGCAACAGTGAGGAGCATGTATCAAAAAGAAGCCACAGCGGCTATCGACTTTGCCGCAGCCGAAATGAAGATTCGATACGACGAAAGACATCAGCCAGTGGAGTACAATGTGGGTCAAGAAGTGTATTTGCGATTGCACCGAGGATACTCATTGCCAGGAGAACCAAACCGCAAATAGTCAGCACAATGCGTTGGACCTCTCACCATTGTCGAAAGACACGGAGACCTGGCATATAGACTGAATTTTCCAAGACACTGGAGGATCCATCATACGGTGTCAGTGGCGCAACTATTGCCAGCCCCCAAAGGAGTAGACCCATGGGGCAGGCGCAAACCAGAACCAGGACAGGTTATTGTTCAAGGCGATGACGGCGACTGGAAGTCCTTCGAGATAGATAGATTATTGCAAAGGAGGATAAATCGAACAGGAGGCAAAGCAACATTAGAATACCTTGTAAGGTGGAAAGGATACTCTGCAGTGCACGATCAGTGGTACCCACGATGGCATTTGATGCAGAACGCTGCAGAGCTGGTACAGGCATTCGACAAAAGAAACAAGATGACACTGGAAGATCTTAAAGCTAAAGCCGACAACAACGAGATCGACGACGACATTACAGGCAAGGAAAGAATCGACAACGATCTGGGAAGATTAGTGACAAGCATTCCAAAAACGATCGTAACAGTCGAATTGCCAACGAAAGCTGCCCGACCCGAAGAAAAAGACCAAAACGGCAAGGACAGCAAAACTGAAAAATATATAAGAGGCCGTGTGGTGACCAGGCGAGCAAGAAAAAACAACTACACCGCAGAAGCTTTTTTCTTCATCTCACAGCACCACCTTCCGTATCATACAACCAATCACTAGAGACTCACGGACCGCCAACAACAGATGGAAAAGTTGCAACAAGAAACAGCAATAAGCGAAGTCGACTACACACAAATCAAACAACAATCTCTGTCAAACAAAGTCTGCGAAAGACCAGTCCACCTACGTCTTCGGTAACACAACGTTGATAGACAGTCTAGCAAAATGGCCCAAAAGAAACCAAAGAGCGAGGTCGTCAGTAGTAAGCAGGATGATAGTTCAGCAACCACCGAAGCAGCCAAGCCTCTTGGAGGCTACCGCAACCTCGACCCGGACGTCGACCTATCCAAAGAGCAGCACGAGGCGCTGGCGCAAGACAACGACCTGGTTCGACGGGTCGAATCAGTCGTCAATGCGAAGGGTGATTTCAAAACAGCACCAAAGCCATCGAAGGCAACCAAGTATCGCACATACTATCAAAACATTTGGGGACAGAACGATCGAGAAGTGGTTCGAGGAGCCACAAGCGCAAAAGAATACTGGAGGCAATGGCTGAAAGCACACCCTCCCAGAGGCGATGTTGGCAAAATAGTCGACATCATTGCAACGAAATATCAACCAAGAAAGGCGCCATCAGCAAACCAAGGGTATCGGGACATCTATCACAAGCTCGAGAAGCTTATCACACAAGACGACAACCCCAAAAACACAGCCGGCCACATGAACATAGACATGCCTACATTTGAGGAAATCGAGGCAGCGCGTTGCGTCGGGAGCGCAAACGAAGGCGGAGGCATCTTGCCACAGGAATTACAAGTGTGAATGCAGCAGGCACAAGTCACACACTTAGCATGGCCGGGGAGTGAAGAGGACGTGAGAACCGACAAAAAGAAGGAATTAACCGGCAAACGTCAGGACCCCTTCACAAACCCAGCACCAAAAAAGCCCGAATGAGTCACACGGGACTCACAGCAGATGACCCAGTGATGGTGGAATCTGAAGAGGAGAAACGAATCACTGAAGAGCAAGAGCCACATACGACAACACAACACAAGCGAGGAACGACATACAAGTTCCCCAGTACTCCCGCAAGCGCAAACCTCATGTTGGGAAGCAAGAAGTACAAAGACCGTCCATTCAAAACAATCTTACAAGAGATTGCGGGGAACCAATTTGGTAGACACCCCAACAAGCAGGCGATCGAGGCACGGTACAAAGAATTGGAGGCAATGATGCAATGGAAAAATGCAAGTATAGAGCCAATGACGACAAGAAGAACATTGACGGGACAAATTGTAAACGACCATCAAGCATCAGAAGACACTAAGGTCGAATGGTTAATACGCAAGCCAAATGACTGGACTCCAAACGATGATGACAATGCTGAACACATAGCAAGACAATGGACCACGGCAATACACGACGACGACGCATCACAAGTGGTGATGAAATGTCTGGCAAAGGAAGCATTCAACGAGATGTGTACCGGCGAAGCAAAAGCCGACCAACAAGCCAGAAGTTTCCTCGACAGACACATCAGCAATAGATTACAAAGTTGGTCCGCAGGCTTCTGCAAGTCGACACAATTCGACGAGGCCGTGAAGGACGTCACCAGAATTCAACAACAAGACGAGGAGTCTACGAAGGAGATATGGGACAAGCTGAAGCCGCTAATGGAACAGTGGCAAGACGAAAGAAAAGACAAAGTCATTAAAGACATTGCTGAAGGGGTGTGCAAGGAGGTTGAGAAGAATCTCAGGGACGGATTGTACCGGGACCTCAAGACAGATATCATAGCCATGCAAGGAAAGCCGGCAACCAGCAACATTACCTCCAGACCATCAGTGACACTACCATCGACAACAAGCGAGAGGTCACGAAGGGTGACAACGGGACAGCTGTGGACAACACCTCGCAAAGAGACAGCACTTGCAAACATGGATCCTCGAGGAACCGAAACCATCAAGGTAGATGTGTCAAAGCCATCACACAATTTGAAACTACAAAAAAACATCACCAAACACGGACATCGGCACAAAAACAAGCGGACGGCCCTCGCGCTTCGAAAGACAGACAAAACGAGCGGCCACGTCCCCAATAACGGGAAATTCCCCAGGTAAGCCCTAACTACGTGGGCTGTTTGACAAAGTGCCCGCATGGGGTACACTCGAATCAAACAAACCTGACAACCAAGACGAATCAGACGACAGCGACCATGCCTTCTCAGATCTGTAATAACCACGAGAACAATCACAATGATGGAGCTATTAAGGCTCAGCTTCGGGAATCTACCTTTGCATCAAACACATCTACATGACAACCTGGCAAAGAACACTACCCAAACTAGGTCAAATGTAGTGATAATAAGCGCAACAGAAACCACGAAGGAATAAATAAATGAAATGGAAGACGGATAGACAGCTATTGGCTTTGCAACAGAGATAACCTTGACAATTTTCTTTGAAGGGGGCATTGTTAGGCAAGCTTGGTGGGCTTTGCCAAGACCACCAAGGTTACCACGTGACTTAGTCCTTTGGGACTAAGTCCAACCTTCTTGCTCCATAGGACTAGATAGAATGTCATGCTTTTACAACCTCACAAATCTTTGACCACCTTTGCGTGTAACAATCCCGTTGAGACTGTAAGTCCTGAGCGTCTCGTAAACTAAGAGATCCTCCATCTTGTAGCTGTCGATTTTTAGTCCTTCGACGACGGCTTAGCTCTTGATTGGCCTTCCGAAGTGTAGTAACCTCATCCTCAAGTAAAACTAACCGATGCATAACAGCCGTCGCACCACGTGAAAATTGGTCAATAGCCGTAAGTATTGTCGTCGGGGAGCTATTCTGATGCTGTACGATTCTGTTTTTAACGTATTCAGACTGGGATTGCGCCTCGGGAGGGTTATTTGGAGTCTTTGATTCCCAGATTAAGGGGGCGCCAGACGAGCTCCCAGGAGGTGTAGGCGTATGTAGCTTAATATCCAGCTGTGAAATCACATATTCCGGGTCGTACGGAATAAGTCCTGTCCCCCTGAAACCTGCCTGGATATTCGACTTAGTTATAGTCGTACGATACGCCCTATAGAATGCCGAAAAGAAATCCTCCTTCGAGATATGGGTTATATGCGCCCGTATTAGGTCTTCAATTTCTTGACTAGATTGTCGAGTATCGCGTCGAGATAGTAGTCCGCGTTTTCGGTTAGCTAGAGTTGTACGAGGGACATTGTAGAGTTGGGCAGCGCGTCGGATGCTTGATTCGGGTTTCGATTGAAGCGCCTGACACGCTAGAATCATGTCGTTTTCTTTCCAATTCGATCCCATCTTGGTATGTGTAAAGATGTTAATTAAAAGGTTGTTCGTACGGTGCCAAGAAAAAGTGGCCAACTTGCTTGTGGGGTACGTTAATCGAAGCCGTATCTACTAAAAAATTTACGAATCGTCCGATGGTTCGCATCCATGGGTATTACCGTTTCCTGGAACAACCCGAGGCCATGCGAGGGGACAAAATTCGCGGTTGGCCTTTTTTCGAAGGCGGATAGAACCACAACCCAGGACCGGGACGAGAATTACATCGGCGACAGAATCGGTTGCCTCATTCAAAGTGATAAGGCCATACTCGTACTGTCAGAGGAATCTTTCGAGATCCCTGTAGAGGATAACTCAACAAGACGGTGTGGCATCTTCATGACGATAGCAGTGAAGACGGACTGTCCAAGTGTAAATACGGTAGAGGTAAAGTCAAGAAAGGGCTCCGAAAGATGACATCAGAGTCAGGCTCATCTGATACCAGCAAACGATGGATACGAAAAGACGAAATGCAGTATGATGCTTCTCAGTCTTTCGATCAGGGCAAATCTGACCTCACCTCGCCACCAGAGTCAGGTGAATAAATATCCGTTGGCGACGGTCTATCCACCGAATTCAACGAGGCTCTGCCCTCGCGTCGTAGATGGGATCGCATCCAGCTGACGGCTGCAGCAGGCGTCAGCATGCGATCTCGGTTGGAGATTGCATATGCAGATAAGACCAAGCCCCCGGTAGCACAAGCAGCAGCAGCAACTAGCCCAGCAGCGAATGGCATCTTCAGATGGGGCTCGATGCAAATCACCGGAGCCACTTAAGGTTATCGGAGTAAACGGCGCTTGAAGGTTTGCCATGAAGTTCGGGTTCGGCCTTTTAAGCGCCGCTCGCTCGTTTGACGAGTGGCTTGCAGCGTGCCAAGCAACCAACAACGGAATAGGATGGGAAGGTTTCTGCACAATTGCAGATAGCAGCTACCACACCCTGCAGCTTGCATGGCCCATGATCACTTGACTTGGGAAGTACCGAGGAGTGGGTGATCGTTTCCCGCAATGAGCAAAGTCCACGAACAGCGACTTGCTGGTTCCTGCGGGGTCGCTGGTCCTTGATATGGCAGCTCGGATACAACTAAGTAGAGACGTTGGTGATGATGCCAATTTATTTAGAAATGTTGGTCCCACGGCGCCAATGTGATCTTGACTCGGGATAAGGTTATAAGAGCGCGAGGACTATGATAACACTGGTTGCGTCTAATTGACGAGGAAATGATGCGGAACTGTGTGGGCTTGATTGCAAGGCCAAGACATCGTGTACCTGGTAAAACGGGGATGAAAGTTGGCGTCTAACAGGTCGTGCTGTCTGTCCCTGACAGGACGGGCCCAACCGCACGGGAAACAACAAGTTGGCCGGAAACTGGCACCATCGATGTCATGGCGAACCGGTGGCAATGCCGAGCGGAGCCAACGAGTACGAATAGATGAACATCAAGGACGCCAAAACAGTTCTCCAATTGAATGCTACGCTCCTCAAACCGAGGGGTTCGTGGCATCGACTGCTTTTGACTCTGTCGCATAACCTTTTAGATGGGGTGCACGGCCACGGCGCTCCACTGATTAGGGGGTTTTGCAGTCTCGTGTCTCAGATGTTGCTCTGTCAGTTAGTTTCGCGGTGACTGACAAGCAGGGGGCAATGCAACCCTAACCTGGTTATGGAACTCCTGAAGCAGGGTTTGGCGTTCGTTCGACCGACGATGTTCTCGACTCTTGTTCAGACTCTGGATTCTGCCCTTGCGACGGACATGTCATAAGGTCAGAGTTGGGACGGACGATGGCGTAAAGAACCGGGTGGCATCAGATATGGACAGGCGTGTGTCAGTTGCTGTTTTCGTTCCAGTTTCTCGGCATCAGTCGACGACGGGCATTTTATCTATGTAGACGCGTCTGGCCGTGGCTGCCATCGGTGGCCGGGTTCCTGGATGTGCGACGTACCAAGTACCCACGTAGCGAATAAATAGAACACGCATGTGGCGTGTCTTGCTTCTCCATGCCCCTGGCATTCGGCGTGAAACAATTTGCTCGAATCGCGTCACCTACGAATATTACGTGGAGCCGAACATGCCGGGACGAAAACGTCGCTTGATGGATGGCACATCTCAACTTGCCTAATAATTATGGTGAGAAGCCTTCTTGGGTCTTTGTCGGGCCCTCACATCGAGAGGATCAATGCGATGCCCTGTGCCAGTTTCCCGTGGAAAGCATGGATGGCAGCAGATCACCAGGATCACCCGTTCGAAAACGTTATGCGGTCCGACGTTTTGGGAGCAGGCCGATTCGTCATTGCCTTTTTTGCTCGTTCCAACTGCCTAGGAACTGCCCTCGTCCATGCGAACTCCGCCGGCAGTAGCAGGCCCAAATTTGAGATCGCGTGTCGTGTCTTGATGAAATTTCCACTTCTAGGCTGACGATCCTGTATTTATTGCAGTGCCACACGACTGGTACTGACGGAGCTCCGACACGCCAGACCGCTGGATTGCATCTGGAGACTTTCTGCCAAAGCCACACCACATTTTGTGCTTTCTTTCTTCCTCTTCGTCCCCCTGAGTCTAGGCTCACAGTGTAAAACAGCGTGTTCGATTGATCTTGACGATTCTCTTGGCCTGACAGGTCTGCCATGAAAATCTCACATCACATCGTCGTTAACCAGTGGCGTACGTAGACAGCGCAATGCTCATGATCTCGAAAGTGATACGCGTCGATGCTGCAATATCGATAGAGAAGTTCGATTAATATCGAGAGCGCCCACCGCCCGAGCTAAAGACCCAAAGGAGATGCTGATTGGGAGACATGATCGATGTCGGTCACAGCTGGCTAGCCTTTTCCAGCCAAGCAGCGCTGCTATCGTCCACTGGTGGCCACTCACTTCCAGCACCTAGTAGCGTGGAAAGCAAGGTGCGAATGAGAAGTCGCGGCGACTTCTGATCAAACCCCAGTTGTCCGCCTGACCAGACGTTCCAGGTACTTCCCAGCACTTGAGTTCGGATGCCTAACTTTGGCCTAAACCTGGCGCCCCTGTCGCTGCGTCCCCTGCTCACACCCCTTAAATGGTCCTTTCTGGTTGGCCCGCTGAGCTCCATACCGTAAAAAATACATCTGCCCAATACATCAGCTACGAAGAAATCTGGGTCTATCACAGTGCAGATACCTGCACCACTCTAATTGATCCGGCCAATGGGCAGCGCCTGTTGCCCCAGTCCCCAATTCGCTGTGCTGGCAGATCGAGCACCCCCAAGCGCCTCTTCGCCCAACCAGTACAGCCAGTGCTGGCCAGTGCCCGTAAAGTCCTAGCTTCCACTGGCTCCCTGCACCTTTTGCTCTTGCAGGGGAGCTCCACTGGGCCACACCTTGCCGCCCCCCCGAGCATCCACCGTACCGTATCCGTACGGCTGTCTTTTTCTCCTCTTCCATCAATCCTGCCACAGTTTCCAGCACTCTCTCTCTCTTCTCATCACAACTTTTTGTCCATCTTCTCTTTCTTCCTTTTCCCTCCTTCTCGTCGCGCCACTACCGTCGCCCTTCCTTTATTCTCATCCTCCGTTAGACTCCCTCCTCACCAGCTTCCTGCGCGAAAATCACCATTGTTTGTTGTTGGCCTAGCCCGTCGCCGTTGAAATAGAAATTTGCAAGCAAAATCGCATTCTCTCGAGAAGACGATCAACCCACCCACATCCCACGGACATTGAGAAAGTAGAGAGAGAAGGAGAGAAACGAAAGAGGACCTGGAATATTGTCCGCTATCGTCGCCATCGATACGCAAAACTTTTTAATTTCTGTACCATTTTATTCGCAGCTCCGTTTCGACGTTTCTATTCGCATCGCGTTATCCATATACAACCAACCAGCCGTAATCATCGCCAACAGTGGAACTGAGGAAAGCAAACACGTCAAGCACGCGTAGAAAGGCACAACATTGGAAAGCTGAGACCAGGATCGTCTCGCTGCGCGCACGAAGGTTGAGAGTTTGAGCAGACAAAAGAGGATTTCCTCGAGTGGACTTGACAAAGGTACGATTTGCGATCGGTACACCCAACCGCAACCGCTTGCCCCTTCCGTAATCGCTCTCGGACTCATCGAGTCAAGGACACTTGACCTTCACCTCCCCTTTTCTGCTCTGTACCTCCGAACCTGGGGCCTGGAAACCGCACTAGACTGCATCCACTGCTGGGATTTGCCGCCCTTTGACCGAATTGACGTTGCGCCTGGAACAAAATCATCCACTTCGTCCTTCAAAAGGTGTCCGATTGTTCCTTCCACCATTTCCTCCTGGATTCACTCGTGGCTCCCCTGACTTGATTCAGTCAGCATCAACTTGTCGCTCATTCAGACAACCACAATCCTTTTCGCCCAAGAACGCTTTTTAATCAGGTTATTCTCACCTCAGCAACGCTACTCACAAGCATCGTGCACCCCTCCACGTCGACCTTCTGTTTCTTGTCCACAGCTTTCTACCCCCCACAGCCATTCACCTGCTTCTTGGATTCGCTGGATCTTATTTTGGCAACGCGTTTGACACGACATCATCCCGAATCACTCGAACACTGAGACGAGCATCGACCTGTTTGGCCCTTTTTCCCACAACAGTACCGCTAATTATAAACCAATCCGGCTTATTCATCATTCTGCCATCTACTTGGTCGTAATCACACATCGATCGCCTATTTCACCAGAGGCAGTCATCCATTCCTTCGCACCTTCATTTTTATCTATCCGAATCTTGGAGAGCATTTGCAACGTCCTGCCTCAAATCGGTCCAGGCAGTCAAGTTGTACGGCAGATCATCACCAAGAAAAAGCTTTTGAGTAATGGACACTGGTGGTCTCGCTCAAATGTCGCACAACAGCTTCACTTCGCAAAACGGCTTGGCCATGCCTTCCAGCGGCCTGTCATCGCGCCGTGGTGGCCAGGGCATCAAGCCGCTTTCCTTTGACGCCACCAAGCCTAACGACACGCAGGACAATGGCGTTCCTACCCCACGGACGAGCCGATCTCATTTACTGGCGGGTCTTAGAACGGCCCCGAAATCAGCAGTAACTACTGGTGCCTTCCCTGCTTCGCCCACGACTATTTCGACCTCCCACCAGGCTATGGGCCGCAGTAACGTTGCATCAAATACCTACCATGGTCAGGGACAGGAGAACACCTACAGCGGGCCGAAGACCTCCATGCCCCGCATGCAGAGCCAGCAGCAGCCTTACACCCCCATGATGGGTCAGCAATTCACCCCCGAGATCCTGGCTCCGCCCGAGATTCACTTGGACGAGCAGGTGCAGGAGCAGATGGACCCTTCGATGTACGCGCAACTGGTTGCTGCCAACTACTACTTGGCTCAACGACAGCAGCAATTGCAGCAGCAGCTGCTGAACGTTCAAGCGGCCGCCCAGCAGTTTCAGGGCATGAACCTAAACGGGCATGCCACCATTCAGCAGCAGATGGCTCTCCAGAACCTCTACCACCAGCAGCAACAGCTCAAGAACCTGCAGCAGTCCATGGCTCAGTCCATGCAGCCAGCCCAGCAGAACGTTTACACCTATTTTGATCCAGCCACTGGTCAGCAGGCGTACTTCGTTGACCAGAACCAGGCTCAGTACAACCAGCAGGTTAACAACGTGTACATGGAGCAGCCCGGCACCCCGCAGAACTTGAGTTTCCAGCAGCAAAACAACATCACTCCACGTGTCCAGGTTTCGCCACCTCCCGCAGAAAATGAGAGACCGGTCTTGTTCCGCGCCAACTCTCCTCCCAAGAAGATGGAGTTGACTGCTGAGCCGACGCCACTCCCGCCCCCTTCGGCTAATGCGTTCCGCCGAGGTCATAAGAAGTCGCCATCTCTGGCGAACAACAAAGCTCTTCTCCAGTTGGCGGCCGAGGATGCTCCCAGATCTGCTGGGCCCAAGTCGACCTCTTTCCCGCTTTCGCCCATGCCCAACGGCTATGGACCTGGTCAAGCTCGCGCTGGCGAGCACCCCGTTCGACAGCCCCGTGGACCACCTGCCATTGAAGAACTGCGAGCCAAACCCACAGCCAAGCACGAGGGTAGCAAGAACTTTGCTGCCCGCACCCGACGATCTGCTGTCCACAACCTGGTCAGGGCTGGTTTGGAACGACGTAAGGGCACTGGCAGCAGCATCGGCAGCATGAGCCCCGTATCTGAAACTGCGGATGAGGCGTGTACCCCGCTCAGTGACAACGAGTCCGATTCTGGGCGCAGTGGCTCTGGCAGTCTCTCCGGCGACGCTGAGCCGAGCCTTGCTAGCTCCCGGACCTCGACTAGTTTTAGCTGGGGAGCTATTGGCTCGGACCGCCCCAGCTCGCGACAGAAGGGCTCTCGCAAGAGCGTCGACAGCCTGTCTAGCGCTTGCGACAGCGACCCCGGTAGCTTTGCCAGCGTCTTCAAGCACGGATCCCAGCGATCAACGAGCCCCAAGACAACGGACAGCCAGCGCAAGGCTCCCAGGCTCGTGCTCACCAGCGTCGAGAAGCGCAAGGGTGGCATCGCCGTCGTGTAGGTGACGGCACAGCGGGCTTACGGATTAATGATCGCACGCTCCCCACGTTCTTGCGATGGAGTGGTAGATCCTCTCCTGAGCACGTTCTCTTTACGAAATGGATCGCACAGGGGACTAGGAGCACGGAATGGTGATTTTTGTTTCATGTTTGGAGGAAATGGCGACTGTTTTCTCACATGGCAGGCGAACGTCGGCACATGGTCCTTTTGATATTCGTCCACAATACCAATTTTTGGAGAAAGAAAGGCTTGGGGATTTGCCCACAGTCAGAAGCTGTTGGGGATACACTTCTCGACGCTCTCTCACTCATATCCACCCCTTCCCAAAGCACGAGTTGTTGCGAGCATTTGCGTTTTGTGTTTGGTAAGGGATTACAGAAGAGCACAACTTGCTAAGAAGTCCCGGCACATCGCACTTATGAACCTTGTGGATGTTGCTGTGTTCTTCGTGAGTCAGTTGTAGAGATTGAATGTTGAGCTTGGCCAGAGAAAGAAGAAAGAAAGAAAACCCTCGAAGTAAAAAAAGAAGAGTTCAGGCGAGATGATGAGATAGTCCATAGGTAGTCACTTTTGGCGAAAGCTCAATAAAACTTGTTAGCAGCCAATCAGTTCCACTTGCGAACCCTGCGTGAAACTGAGCGTAACGGGCAGTGATGTGAAGTGAGGGAATGAAACCAACTTCATATTCTACCACTTGAAAGGTGACAACTGTAGCAAGCACGAACCCGTCGTCGGCTCTTCCATCCCGCATGACCGATGTACGCTATTCATGCAACCCTGCGTGTACCATCTTCACTTGCTTCATGGCTATTACATGTGTAGACAAGACTGATATTGTATTGTTAGTGTGTCTATCTTCCTCTTGTGTCTGTACTAGATACACAATTGACTTGCTGGTGAGTGAGTGTAGGTTCGTTGTGGAGTCTTATGACCATCGATTGCAATCCTTTATCTCTTTGTCGTGATCAGATCGGAGGCTGCTGCCCTGATCCTCGCCATATACGTCATGTTCATCAATTCTGTCTTTTCGGGATTCAAAAAACGGAAGTATTCGTGGTCAATCTAGGATAGAGGTTACTTCAAAGATGAGAGGTAGGCCTCAGCAAGGGTAGGCAAGGGACTTCGGGGGTAGCTGGTGGAGCTTTCGGTCACCGCAGCTGCTCTTTACTTTAAACCGTGTGTTGGGGATATGTGGTGAACACGAAGTTAGGGAATCCCGTAAATAAACATAAGAGTAACTCCTAGAATGTGGTTTGGCTGTTAACAAGAATGCAGCTTTGTGCAGTGGAAGACGTGAGTAAGTAAACACCCTGCGAAAGATCACCCATTTCGGTGGTTATTATAGTCCACGGACATCGGAATCAAGTTATGACGAGGTTAGAAAGTTGGATAATGCCCTATGGTTAGCTAAGAAGTATCGTCATGCACTGACTGGAAATTGACGGCATTATAATAAGTAGTCGGCAGATATACCTGTCTAACGCCGTAGTTTCGGCCAGCAGGTTATCACTATATTTCAGCTCGCTGACGTAAATATTTACACCCATTGCCGAAACAATATCCCTAATGACGTGCCTACTACACCCAGAGCCAGTCATCCAAAGATATTGGCAAGGACCGTGTCCTTGAGCCTAAGCTGCTTTTTGACACATTTGCCTTCGTCATACTGCTCTTCTCGATACAGGACGTTGGTTATATGTAATGCTAGAGAGTGTATAGATATTACATCTTCATCAAGTGTTGGATTTATGATATATTCGAGGATAAAGTAACCCCGATAGACTACAATACATCCAGTCGACTATACCTAACAAACGCTCTTCTACTTGTAGTTATTAACTTGTGGGCGATTGTACTTCTATAGAAGCTCGAAGAATCTATTTATAAGGATGACGGGTAGCGTGGGATGTTTCTAGACCTTTAATCTTGGAAATACCGTCATGAGTCCTAAACAAAAACTATGTGGATGGCCCACAGGCATTATGTTCAATATCGATACGCAGAGCAGAAAATGGTCCTGGGACTCTTATAAACATTTACAAGAGCCCCTGTAGTAGTAACAGCTGGTAATTTGAATCACTTGAGCTTGTAGACCACCAGGTGTATTATTTGCGCGCTTGAAGTCCAACCAGGCTCGGAAAGTGTGCCATGAAGAACTCAAATTTCACAAACTAGCTCTCTGGCTGCAGTTCTCATAGTGGGATTGGTATACCTTGCGTCCGTGACAGGCCTTGGGGGTCAAGGTGCTCCGCACTGCTCCTTTGCCCCATGGGCGCTCCCAGTCATGTGGTGCCCGAGCATAGACAACATACCTAACGCAGTTAACACATGTAGCTCAAGCACTATATATCATCACCTCGACCTCACCATGGAAAGTACCAACGAACTTCTGTGTTTGACGCTGATTCCTTTGCCTCATGTATTCTGGCCTCAACGTCGTTCAAGGACATGACCAAGCCATGTTGGAGAATCTTCAGGGAAATACGAGCATGTCTTCCAGGCAGTTGGTCAGCATGAACTTCCCGTTTCTTCTCCCTCCTGTCGTCGGGCCGTGTGTTGCCAGGGGTGTGGAAAATTCTCTAGACAACGTCGACGATTCCTACCTCAACAAGCCAGTTCTTGTATTTGGCTGAAGCTTCGAGGTCGCGCCCTATATATTCGTGTCAGAGCATGGAGAAACATCTTGGGGTTATCTCTCCATTTTGGTTTCTGCCTTTCCGACCATATACCTGGGATGTGTTTGCTCACCCAATGCACAACCTCCCGCTTGACGAGGCAAGTCCGCTTCATTGACTCACCAGGCGACATGGGACCCAGCATTACTCGTAGATGGGATGTAGTCAAACTTCACTTGAAGTATCCACTCATCCTCAACATCGTCTTGCAAGAAGGAGCAGTTCGGAAACTTCGCATCCGGCTGGACCAGATTAAGGTCGGTGTCGATGGCATTGGGACTCGGGTGCGTCTCTGCGAAACCAAGCGCCCATGTGCCGGCCCCACAGCCGATGTCCAGCACTTGCCTAGGCGAGTCCCCAATAACAGCACATGCCGGAGAGTTGTCCATCATCATGTAACATGATGCATGCTGGAAATCTGGCAGGTTCTACTCCTAGTCTCAGAAGTGCTCGGCTATACAAGCCGCCGGCTCTGGCGGTCGGGTCTTAGTATTCGGGGTCATTACCTGCTCTGAACTATTACTTGAAAGGAAATATTCCCCCTCTCCGTGGGCCTGATAGGTCCGCCCACTCTCCTCAAAGGGAGAGGGATCTGGAATCGTGCTGCCAGCTTCGTAGCGAGACTCTGCCCAGGATTCCTGAGACCCATGAAAGTTCCCCTGGGCGCCTCCACGCTCGCTCCCAAGACTGCCCGAATGGCTTCTGCTGTGGACTCAGACATTTGGATCTAGTGGCACCTGTCCATATTGCTGCTGGTTTCGAACCTGGATGCGTGTAGCCGGGCATTTTAGATCATATGATGTCACACACTGATTTGAGACACTCGGACTGTGTATTTATTACATATCAATTCTAAGGAAGTTTGAGGAGGGATAGAACAACCGAGCCTCCCCTGTTACAAGCTATATATGACGAGAACTGCATCCTTGCCGGAACGCAATGCGGGAAACCTTTTTTCGAAAGGTGTGCTGCTTCAACCAACAATAATTTGGATGACCATGGTTTATTCTATCCGTCAGGTTCGTGAATTACAAGATCCAGATCATGTGAAGGAGATGCGGCGTATTTGAGTCGGACCTCCTTAGATTTCGTGGTTGCCCATATATTCATTCTAATGGTAAAATCAGACTGTACGCAATTGGGAACAGACGTATAAATGCACAAGAAAAACTGGTATATTGACCATCATGTCTTGTTCATGCTACATGGATATATACATAACGTAGTCCACAAGCGAACGGGTCACCCAACCGAACGGGTCACGCCCATAGCAAAAAATAGAACTAAACTTCCTAACTTTACCACGCAACTAGTTCTCGATGGATTCTGCTCAAAAAGAATCTCAATTACTCCTTGCAACTCAGGCTATCAGAAATGACTCAACACTTAGTATCCGACGTGCTGCAACAATCTACAAAGTCTCGAATACTACTCTCCAGGCGCGTCTTCAAAAACGTCAATTACGTCGCAATATCGAACGAAGCCAACGGTCGGAATTCAACAAAACTAGAAGAAAATACGATTATTCAAAGGATAATTGAGCTAGATTCGCAAGCATTTCCTCCCCGGCTAAGTGCTGTTGAAGATATGGCAAACCGACTGCTACGCGACTCGCATATCACAAAGGAGGACTTTCTTCCGGCATTTTGCGACGCGTTCAAGAAGAGCCTGACCGAAAGCAATATTCGTGCAGGCTTGCAAGGGGCTGGGCTTGTGCCTTTAAGCCCAGATATTGTTATTGAGAAGCTGAATGTGAAATTACAGACTCCAACGTCCTCCCGGCCCCCTACGCGGGAAACCCTTCCTTGGGCTTCTCGGACGCCAAACAACCCAACCGAGGCTACTTCGCAATCCGAATTTATTAAATCTCGAATTGCCAGGCATCAAAATAGCTCCCCGACGCCAATTTACGATGCTATCGATCAGTTTTCGAAAGGAACGCGGAGTATTATGCATAATATGGCTTTACTCCAAGCTGAGGTCGCCGAACTTCGAGAGGCAAATGCTCTAATTAGCAAGCGGCGCAGGGCCAAAAAACACGAATATGGCTTGGAGGATCACTTAATTCACAAGACGTACAATATCTTCAAGATCAAAAGGACGTTGCGCAGCAAGTACAGCAGGAAATGCGTGGAAATAGCGCTGGATCAAATCGTGGCCAGCCACGGCAACGGCGCTGTGGCATATGCGGGAAGACCGGGCATAATGCGCGAACCTGTCAGGTAGAGATAGAATCATCTGGGTAAGAGTATATTTACGGCGTTGTGGTTGCGAAATCGTGTTGAATTCCATGTTTTGCTAGTTGGCGTGACCCGTTCGGTTGGGTGACCCGTTCGCTTGTGGACTACGTTACAATAGAAAGAGGCCAAACGAGGATACAAAAATGAGTTCACCCTGAGTAGGGCAAAAGGTATGATCAGAGGGAGGCTCGATCTCCCGACCTTCAGTGGACTTCTATGTACGTAGACATGTTAGACTGACGTGATAACCAACTACACCATCCGACCAATTGATATTAAAACTTGTTGGAAAAGCGCCCTATGTAGGCTAACCAAGGTGCAATACGTGGGTGGGCCACGAGTCCATGACTCTTACTTTGTGAACAGATTTAAGTCCCACTATCGATCTGCCTGCACATTAGATCAACTGATCCACCTGGAAACTTGGTTTAGAATAAACTTTATGTTTTTGGCAGAAAACTAAAGGTCGCAATATTATGGCTTAATAATAGACTAAATTGTGAAGGCGCGAGAGGAAGCTGCCCAACCACCTGCAGGCCTTTGGCTGGCGTATTTCCACTGCTTTGCTTTAATATGTGTCACAATGGATGGGTAATGGGAGTGCTTCTGTTGCAGCCCAGCCATCATAACATGGAGTCTCGAATTGCTTGGTGAAAGACAGCGCGGACTTCCGCTGATATGTGCTTTTGATGTTCCTAATATCGACCTCATGACGACGTTGATGAGAACGACCAGCTATAATCCCATTGGCAGAACTACATACATGAAAATCGCGGCGGACTAGAAACTGAAGACCGATACGGGACAAGTCCTTGATCAACATCCTGAAAACAGTGGTGAACCGGTAGAAAAGCAGGAGATCCTGCATGAACTTCAACACAAGTGGACACACAGGCCCCAGTCACCTCTTCACTGCAGCCCTCGCACTGTAAGATCATCATACACTTATCTAGTTATAAGACGAATAAGATGCATTGCTGGAATTCAAGCTGGCTCACGCTTTGTCTAGTTCTGGGACGACTCATGGGCCCAAACCACATGGAAGACAGGCCGATTTTTACCTGAGATCGTTACTAAACGTGTCCATTTCGCATCCTTCGCGCATATAGAAAGCGGAAGCAATGCTCCAGTAGACACGTCCCTAGGTGGCCCTCCTTTCAACCATCTATTTGTTACTGGGCCCCAGAATTGATGGACTGTGAGGTCACGGAGGTTGAAATGTCACAAGGCCGACTTGGGAAGCTGTGGAGATGTAGTTCTAACATTGGACTTCGCTAGTCGTGAATAACATCCTTCTCGCGATGTTCGCCTAAACAACCAAATCAGAAAGGACAACAATGTCGGACTATTCTGCAGCAGAAGAATACGAGCTCAAGCCCGACTTTACAGGCAAGCCGTAGTGTGGGCAGTTTGCCCAGTTCAGCTTCGGAGATAAATAGGTACTTCTGAAAGTGATCCCGCTGCAAACCAGACGAATTTCAACTTGCATCGCGAAGTATCTCGGGGCGGACCAAAAAGCCTGGTGGGACTCGGATCGTTGAACATCATTGACATGGTGCATGAGGGGCCTACTACTATGGCAGAATTGAGGGCTTAATATGGCGTATGTACGCAATAGAATCTTCCTGATTCAAAGGTTCTTCAACTTCTGTACCTTCAGCCTGAATCGACCACGAGTAATTGCGTTGCATCAGACCTATCGCCAACATCATTCTGCGATAAGCTCACAGAATACTTCCACTTATGCTTAATCGAAGCGGCCACTGCAGTTCAAGCCATTCGCCTTTGTCCTCAACCTCATCCCTCGAAATGTCTTTCCCGTACAAGAGCGTTCTCGTGATCGGAGCGACCGCCGGCATCGGCCTCGCACTGGCGGAGCGCATGATCGAGAACGGCATTTTCGTTATCGGCGTCGGCCGCCGGCAGTCCAGACTGGATGAATTCATCTCCAAGCACGGGTCCGACAAAGCAGCCGGCTCGCAATTCGACATCACAAACCTCGATGGCATCAAGTCCTGGGCCGAGAAGTGAGTTAATCTGAAAGATGCCCCCGGGTACCCTTCTTGGGCAGACCAACACAGCATTCCGCTGACAGTCTATCACGCACAGCATCGTGGCAACTTACCCATCCATCGACGCTGTAGTCCTTAACTCGGGTATTCAGCGCGCCCTAGATTTCACGGATCCGGCCTCTATCGATCTGTCCCTCGTACAGCGCGAGCTAACAACAAACTACACATCCTACATATCCCTCATCACCCACCTCCTCCCACAGCTGAGATCGCAAGCTCCCAAACCCACCGCTCTACTGGCCATAACCTCCGGCCTAGCCCTCATCCCCATCCCACGCGTCCCCAACTACTGCGCCACCAAATCAGCACTGCACTCACTGTGCTGGTCCCTACGCACGCAGTTGTACAACCACGAGGGCAGTAAACATATCCGTGTAATCGAGATCGCGCCGCCTGCCGTGCAGACGGAGCTGCATACGCAGCAGGGGTTGGATCAGTTCGGAATGCCGCTCGAAAAGTTCACCGACGAGGTTTGGGAGAGGTTGAATAAGGGGGATGTCGAGATCGTGGTTGGGCGTAATCGGGCGCAGTGGGAGAGTGTCGAGGGGGCGAGGAGGAAGATTTATGACGACGTTTTACCGGCGTTCGGATTTAAGCCTGCTTCGCTGTGAGATAGTGTGTCGATTTGGGGTTTCTGTTCGTAGGCGTGCGGAATCAAGTGTGTTTGGATAGCTGCTGGCCTGCTCGTGTTGATGCTTGTTGCCAACTACGCGAGCTTACGATCGAGTACGGCAGGTGAGTGTCGAAGTAGATGACAGCTGAGAATAGATTGGCAGGTGCCACGAGCCGTCGCTGGGCTGGAGCGGGCCTAGCCTGCCTCCACGGCAACTTCCTTGGGCTATAAGATTGCACCCGAGGCCTTCAAGCTTTCTATCAACAGCAGGGCAGTATAATAGCCAACCTGCCTCGGTCTATAAGTGTCAACATTGGAATAGCATGAATAAATGCGCCAAGACCGAGCGTAAACAGACCAGGTACAATACCTAAGGTCTTGGCCAAAGTTCAGAACTTAGAACATAACGCGTTCCGAGGTTCAACATATGTTGAACTTATCCAGTAGCGATACGGAAAACTTTTCACCTACGTAGCCCTTTGTTAACACCGACAACGGGCGGCATGTCTTTAAGTAACAGTTTAGTATATGTATTGTGGAAACCTGTGGCCTCAAGTTTGGAGGGGTACGCGGCAAGGCAGGCGTACCAATGCAGCCCCCAATACTCGGAATCCGACATATATCACATAAAGTATAGGAGTAATACATTGTTATCATATAATTAAAATGATTTCTACAAATAGTAAACATACTGGTATTATTGGCTGTAGAAACGGGCGGAATTGTCTAGCTCTTCTTACGGGCCCCTCGCCAACCTGTTAACATATGCGTAACATATATTACAGTAAGATGCAAACTAGCTCGGGTCAGTGGCGGGTTAGAGTACGATATAGGCGGAAATACTAATACCATCTTACTGCAGTTCAACATATGTTGAACTCCGACATGCGTTATGTTTTAAGTACCTGTTGAATTTGTGCCAAGAACCTTGGTTTCGTACCTGGTCGGGAAACCCCTCGATCGTAATCAGCTCTACGACTGCCGACAATGGTCTCCTCCCCTCCAATGCGATCCATAACCGTGTAACATTGTTCTGCATAGACCGTTGCGACTTCTCGGCGAAAACTTACGGACGCTGTTTCTTTTCACTGCCACGATGGTTCAGTTCGATGTTGCGTCTTCCAACTATTGTGATATCCAAGATTACAGTCAGCTCTCCAGCTATAACCCTTCATTAACCGCACCCGAGACTCCGGTATACGACAACTCAACTCCATCGGCGCGTTCGCGGGGAGGCAAGTCGTATGCGGCGTGGACATCATCGACCGTAGTATATTACCTGCACCTGTATTGCCCCAAAACAGAAACCGAAGCAAGTCGCCTAATGGTTACGTGCGGTGACAAGGTAGGCGTTGAGCGATTACAGCGCAGCTATCATCTAGCAGCTTCAGCTCTTTCCAACTGTCACGTCAATCATGCGTAAGAGCCTCGCGAGTCGACGATCCCAGGAGCAACAGCCTTTAGCACCATGCGGCTTCTGAACACGAAGACGCGCGAGCTACACGAGGATATCCAACCGCCTCTGAGATATTCCAACCTCTCCTTCACCTGAGAGTCCGAGGAGGTGACTTTCGAAGCTCAAGCATAACAATCATGAGTCCAAAGCCGGCTACCGGAAGATGGATGCCTGCTGCAAGCAAGCCGTCCGAGATGTATATCAGCTCGTCTGGATTGACACCTGTTGCATCCATAAGTTTAGCAGTGCCGAGCCGTCGAAAGCCATCAACTTCATGTTTCACTGGTACAGATGCCTCGTGTCTGCTAAATTTTCTTTGCTGATGTACCACGTGGTAATAATCTATATGCCGAAGGATCAGCCTCCCGGAATAATCGCTTGTTTACTCGCAGATGGACTCTCCAGAATCTTCTTTCCGCAGAGAACTGACTATTCTTCGACGGTCTGAAGTATCATCAATCTGAATCCCGGTCGCAAGGTGAAACAAAGGGCGGGTCACACAGCGGGCCACAGAGGGAATAATAGCTTCAGGTTGTATGAATGGGAAGTAGGCCTGTTACTCAGTGAAATACCCGGTATACCTGCTCATGCCTGCTAGTCTGGCGTTGTTCTAGATTCCACTTCAGTAGCGCAAAAGCTGTTGCGGGAAGGTAACAGACAGACAACTAGAAAACAAAGGACCACGCCTACTGTCTGCTAATTAGTACTCACTAGCATCAACATGCTTCTCCTATATAGCGAAAGCGATCGTGCTTTCGGTCGTCTCCAAGAGGAGATACTGAGGAGAGATGCCGACCATTCCATGTTAGCGTAGCAGAGTCTACCAAAATTACGAAGTGGATTTCCTAGCTTGATCGCCCGAGGCTTTCCATGACTGCTTAAGGTTGTTAAAGCTGCCGCATTGTCAAGGCGGACCCGACGTCTCCCCAAGGCTGAAGGGTTGGCGTCCCATTCCGTGATGACGAATTTCGAGTTGGAAATCAAGCTCCCATGAAACTAGTGGACTTGGGCAATCGAACTGCTCTTGCCATTCTCGACGCAATACCAGAGTTGAGATCCTGCTGCGACAGAACTCCATAGCAACCTTGCATACCGCTAACTCCTTGAGCTAACTGAAGAAATATTTTCGGCATGGCTCCTGAGAGCGGCACGATTACTGTACCTAAATAGATATCAAGGCGATGGCCAAGAAACAAGATACACATTCACAAAACCAATGCAACATTCAAGCCAGAGGCTCTATGGGAATTCAGGCTCAATTGATCTCTCTTGAATGACGAGAAATGTAAGTTCACTAGCTGCTACGCAACAAGCAATATTCGAAGTTTACCGGCCACTGACGGTAACGTAGGTGTCAATCATCTACGCGGGTGTCTGCAACTTTACCATGGTGGACTTTTCCAATCAGAAGCACTACATGCTCCTCGAAGTACCGGAGATGAGTATCGCCTTCGAAGTAGAGCCACGGGTGATATAATGACACCATACTAGTCCCCTCGACTGCCTCCTGAATATGGGGAGTGAAAAGGTTGATTTTGATCTGATCTCGAGGCGGTACAGATGGCACACGTTTGATGAGGACAATCAGATCAGCTGGATTGGGGGGGGGGGGGTTTAGAGCAAGAGTGACTGACTCAAAAGGCGAAAATCTTGAGGCATATATTTGACCATGATGTGTAATTGAATAAACCATCTGTTACTGAAGGTGGCTGAGAATAAGGGGGGTGAAACAAAGATATGTCAGGAAACACATTAATTGTTGTAGTCGCACGCACAGAGCAGCGGTTAACGAGCTCAGGTTACGGGAGGTAGACTTCATCAAGACTTACGAAAATGGTGAAGCCACCGAAGCCATAAATGATGTGTTCCCTGATAGTCACCGATGGTCAAACTATAATATACGCCGGGCACAAATGCTAGATACAGATATTGAAAAAGGGGAAGATGCACCCAGCGAGCCCTTTATCCTAAATTGATGATCTATACTTTAATACACCGGTAAATCGAGGAACAAAACTAGCATGGAGAGACAGGAGAGCAGTGTTGCACTCGGCTGCAAACTCTATGTCATGCAAAGGGGCAATCCCCTGGGAACAAGGTCCTTAGCAACATGAAGTGCTTTGGAAACGGTAAGCACACCATCCCAAGTTCAGCCTATGACTATTGCCCCCCTCTATATGCTGGCTACTTAAGAACGAGAAACTCTGGGTTATCGATACCAGGCAAGTTCTTATTCGCAAAATGTGACTTTGGTCAGAGGTAGCACTCCTTTCGGACCTTAATTACACCTATGTTCCACGTCGATATACAGTAAGCTGTGGCGAACTCACTTCCCAGATATGTGAGCTATAACCATGGCAAGCCGCCCCTCAAGGGAGACCATCAGCACGCCCAAACAGACATTGATCACTCACATCGGATGTCAGTTCTCGAGAGACGAGCTGTAGAATTGGCAATTCAAAGGTTAACAGACAGACAGTAGACGAGTTAGGTAGTCAACGGTATTGCATAGGTAGCTAAGAGTCTGCGTGGACCTCGCTGGATTCTATGGATGCCATTTTTAAGCTTCATCTCATCTCTTCGCAGTGACAACCGAGTCATTATCCAGGCCGTTCGCAGGTGAAAACAAATAAAAAATAATAATATTAAATACGCCGTAGGTGTTAACCCTCGGTACCTCTACAAGTACTCCCTTAAGGGGCTATAGATGATATAGCGGGCCCTTAAGCCGCGTCGGGCGGTTATACAGGTAAACTTGTAGCCAAATGACTACTAAACCTCCTGTCCCTCCCTAAGTCTGTGCTACAACCCCTGCCTGAACTACCGATAAGTGTGGTAATGTGGCACTTAAATTCGTCCTCAGGGGTGGGATGCTGCTGATGTGCAGAAGATGCTCGACTATTTTTTTTGTCGCGACAAGTCGTAGTATCTGCTAATTGGGGTTCTCGTCGAGCGTATACATCTCAACCATACGCTCAAGTGGATAGACCGTAACGTGGTCTAGACGCTCGCAAGAATCGCGGCGAGAGGGCGTGCTGCGCGCCTTCTATCGTGAGGGGACGGGTTCGCCGACGAGCGTTATCGGAAAGGCGAGGTCCGATAAGGGGTCGGATTAACGATTCGAATTCTGGACCGGCTGTCGAGTTATATTCCGCCGACGTAGTGCTTGACGGTCGACTGGCTAGGATGCTCGTAATCCTAAACTGCACCAATCTCCCTATTATCGCTAGGTAGGCGAAGTCAACAAGGTGGGCAGCGCGCCGTAAGGGTTGACTAAACCCCCTTGTGTGTCAGCTGCGGGATTCGAACCCGCGACTCGTCACCGACCCAAGTGGGCGAGGCTCAAATCGGGACTTATCTACCAGCGAAGTGACCAACTACACCAGCCGACAAAACAAATAAAGTAGCAGTGAATTTTCAGATAGGAGAGCAAAAGTTATTAGATTCACCTTGGGAAGTACCAATAGCATTCAGAAACATCATGTATGCTTGCAAACCAAGTCACAGCTATCTCTTTCCCTACACCAAAACAACTTCAAAGTCGTAATCTTGCGAATAACATCACTTGCACCTGGGACTTCGGCTTCAATCTCGCATCTAGTTAACAGTTTAAACACGCATAGTACTACAGGTTCTCTTCGTTCTTCCATATATATTATCATAATCTGCGTCCTTTTAACTTAACTTATAAAGTCCCTGTAACACTATTATAACCAGATATAACGGAAAATCACCACGTTATATTATGTTGTAGAGCAGATTGGTTCGCAAGGCAATCTACAAGCTTACTACAACTTCTACCTATCTATAGACCCGGAAATCAGAAGACAGCGAATATTTTCATCCCAAATTAGGTAAGCCTAAGTGAACCAATTACACTGATCATTCGAGAAATTCATATTATGGACATTGAAGTTTAAGACAGTGAGTGTTACATTCCCACCACGTTTTGGTCCTTCCGGCGCGGCAAGTAAAGCCGCTCGGGAGCTTGCCTGGTGGATGGGCTTGCCATAATCACGAAGGATGACGCGGCGACATACCCGATTCAGGGGTACATAGCTGCTAAGCTGGGTCGGAGATGCTGAACATGATCGTTTGCTAAGTGGAAGAGCGGCATCGGTTTGGCTGGATAGGCGCTTCCGGCTGGTATAGCTGCTACTGTGACTACTCTGCAATGCGTCACCTATACTCTTTTGTGACGATGGTATCGAGCGTTCCGGCCGGTAGTTCATTGCGCTCGTGATGTCTATCCCGTTCCGAAATTATTCCGAATGCCATCGTGTGTGGTGGTGATAGTACCGCGCCACATTAATTATACCGTTACCTGTTGCCTCGCGGAGCATATCGCCTTCCTCATCTAGTTCCGTGTATTGCCACGAATATTTGATAACAAGCGACGCCCGCGGGTCTCCCTGGAGGTGGGCTTTCCAGCAAGTTGTGGCCCGGCTAGCTATACAGCATGTCCGTATCATGACTTCATCAATTATAAGACGTTCTTTCCGGCTATCTCTTTCAATCTCTATATATTGTTCAGAACCTGAAACGAAGACTGTAGGGTCGAACCCAAGTTCCTCCTCGTTCATCCAGAGAAAGCCAAGAATCGTGGACACAAAACGTAGCCCATCTTCGTTAATGTCGAACGCTCCGACGCGATGTCCCTAAGCCGGTCAAATTCCTATATCCGCAAAAGAGATCCACAGAGAGTAAAGCCTAGGATAAATCGACGCGTATCTGGAGCGGCGAGTACTTCCCTCGCATAGCTCCCAATGCCGAGTCATGCCTTAGAAGCTATGTCGGCCGAGGGGCTGCTTTGAAATTCCCCAGGGATAAGGATCTGTACCATTCGCAGCTCGTCTCCTTTCCTGCCTTGGAGTCACTTACGAAGCCGATGTCCAACTTGCACCCTGAGGTCGAACCCTGGATCGACTTGTGAGGTTGTACTAAGAGTCTTCGTGTCGAGATTAGCCTGTAGTCCTCTGCGAATGTCATCTAAGACGATCTTCTCATTTGAGTCCTCTGGCCATCCTGTCCACCCTTTAAGGAAAAGCGGACTGGTTCCTACAGTACACTTCTTGAAGATGGGCTCGGATGCTGTCTCGAGTTCTGTCATGCCCCCGATAAATGTGTCGTGAAATCGACGTATATCCACGTACATCACGCCGAGTTCATGTTTCAGAACATCGTTTAGATGCTCTAAGGAAATCACAAAACTGCCTGTATTACGCAGGCATGGTCTTTGTTGGAGGGAAGATGCGATCGGTCGGGGAGGTGGGTTGGATTTGGTAATGGTATTATAGACTTGATCCCAGATCTTGTCGTTGGGTTTCTTGGAGAAGACAGCGTCTAAGAGTGGTTTAATGCGATCGAAGATGAACTCGTCAGAGGTGATCGTTATTCTGAGCATTGGAAGCTCGTTAAAGAGGGGTTTTCCATTGCTGTTACTAAGCAGTCGAGCAGCTGGATGGACCTATAGGGACGAGAGAAGGACTAGCCCCAGATTCTGGAGAACTAGCAGTAGCTAGAAAAAGTATTATCCGGAGTCCACTGTTTGCAGTAACTTCATTGCTGAATCTGTTCAGGAATTGAGAGAAATTAAATGACTTGAGGAACCCAGATGGTTGCCAATAGGATGAGCTTTGATAACACCTGATCTAGCTTAATTCATCACGGTGTTATGTCAGCGATTCACACCCTCTGAGGATGTTGCTGGTAAAATGAAGAAAAGCACCCCAGCTAACGTACCCCATGGTCCAATTGAACACACGGTCCAACTGAATACTTTCCCGCATTTCCATATAACCTAGGTTTCGTCCCTTATTTTTCACCTTTTACTGTAGTAGGTAATTAGGAAGAAAGCGAAATTTGAAAGCGCTTGAAGCGATTTTAAATAACCCTAAACTAAGCGTACAACCCGTAGCATGGATCTATAATATCCTTTATACAACCTTACGTCACTGATACCGCTGTGAGGGACTGACTGTGGGGTAGGTAGGTTAACTGTGAACACAGACTGATGTCTGAGTTGGCGACGAGCACAGTCGGTTTGAATTGGGCGGCGGTTTATAGGTACCACGGATGCCCACTACGAAAGTGATGGGAAAATAATTTAGAGGAGTTGGGCGTCCTACTAAAAAGAATCCATAGCCCTACACTGATATTGAACTTGACCTCCGTGTTAAGTCCAGAAAGCTGATAGTGCGAGCGAAAAACAATGGTTATGGAGGATACAAATTCGAGAACAAGGCCCGCTATATCTCGGGTCTTCGGACCTACTGTCTTGATAAGCCGTAGGCTTCCATAGGACAGTATAATTGATGCGAGTGATTTGGGATATGGGATGTGAATTGTGGTATTGGGAAAGGTTGGTCAGGTCAGCTATTCTGGCCTGGCAGAGCTATTTGTAGCTCTTATCTGCTATCTGGAATATTATTTATAGCGACAGGGTAACCCCCCCCTGGGGTCGCGTATCAATAATAAACGAGATTGAAAAAAGGTCATAAGCGCCCGGGATATTTGTAAGAGAGATGACCGAGGGTAGTACGCTTCTAACGGCCTTGAAAAGCTCGGCTCCTTTACGTATGGGACTTATTTCCCTAGCGCAAATAGACTAAGTAGCTTTCTTAGTCTGGTCTTCCTGATCCATTTGCCCAAAGAAAGAAGATCTGATGATAAAAGTTGATGCCAGAATCAACGATTTGGTTGTTTAGGTGTACAGGTTTGACAAACCGAAAATGAGTGGCTCGCTAAGGGGTGTAGCCCACTTATGGGTGGATTACGTTGCTTGCGATAGCAACAGCAAGGCAGGAGACTGCACGATCAGGCCCGGCGTCGTCGCAACAAATCGGTGGAAATGGACTTACCCTTTTTTCGCATGCAGTCTAAATAGATCAGGGTGCAGGCAACTCCGACAACCCAACGCAACCGTGGAATCCTTTGAAAAATTCATCTTGGGGTGACTGATGAGGGGCGTCGTGCTCAAGGTTGCGCGCCTCTATGCCGACGACACAATCGCGAATGCGGTCATGAGACAACAATCATCTCGGGTAGCCGGAATCGATTGTGATCTTCAGTTCATGTTGAGTTGGTGAATTCGTCAGATCCAGGAAGTGAGCAAGTGGCCTCTCCACGCCTTTGCAAATTGCAAATGACCCGCAGCCTAGTACGACATTGCGGGTTGCAAATCACCACGCGAGTGTCCGTTTTATTGAATCGCTGTAGTAAGGCTATGATTGAGGTTGATTTCGAACGCTGTGTAAGCCCTTTGACGAGCGTATTGGAAGCAGTGAGAAGCAGTGATAGGGGGCATGTTGTAAGTTAGACGTGCCGTGGGACGACGCCATGCTCGTGGCCGTCTCACGTGCTAGATGGCATCCTTCCAATCATGACCAAGTGAGAGATTTCAATCGAGCAAAGGAGGGAGCACACAGCATCGACCTGCCTGATATGCTAGCTTAAGGATGGACAGGAGAGCACCTGCAAACTCGTACCCAGAGAAGACCAAATCGCTCACTCATATGGACGGCGGCGAGGCAGCACGGGTTGTGACCGGTGAATCCTCTCGGCTGACCCAAGCCTTAAGGACTCGGCAACGATTCAACTGTTGCTGTGTGACATAGACTCTTCGTTAGAGCCTTTTGGGCGACAGCCCATAGCCGATTGGCCGTCGCCGTTGATCTCGGGCTTCCACCAGCTGGGTCGAGAACACAAACTGATTTTAGGGTTGAAACCGTCTGGCAAACAAGAAGTGCGACAAAGGAATGCAAGTGAAGGAAAACATGCATTGCATATTCGACTTATGACACAGTATCGGGCCAAAAGTGTGTTCAGGGTCCCCTTCAGCCGTGCGCGCAATCAGGGTTATCGTAGATAACACTGACTACGATACGTAGGGCAATTTCGTCTCTCAATGGCCCTAGTCCCTTCTAGTGGGTTTTTCTAGGCGTGTTAGCAGGCACACACTTTTAGGGTAGGAGATATTTCAAGTACCTCCCACAGTGCCGATATGATGTATCACACGGCTGAAGGCGGCTTCTGCTAGTTCACACACTTTTGGACAGAGCCTCCATACGGGATGTAATCTATCATCAGGCGAAATGAAATTCCGGGGGGTAAAGTGGGCACCATCACACAGGCCAAGGCGGTGTTGAAAGCTTGTCCCAGGATGGCCATCGTGCCAAGGGTGCCTTAGTTTGGCAATTTTGAGCTTCAAGCCCAGTGGTGTAAGGGACTAGCTTCAATGTCATTGGGGGCCATCATCAATGTCGCATGAATTGGGGACATCCAATCGACCAGTCGTACGGACCAGGATGTGCGGTGGTTAGTGCCGGCGAAGCAGCTGTCGTCGGGAATTAATTGGCTGCAAGGTCTCCAGGAGGTGTCGCTCGTCATTTGGTATTTTGTCTGTGACGGCAGAATTCGTCTACCTTGACCAGAAGAACGTTCGACATTTGTTGGAAGGTAATGCCGAACTTGTTGTTCAGTGCTGCCAAGCTTCTTACGTGACACTGCACAGCAGTGCAAAAGTGCTCATGGCTGTCACAGCCAAGTCATCATCCGTCAGCATCCTTCATAGGGCTGCGAGAATGACTGGGAAACTTTCTGTTTTTCTCTCCCTACAAATAGCCAGCTCAGATCTGGGGAAGTTTGATCCAAACACTTCAAGGTACTTGGCACACGAACAGGCCAGAAGTCAGCATCCATCATGGTGCGCGGCCAGCACCGGTGGTCGAAACGCCAGGGTCTTCTGGCTGGGTGGAACTGGTGCAAGGACGCCAGCCAGGGGCGACGACATTGCTCAGCTGCACGTTGCTCCGAAACATCTGTGGATCGACACTTGGCGTGTTTCACTGCGGCGTATTTGTATAGGGGTACACGGCGGCAAGGGTAGATCTTTGCCTGGTCGTCCATCAGCATTGAGGAATTCTGGAAGAAGCTTAACCTTACCCCTGCTAGCAAATGCACTACCGCTTCTCCTTTCATCTCTTGGCTGCTTTTGGCGGACAATCACCGCAGGAAACTGGAATAGTGATGGTGTTGGATGCAGGCTCTGATGAATCCCGTTCCTGCCCCAAGGCTTGGCGACCCGCCCCCCCCAAACCTGACCAAATGCAACCAAATGCAACCTATCAGTTGCTTCAGCCTGGACGTTGAGCCGATCCCAATAGCCGCAATGCAGATTCGTTCAAGGTGATCCTCTGTTTTTAGAAATCTTGGGATGGCAGTTGCCCAAATACCCTTGCACCCTTCAGTCGGATGAACCCACTTTGCAGGGGGGCAGCTTCCCGGATTGCCACCAGATGGACCCCCATCGCAGGTTCCCTCTCGGTGTTTACAACACATGAGCTCATTATCCTGTACCAACTAGGTGCGGCTCCCTGGCGCTTTTATTGTATCTGAGATGAATGATAAATATCTCGCCTGTTCCCATCTCGTGGTGAAAATGGGTTTGTATCATCAACCAGCTTCATACCTGGGCAGCTTCGCATTATTTTTCCACCGCGTCATTCCCTCATTTCTGTTCCTTCGCTCCAAGCTTGATTTCGTGATACCAGGAGACTTGACGTTTCCGGCTCCTAGATTCGTCGTCCCCAAGTTTTCCGTCTCATTCCCATTGGCCCTGCTCCTCTTATCGTTTCCCTCTTCACCCCCGCCGCAATGTTCCCTCCTTCATCTTCGATCATATTCGCCGCCGGTCTTACGGGACTCGCGGTGGCGGCCCCCTCCAGTCCGTTCCACAAGATGGGCAGCTTCTCCATTCCTCAGGTCCGCAACGCCGGATATGTCAGACATGGCCCCACGGCCCTGGCCAGGGCCTACATGAAGTTTGGCGCTGCGATGCCTGATAGTCTGTTCCAGATCCTGGCCGACTTTAAGATCTCGAAGCGTGATACGGGAAGTGCTGCTGCTACGCCTGAGCAGTACGACATTCAATATCTTACGCCCGTCTCCCTCGGCACTCCCCCGCAAATTCTGAACCTCGATTTCGACTCCGGCTCCAGTGACCTTTGGGTCTTCAGCTCCGAGACCCCCGCAAGCCAGGTCAAGGGACAAGCTCAGTACAACCCGTCAAAGAGTAGCACCTCCAAGGAAGTGTCGGGCGCCACGTGGGACATCTCGTACGGCGATGGCAGCTCCTCGTCTGGCAATGTCTACACCGATGTCGTAAATGTCGGCAATGCCACCTTTGCCGGACAGGCCGTCGAGACTGCCCAGCAGGTGTCCTCTTCCTTTACGTCAGACACCAACAACGATGGCCTCCTTGGACTGGCCTTCAGCACCATCAACACTGTTCAACCCGAGCAGCAGAAGACCTTCTTTGACAACATCCGCGACGACTTGGACAGCCCTGTGTGGACCGCCGATCTGAAGCACAACGAGCGTGAGTATTCCAGCGGTGGTCTATGCAAGCTTCTACTAACGTCTCTTAGCTGGCACTTATAACTTCGGATTCATCGATGACTCCCTCTACACGGGTAAAATCGCTTACACAGACGTTGACTCCAGCGACGGATTCTGGATGATCACCTTGGACAGCTACAGCGTCGGCAGCAGCACTAGTAACTTGAGTAGCCGCGCCTTCCACCACCGTCCTTCCACTTTCCCCTCCCCCTCAGACTCCGCCTCCACCCCCCTGACCGGCATTGCCGACACTGGCACTACCTTGGCTCTCCTGCCCGACTCCGTATGCACCGAATACTACAGCCAGGTATCCAGCGCCGCCAACTCCCAAACGGCGGGTGGCTACGTTTTTGACTGCGATGCCACCCTTCCCGATTTTACATACACCGTCGGGTCTACCACCATCACCATCCCTGGCGAGTACATCAACTATGCTCCTGTTGACACCACCGGTGAGCAATGCTTTGGAGGAATTCAGTCTGACGCCGACATTGGCTTCTCCATCTTTGGCGACATTGCGCTGAAGGCCGCGTTTGTCGTCTTCGAGGATGATGGTTCAAGCCCTCGTCTGGGCTTTGCTCAGAAGAGCTTGTAATCGCCGCTACCATACTCGGCATGAAAGAGAGCCAAAGTGATCGTTCCATTCGCAATATTTGCGTGAGACATTTATTCTCAGCTTCTTAGTGTATTATATACAATTTTTTTGCATCGCATGGCATTGCATATGGGGTACTGATTATTTCGAGCTAGAGATACCATTCAATATTGAAGTCAATCCCTCATTGACTAATCATGACTGATGTGGCTTGTATTTGTGTTTACCTCTTAACGTATGATGTGAGATATCTCAGATTGTGCACGACTGCAACAGTTCATCAGCTACCTGGAGTTACTTTCACAATTTCCCCACAGGTCCTGAGTGGGACATAAGTAACACTATGTCGTAAGTTGCGTTCGTATTGTAACAAAATGTCAGCCTATATGCTGTTCAATCTTGCTTCAGCGGACCTTTCTCTTCCTAGAAGAAATGGCCTCCATCTTGGATACTGTGAATATCAGCGTACAAGGAGAATGGCGCTGGATAGAAATTGGGGCTTAACGGATGGCGTTTTCTGTATAATCACAGAACTAACATAGCAAATTCGGAGTCAGGAAACAGGAAGAAGCGTGCTGCCGCTGATGTCTAGGCTTAAGGAAGCTTATATGCGGCCCGGAGCGAAGGTGTTAACGTAGAAAGCTCGCTGGGCTATCTGAGAAATTATCTAGCTAGGTAAAGTTTCATTCTCATCATGATAGACTACCTTGGAGTAGTTATTGCCAGGGAAAACAGGAATATAACTACTCAATCAAATACTAGGTGATACATAACTATATTGAACGGCTCCCCACAACGGGAGTAGAGTTGTTACGACAATTATAATCGCTATGAGGTTCCAAATCCGATAACATTACCGGTTGCATACTCTTTTGTACTCTATATTTATGTAGCTAACTATGCTCATCTTTGTGGAATTGGTGGCCTAAAGTCAGTGCGATCCCATAATATCCTGGAAACTATTCACGGTTGGTGTGATTATAAGGTAACTTTAAACTTGTCTTCTTATCCATCTGCCGATGACAGAAGTTGGTCCCTTGCCATGCTTATCATAATAAATTCACTAACCCAAGCTGGCTATACCTAGGTCGAAAGGAAAAAGGTGCCGCTTGTTTGCACCGTTGTTGATTTGGCAGTGACTTTATTTCTGAAGAGGGATTTCTTTACACCACCCCAAAGCCCGTCTCACAATTTTGGCGAATCTTGAATTTATATCTCTGATCGTGAAACTAGGAGAGGATCCGCGGAGTTTCTAAATACACCCTATCACATCCACCTTAGATACATTGTCCCTCGCTTTTGCATCAACATGAACATCACAACACCATGAATGCCCCACAAGTAGAGCAGCAGAGGTCCGATATGTTCTAATTTTGGCCTTCTCTAATATCTGAGCGTAAGTCGACAGCGTGCCTAAGAATTGTGCAATCAGAGAGAAGCAATACATCCCAACGATCGTTATGGCTATCAAAGACGAGGATGGATCGGAAATCCTGCACCATGCAGCTAAGAAAGGGCATGCTGGTACGAGCTTCACAATGGCTTCACACGTAACAACCGACTAGCAACACGGAAGCAGAGATAGCAGACGGCGTCACCAATCGCTGCACTAGTACTGAGCCGACCTCATAGACCAACTGGTCACCATGAAACAGTGTCATGAAAAGATTCCCATCTACTGGGCAGCTGAAAAAGGCCACCACTGCTACTGCAAAGTGATGATGGAGACTGGAGTATCCCCTAGGGCCCAAGATATCAACGGCAAGAGTCCCATTGACACGGCCCAAGATGCACTCGAGAAGGCCACCGGAGCCCTGGTCGAGGCAACAAGCGCCGTAAAGAAAGCCACTGAGGACAAGGCTGCCGAGCCACTGTTGAAGCGGCACCAAGCGTCTGTAGCCACTACTCAAGCCTCCTCCAGCAAGCTCCAGAGTACGGTTGCATATCTGCGACAGAAAATTCAGACTGAAGAGCGCGCAGGTGGATTAATACATCACTACTGAATCCAGAGGCACTGGTTCTTCCTTGATGTATTCAAGGCCCTTATGGCCCAGTCCGGTCACTTGATATTTCAGACTGTTGAGAGATCACTCCAGTTAAAAGCTTTATTTGCGACCAGTACCTCCAATATGTTCACTAGAGCACTAATCTCACGTTGGCAGACAAACCTGGTCCACATACGTAGATAGATCATTGATCACCGCCCTGAGAGTATTTCGTATACAGGAAATAAGCAACGTGGGCTTTTACTTATCTAGTTCTATCCTTATGTTTATGTAGTACATTCCTTATCTTAACAATATGAGGAATTTATGGCATCTCCCTAAGTTTATGGGTTCCCAATGCTTACTACAGTTGGAGACGGCCTGCAGTAAACCATGAGAGGATGATCTTTGCATCTTCTTCAAATACCCAGCAGGCGGTTAGACCCTCCTGCAGCGATACAAGTTCATCCTGAACAGCATCCAGACCAATGTATTTCCTCAAGAGTAACCAATGCCGTGGCAGTGGACGTCTTCCCAAGAACAAAACTTGCTAGGCCTCTTGCTTCCGACGAGAGGGCGTCGATACAGATGTATGTGGCATGCCAGAAAAGGGATTGGGGTAAATTATCCGGCATTAGCAACATGCATATGCATAGGGGAGGGGTTTTTTCGGCATTGCTATTGATCCATCGGTCTCAAGCACCGTTTTCTTATCACTCTGTAGATGTGGTCGCACAATTTCTTAATAGAGTAGCCGTTACTGAGCTTGGAATAGATTCTTGCGAACATACGCCACTTATTTGCTTATAACGAAGCCTGCAGTTCGTATTAAGAGCTCAAACAATGCTTACTGGGCTCCTTACGAACATTGTGGGCAGAAATGACATAGTATTCGGTCTATGCACGTAACAAGTAGCGTAAATACGAACATAGGTAGAGCTGACAGACAACCTACGATAGCTTCCTAATTAAGGACAACAACATTGGGCCGTTTTTGCTCGCAAACATCACGGAACAGAAGTTACCATATAACTTGGTGGGTGATCAACATTACGAGGGTCCCAGAAAGTCCGTCTCTGGACTAAAGGAAATTCGAACATGAGCCTTGGCTGGTCGCAGAGTGTTTATCCGTGGCTATTAGAAAACCGATAGAGCCATACTTTAATTCCGCTTGTTTACGCAGGATTGTGGTGGCCACCTTCGCATGCACGCCAGGTCGGTTGGCATGTCTTGAGATGACCTCATGCATCTCGAACAATTTATGCTAGGACGCAGTCTAGACCGTCCCAAGTCGGCAGAACCTCCACTTCGTCTGATTTCAATCCAAACTGCTGGTAGCACAGTCAATATGGCTCTATTGGACACATTTTATCAACGCGATTGTCTGGTCGCGGGCTGACTAGCAATGAGAGTGGCCCCTAAATGGGTGCCACAACCGGGCGAAAACGTCTTGATTCAGTCCTTCGATCTGGATACTTGTTGGCCGACACTAATCATCACTCGGATGAGGGGTATGAGATGGTGATGTGTTAATTCTTGGCTCTTGACGGTTACTTCTTGGAGGAGGGTTAGCAGGACTACAAACGAACCGCCGAGTCATGGGCGTTCTAGTGGCCCCAACCAAGGCACTAAATTACCTAAACGACGGCTCTCGTAGATCCCGACGTAGGTTAGATATTCAACGAGTCTCCACTGCATCACCGAGAGACGGCGGGTTAAACAGTGTATGCTCGCTTTTGTGGTGACAGTAGGTGCCCGGGCCAATGGTGACTTGGTTATATGAGGTCAGACGAATGCTACGAGCTGGTGCTAGTGATATATATTGCAACCTTCCTTCTAAAACACAATAGGCAAGAAAGACCCGGCACGCGGGGTCGGATACAAGTGTCCACACTGGCATCTCCTCACCTTACTCTCCCCTTTGTAGTCAGATAGACCATTGAAACAGAGGCAAAGAACGTCCAAAGCCGAAACTTCCGTCTGTACCTCAATAGTTGGGCAAACATGCTGGAGATACTGCTCCGACCCGCCGTTCTGGCACCTACGGTACTCCTCGTGAGCTACGTGCTGTTTCAGCTCTTTCTGAAGCCCTTGAAGCTGCCGGATCTCCCAATTCTTGGCGCAAAAGAGGGCGACTGGTTTCCTTTGCTGCAGGCGAAATGGCGCAACACCAAAGACTTCAAGAACGCTCTCAAGGAACACTATGCCAAATACAAGGACCAGACGGTGCTATGCCCCATCTTCGGAGCTGGCACCATCATTATTCTCCCAGTCTCGCAAACGCAGTTCGTCATCGACCAGCCGGACAATGTTCTCAGTCTGCACGAGCAGGCTATCGAGAACTTGCAGACCGACTACACCGTCACGGACGCGGAGCTCGTCCGCAACCCGCTGCATCACAAGCTCATCGCCACCACCCTCACCAACCAGATCGGCAACCTGATCCCCGATGTCGCCGACGAGTGCTCATGGAGCTTCGACCGGCACTGGGGCGAGGACACCAAGGAATGGAAGGAGATCTGTGTCTACGATACGATGCGCCGTGTCATCGGTAGTGTGTCCAACCGCGTCTTTGTGGGTGCGCCCGCATGTCGCGACCAAGCGCTGCTCAGCGCCGGCTTGGCCTTCGCCCAGGACGTACCCATCACGTCCAACATCGTCCATATCATCCCCAAACCTCTTCGCTATACCGCATCTCTGCTCATCACGCTGCCCAACCGGCTTCACACGCACCAGTTCTTCACGATCATCCGGCCCGAGATCGAGCGCCGCCTGCAAGAGTACGACGTGCGCCACGCCGACCCCGAGAAGAAGGCCATGGAGCCCGAGCGGAACGACTTTCTGCAGTGGAGTGTGAACCAGGGCAAAGAGACGGGCGACCTGTACCATTGCCACTGGAAGACACTCGCGGGGAGGGTGTTACTGCTCAACTTTGCGGCCGTTCACACGTCGTCCTTTTCGATCACGAATACGATCCTCGACCTCATCAGCTCAAAGAAGGAGTACATTGACGAACTGCGGGAAGAAGTCACCACGGTCCTCGCCGAACATGGCGGGGAGTGGAACAAAAGGGCATTAGCCAAGATGAACAAATTGGACAGCGTGCTGCGCGAAAGCGCCCGCCTCAATTCCTTCGTAACCCTCGGCCTAGGCCGTCTCGTAGTTGCCAAAGACGGCCTCACCACGCCGTCGGGCGTGCACATACCCAAGGGTAATGTGGTCTTCGTACCATCGTACTCCGTCCTCTACGACGATAACATCTATCCTGACGCGCAGACCTTCAAGCCCTTCTGGTGGGCGGACCAGAGGACAGACGAGAGCGTCGAGTACGTGACAAGGGCGCGCAACGCATTTGCGACCACCAGTAACGAGTACCTCGCTTTTGGGCACGGCCGGGGCGCTTGTCCGGGGAGGTTCTTCGCTGCGAATGAGTTGAAGTTGTTGCTAGGGCATTTGCTTTTGAATTACGAGTTCGAGATGCAGGAGAAGCGGCCCAAGAATATGTGGTTTGGGTTAAATCGGGTGCCGCCGATGACGGCTAACATAAAGATTCGGAGAAGGGAGAAGACGATTTGAGGCGGAGTGTGCTGTTGCTTGTGTTTGACATTTAGATTTCCGATGTAGACTTCACAGCTGGATCACTGCCTAGAAAAATCCAATTTTTGAATTTCGTCACGCGGCTCCTTCTAGTTATCGTCGGAATTTGCCTCGCGGCTATTCCCACTTTACAGGCCCATCTTCAATTCCGGTGGTAAGCCCCTTTGTAGCAAGGCCTGGACTGAACATAGAAGACCTGCCAGTCCTCCCACGCACAGCTCCGGGAATGACTCGATGACCTTGACCAACCGAACATCCCTTGAATGACACTGGGTTAGAGTATGCCAGCTCCAGTTTGTCCAAGTCCAACTTTGAGACAGGTTCTAACTAAGCAACCCAGTTGGTATAGCCGCTCTTACCTTCTTTGTCCCTGGTAACCTGAATATTCTTCATCGCATACAAAATATGCATCACTGCTCACCTGCTATTGTAAACGTTGATATGTCTACGAAATTATCTCAGCTAGAAGTTTCAAATTATCGTTATCATTACCTCAGGTACCTTGCCTTCATTTCCTCCACCTCTGTTCTGAACTAACAATCGAGACAGCCGGGCCACATTTCCCGAACCTAGAACAGGAAGCTGGGCCCAAGGAGACCACGCCATGTACTTCGCTATGTTAGTGGGCGACTCACCTTGTCCGAGATAGAACCAAGTAGTAAGCGTGACAATGATTTGCCGTTGCGTAGCGGTAGCTTCGGCAAAAGGACCAGCCTTCTCTTTGCCCTTACCCTTGTCTCCTTCGCGCGACAGAGCCGCCATGGCTATGGCATTCTTGATGCTTGATCGCCGAAGCAGATCTCCCCGACCGGCTTTCAAACCAGCTCTTCGCGCCGCAAGGCCAGCGGTGATAAAATCCCCACCAGCAGCTGCGGCTGTATCCACAGACGATGACGCGGACGTTGATGCTGAGGCTGAGCCACCGGTAACAGTCCTACCGTAACGCTGAAGTAGTACACCAGCCCGGCCCTTGATATTCCCCTGTCGTATACGGGACCGACTAGTGGGCGGGAGCGCTACCGGTGCTCCTCCTCCATCTTCGTCATCATCCCCATTAGGAGAACTGGTAGAATAACTTATCTGCACCAGAAAATCCCTATTACAATCCTCGCAACCCACCACCTCACCCGCCAAAAAAGGCGGCTGTGTCGCCCACGGGTTTGACATATTCACATCGGGAAATATCTCTGCACCACTCCTCCCATCGCTCATGGCGAGCCGGTCTACATGCAGAATAGCGTCGTAGTGCCAACACATCCTGATCACCGGTGCAGCGAACTGTTTCTGCTGCTCGCTCAACCCTATCCTGGCCGCGACGTCAGATTCTCCCAGTCGAAAAACTTCTCTTTTCTGCACAAATACGCCGTGTTCATTGATCGTCAAGCGCCAGGACCGGGTCGCATTCACAGCATGGTTCTGGAAGTATTGAACCGGTACACACGTCACATTCTCCAGCAACGAGGCATCGCGACCCTGGCGATGGTATTTTGCCAGGCCGTATAGCACGCCAGCGTGATAGTTAGCGGGCAGGTCGGGCGAGAAGGCGTCTTGGGCGAATTGGCAGGGGCGACGGCGCGTGGCATGCGGGAGGCAGAGTAAGGGGTAGTGGAGAGCTTGGCACCAGGGACAGAAGAGGAATTCTGTGTCGGGCTCGAGGAGCTGCAGGAATTCTAGTCGAGAGGGGCCGGTTAGACCTTCATACGCGGTGCCGAATTTGGATCGGATGGCTTTGCTTACTAGTGCTAGACAGGCTTGTTCTGCTTCGGTGAGGGGGCCGCTGGCGGCGATTTTGCAGAGTATCTCCGAGGGTACGCCCTCTAGGTCGGGTGTTGGGGCTATGGACATGGTGGTGCTTTTGCGGGGGCGGGTTTCTGTTACCAGTGATGTTTACGTATAAGCCTTTGGTTTCGTGCGTTCGCGTGGCTAACCGGGCGGTATAGGGGATTTTATTAGATGGGGTGAGTGCTAGTCCCCTTGTAGACCTCGTAGGTGCCTATTCTTAAATATGTGAGAAAGATTTTGGACTTGGGCAGAAACAAGTTGGTCATAGCGAAACACGAGGATTGTTATTGACGAACTAACAAAAGATCACTGTACCTTTTCCAAGTATTTGTGAAACTCAAACCCGAGGAACAATTTCGTTGTGCCGTTCGATTCTAACAAAGGAATTCGTCTACGGCCGCCTACACGAATTGACCTTTTTCCCCAAGAGGCCAGAGCCTTCCTCGCAATCACCATTATTACTAGTTGATGAAAAGAGGCTTTGCAGCTCTACTGCCTTGTGTATGTGCTCGAGCCGGGCGTTCAATCGCACGAACTTGATGAGGGAACCGCGGCTCAGGAAGGCCACACACTAATAACTACTTACGAGCGCGATGTGTCGTTAACTACAAATATTTTTCAGTCTATAAATTCAAGTTAGATAATCAGAAAGATAAAATTTTTGTTGCTTCTCATAAAACTATGCAAAAATCGGCTAAATCCTCAACTTATAACTGTGTCTGATATCGTATTCCCGAAGGTGGCGGGAACGGTGCCGATAAAGTGAATCACACCTTCGATACGCAGACGAAATTGGGAATAACGTCCCACACCTACATCCGGGACACCCCCACACGTGGGACGCCCTAAAAATGATGCTGTATATTATAACCATTAACTTCAACCTTTTTTTACACTTATTATAATGCGACACAATACAGCTTTCACCGTCACTAGGGTTTTCAGACTCGCTAGACTCATCTGTACTATCCTCAATTTCACCAGCCTCGATTTGAGCCTTCCGAATAGCCTTGATATTAGTAAACTTCGAATTAGGGCTCATCTTGACCTTCCTCCGCTTCCTAGCCCTACTAGCCTCAAGCTCTGCCTCTATTGCCTCAATCTTTCGCTGTGCGACAGCTAACTGGTAGTCCTTCTCATCAAAGCCCTTTTGAACTTTCCGAAAGAGTAGCCGCTGGGTATTTGGATCACTATCAAGCTTGCTGAATAAGCTGAGTTGATCTTGGAGCTCATCTCTCCTCTTAGACGTTGACCAGGCTACTGCTGATGTCTCTAACGCCCAGTCCTGACTACCCTTACTATCAGAGTACCCTTTGCAAGTCTGACTAGGCTGTCTGATTAGTGCTGACGTATTCTCAAGGAGCAGGGGGCTCATAAGGGGTCTAGCTATGCTCGAAGGCCAGAGACAAGTATATTTCCATCCACTGATAATGTTCTTAGCGGTCAATGCTGCTAGACGTGCCTTTCTATAGCAGAGGAGAAAGTTTCTCTTCCCTACGACAGTAGTAGTATCCCATCGGTCAAGGTAACCAAGCTCCTTCTTATAGGCTGCCTTGAGGGGTCCAAAGACTGACTGATCGAGAGGCTGGAGAACGTGGGATGTGTGTGGCGGCAAGAAAAGCAAGTGTATCTTGTTTATGAAGCAGAGGTACATAAACTCTGTCGTTTCGTGGCTACTATGCCCATCTAGGATAAGTAACCTAGTCTCTTCAGGGTCCTCTGGTTGAGTCAAAGGAATAAAGATCTTTTGTAGCCACTCAATAGCCGTAGAGTCTGACGTCCACCCATTCTCTGTTGCTGTAAACCTCCAGGCTTCGTATGGAGTCAAGTCCAGAGGAAACCACTGCTGCTGGGCAGACTTCCCCTTGTATATCACAAGTGGGGGTAGTGCAGTACCAGTCGCAGAGATACACTCTATAAGAGATGTCCAAGCTCGAGATCCAGGCTGTTTCTTCCGCATAGAACGAGTCTCAGATGATCCTAGAACAAGACCATTTGATCCTCTACCTTCTAGAATACCTGTCTCATCCATATTGTATCGATTCGAGGCCTTAATAGCTTTGATCTCAGGGATAGCGAGGTATTTGAACCATTGCCTGATCACATTAGCTGAGTGATACGAAAAGGTAGGGGGACCCACTGGTTAGGTGAATCCCATTCAATTAGATACTATAACGTTGCGCACTACTGCATTATAGCATCCTCCCCCCTAGGTGCACGCATCACTGAGGCTCCATTAATACGCTGGGAATCGATAGCTCTGCTTCTCTGGACCTTGACTGAAGAGTTCCTCTTGATAAAAGCCTGGACCCAGTTCTTTCCAAGTGGTTCGGTGTCTCTGTGGATCTGTAGGATACGCTCGGCGAAGTCTTTGAGCTGTTGATGGGTTGGTGGGAGGCCTAGGGCAGCCTGGATTCGAACCCATTCAGCCAGATGAGATTCCTGCGCTGGAGAGAGCCTCTGGTAGTCAGCGAAGGCTATATCTCTTGACTGGGCTCCCTGAATCCGTCGTGAAAGAGTAGACCTTGGGACACCATGCTCATATGCTGCTTTTCGGAGGCTTTGACCGGTAGCTATTGCTTGAAGAGCTCGATAAATATCATCTTCGGTATATTGACTCATAGTAGTGTAAAGAAGACGTACGTAAAATTTCGTAACGATTGAATCGATATTGGTAAAGATAAAAGAGATTGAAGTTAGAGGCTAGCGGTGTTGATGAGGCATTTTTGGGTGTCCCACATGTGGGGGTGTCCCGGATGTGGGTGTGGGACGTTAGTCAGCGATGGCGTGATGAGACACACGAGCAACGTTTTCCTCGACTTTTGAATCGCTATATTATGTCCGTTAACAGTGCTCACATGTTTTCAGAGTACTCTTCTTCAGAATACAACTAACTGGTACAAGATGTCTCAAGCCAGCGATATTGAAAAGTCTGCGTCGGGAGTCCAGCAGGTTCACGCGACGAAAGACGCCGGCAGCAATGCCATGAGAGCGCCCCATATCGACGCCAAGTCCGTCGACGGAAACAGTGGTACGCGGTCAACCATTGAGCCGGTGGCACAGCCTGCTCGCCAGAAATGGTATCAGTGGTTTTCCCCGGACGATACACCAGAAGAGCGGCGATTGATCATGAAGCTAGACGGCCTCATCATGGTTTTTGTGTTCCTTGCATACTGGGCCAAGGTGCTGGACTCTTCAGCGACAAGCACGGCTTACGTGAGTGGCATGAAGGAGGACTTGAAACTCTATGGGAATCAGCTCAACTACTTGAATACCGTCTACATGTAAGTTGATGCTATTAAAGCGGGCTGTATATGAGTTGACATATGTAGGGTGGGATTCATCACCATGCAAATCCCGTTGACATTGCTGGTAAGTTCGTTCATATACATCACAATAATGAAGTTCTCCTGACTGTCTACAGATGACCCGATTCCCTGTGAACTACTTCCTCCCCGCCGCAGACCTGCTTTGGGGAGTGTTTACCCTAGTGCAGTATAAGGTCAATAACGTGAACCAACTCTACGCGTTCCGCTTCTTCGTCGGAGCTCTGGGAGGTTTCTTCTTCCCCGCGGTACAGTGGTACATGGGAAGCTGGTATAAGCGCTCTGAGATGAACCGAAGGGGTGCTATATTCTTCATTGCCAGTCAAATCGGGAGTATGAGCTCAGGTTATATCCAAAGTGGTGCGTATGCCACGCTGAACGGAGTCCACGGGATTGAGGGTTGGAGGTGGTTGTACATCATCTGTGAGCTTTCTTGGTTCACGCACATAGCTGTGACGCAAACTAACAATCCAAAAAGGCTTCGCATGCACCATCCCCATCGCGCTCATTGGCCTCTGCCTTCTCCCCGGCACGCCAGAGAACTGCACCTCCAGACTCCTCAGTACCCACGAAATCCAACTAGCACAATCCCGCATGGCCTCTGAGCACCGCGAGCCCCGGCAGCCCTTCACCTGGCCAAAAATCAAGACGATCCTCTCAGGCTGGCACTTCTGGGTCCTGGTCTCCTTCGCCTTCTTCTTCTCCCAAGCCGACGGCGTCTCCTCCAACAGCGGTCTGCCCCTATGGCTCAAAGCCGAGAACTACGGCGTCGAGGATATAAACACCATCACCACCGTTTCCCCCGCGGTGACAATCGTGTGGTCTATTTTTTGCGGGATAGTAGCTGATGCGTATGATGCCAAGGTTGGGCTCATTGCTCTGACGGCGGGGATGAATATCTTCGCGAGTGTCGTGCTGGCTGCTTGGGATGTGCCGACTGGGCTCAAGTTCTTTGCTTTCTTCCTTTCGGGGTCGGCGGATGGTATTGCGGCTGTTATCTATGCGTGGGCTAACGAGATTTGTGCTGGGAGTGCGGAGGAGCGCGCGCTGGTGATTAGCTCGATGAACACGATTGGGAATACGTTTGGGGCTTGGCTGCCGCTCTTGTGAGTTTATATCCCCTCTGCTGATTCTAGAGAGCTGAGTGATTCTAATATGTCCGTTTTTATAGTGTATGGAAGACTGTGGACGCACCACGGTATCTGATTGGGTATAACTGGACTATTGCGCTTGATGTCTGTATGCTACTTATGCTCTTTATATTGCGAGGTTTCTGGAATCGGGAGATGAAGGTCAAGAATATCTAGAAACAAACAATGAAAGTATAGCTTCATAATAGTGAATAAGAGACGTTTATCATACTCTGTTCCACGCAGAAAGGTCGCCCTTCCCTTACAAGCTTGAGCACTAAAGAGATCTACACCAAAATCCATAGCGCACGCACATACACAGGTTGGATAACCATATTAACAAGGCACCAAAATATAATATCAGGCCATCAAACATTATACTAGTTTACAAATCCGGAACAATAGGCTGTCCTTGATGCGTGATTCTCGGAAAAGTCTGAGAACGCTGTTGTGGCAGTGCTTTCCCAACACTAATTGCTGGCAGTTCGGCGCAATCCAAAATAAGATGCAAAAAGAGCAACCGAAAATAACGATGCCTTGAGAATGCTATTCTTGATTGAGGTCCTCGCGATACCCCATAATCGAATGCCGAACCACCGCCACCAGCTGGATACCAGGTCTGCTCCTAAACCATACCGTCTTTGCTCCAGCGGTGACGGTGTGGAGAGCACGGGTTTTTCTGTCACATAGTGCAGCATCAGTGTCATCTTTCCATTGGCCTCGGTCTCCCAGTTTCAGCCCAGCCAGTTGTCCCGGAGCGGATAGACGTAGCTTTAGTCGCACCAGTTGCGGTTACAGGGGTCTCCCTACTCGAAGCTCTCATAATATTGCAGCTGTAGGTTAAAATATCTGCCTAATGTGCAAGGCCCGACTCCTCTAGTTCCGGGTGGGCAATTGAACAGCAAATCGGGAGACGATCGGTGCACAGAAATTCTTGTTCTATTAAATGCAAGAATTGTGGATTATGGCTGGCCTCGGATGCGTAGTGTATGAAGGGAACGTGAAACAAGTTAGCCTGGATTACCTCCCGGGTAGCTAGAAATCAACTACGGTTTGTTACCAGGACTCTTGCTCTCACTGATACTTGTTCTTTTCCAAGCCGCCCATGACAGGGCTGTCCAATTTTTCTGTTGAAGTGACTTAGCGAGCTGGCGGTGGTTCTGCAATCTAGTTTGATAATCCACAGTCAACTTTCCAGTCTTGTAAACAGCACTAAACATATGACCCTGTTCTTACCACGATTCTATCGGCCTCAATCTGAGATACATTCCCCCTTCCGCCTTCATGGTAATCACCCCCGTCACCTTCGGCTCCTCCAGAGTACACAACTCAATCTCAAATTTGCCAATCACTCCCGCAACCGCACACCTCAGCTCCGCTTTCGCAAAATCCCTACCAATGCAAGCTCGCGGCCCATGCAAAAACGTCAACTCCGAGAAATTCGTCGTCGTCCCGCCCGTCTTGTTAGGCCGTGTGGTGCCGTCTGGGAGCGTGTCGATCCACCGCTCCGGAACGATCATGTCAGCGTTATCGCCCCAGAACCGAGGGTGTCGGTTGATGGCGTAGGGAACTAGAATGAAATCGGTGCCCTTAGGAATCGTGTACCCGGCTACTTGGGTGGTACGCACGGCTTCTCGAATTGTGGCGGGCACGGTTGGGTACAGGCGCAGCGTTTCTTCGCAGACGCCGTTGAGGTAGGACATGCTCTCCAAAATATCCCAGGTGATAGTCGTGGTGGACGATGGGATATTCTCGTGTATTTCAGCGCGGAGCTTCTGTTGAACTTCTGGGTATTTGGCGCAGAGGTAGCATGCCCAAGTCAAGGCGCTGGCAGTTGTCTCGTGCTGGTCCGCGAGTCAGTTATAATCGTAAATTTATTTTCTGTAATGTAAACAAACTTACACCGGCGGCAAGGAAGGTAAGCATCTGATCTACGATCTCCGCATCGGTGAACTCTCCCGTCTGCACGATTCGAGAGAGGATGTCGTACTCGGCCAACCCCGTTCCTTTCTCCATGAGTTCGCGATTCTTCTCTTGGATAATGTCGTAGCACGTGTGCCGGAGGAATGTACCGATGCGGTTCAGTGTTTCGTTAGTCTTGAGCGGCAACCGACGAACGATAGACTCGGGAATTATGAAATGTAGACCCAGAAAAGCCAGACGGCTGCGGTCTGGTCTGAGCATTTCCAGGAATGCGTCGGCAATGGGATTTTCCTCCGTGGTAAGGGATTGAAAGTCCCGGCCCATTGCAGCTGGGCCGATGATATCCAAAGTCAAACGACTGTACCGTCGATTAGCAGTGCTCCGATTGGTGTGAGTGTAATAAAAGTCATACCTCGACCATTCACTTAGCTCTACGAGGCCAAATCCACCACTGCCAATGGGATGATCCTTGATATCCGCCTCGAGACCACTCTGAAGAATTTGAGTCTTCTCCCACATGAGGCTGTACAGCTCCCTGATCCTGCGAATGTGGAAAGCGGGAGTTAGGACTTTCTTCTGCCTCGTGTGCTCAGCACCTTCGCTGAGAATGAGACCCCAGCCAATAGCTCGCGCGAGAAATGCGCGGACACCCCACGACTTCTCAAAGTCATAGACATGGGTATTGAGAATATCGCGGAGAGCATCAGGACCCGAACAGAGGATGGTGGGAAGGCCGAAAGCATTCTTAATCCGGATGAGCTCAGCATCCGGTTGCTCTCGTATCCAACGCAGAGCAGATTTCCCGCGTGGCGATTCAAAAATGATACGACCATTTTCTCGGCCCTGCGAAATGCGGTTAGTTGAATCTGGCGGAATAGTGTCTTGTGTGACGTACCGTGGTCTGCGGGATGTTGCGAAGTGGGCTTCTAAATCTAGGGTAGATCACCAAGGCGTCTGCGAGTAGCAAAATAAATGCAACGACGATAGAGAATGAAAAAGGGTGCCGCAAGAGGACATTTGGAGTCATCGGAGGTGATGCCAGCTGAAGCAGATATCCGAGTGCCGCTCCGAGAGCGAACACCTTCAACAGAAACAATTCGAGCGTACGTAGAGGATTCATTCTGACAAATACAGTCAAGCTGTTCAGTAAAAGTCAACATCGCACGAAAGTTAGGACTTCTGGTCAAGTATATATGTAATGATCCAAACCCACAGACTTGCTCTTCCAAATTCAAATGAATACACAGCCGCGTAATTCATGTCGCAGCTTAGAAAGGCGTTCCATGAGATGCCTCGGGAGAGGCCTCGATCAATGCGAGGAGATTGACGCAATCGTCAAAAGCATCTGATCCTCTCGACAAGGGATATCCTAGGCAGTCAGCTACCCCGATTCTCAAACTTACACCTCAAGGAAGGTATGAGAGCCAGATATCGGCACCTGCCGAGAGCTTGGATCTTGTTTCAATCAGTTTCTTTGCGGTCTTGCACCAGACCCAGCACGATTGATTGGGCTAGGTTGCAGAAAGCACAAGCCATGAGGCAGGCTACAGATGGAATTGCCTGCGATAATGGTTTGCTTCCTCTATAGCACAGAAATGGTGGATAGATGAGGCCGTGGGCATCTCTTCATCCCAAACTATAGTTATTTATGGCTTATTTATTAGAAGAGGATGATAGTCGCGGTACTAGAAGTCTTGAGACACTACGGCGGCGAAAGTTCGGTAAAAGATGTCTCTAGACTTTTGGTACGCCTAATGACCCGTCGGGTGTCGGAATTAGACCATAGGATGACTAAGTATTCTTTGCTTGCTGAAATCTGAAGCATCTTGGCAAAACATATAGTACCAGGCCTCGAAGGCTAGCACTAGCAATTATTGGGGGTGAATCTCAACGAGTTGCTCGGTCTTCATTTAGTATTCGTATTTCTTTAATACTAACGTGAATGTACACCGAGCTGGCCACTTTCATGCGCCAACGCGACCGGCCAACTTAATGTTTGATTTTCTCAACAACCAATTATGGCAAAGTCATACAACGAAGCAGACTTAATGCTAGCCCTTCAAGCTCTCAAAAATGACCAAAAACTTAGTCTCCGACAAGCGGCAAAAACGTACCAAGTCCCCCGAAGCACCCTCCAAACGCGTAAAAACGCGCCCGAGGCGCTGTGGTATTTGCAACGGGACTGGGCATAATGCGCGAACTTGTAAGATCGCATTGCCATCTTCTGGAGAGGAAGATTCAGAGTAGTTTCAATTGATTTACGGCGTTGTGGTTTTACTATCGTAAAATTTCTATGCGAGGTTATGTAAGGGTGGCCAGCTCGGTGTACATTCACGTTATCCATATATCGATAATTAGGACTGTATGTTGTTAATAGGTTTCCGCATTAATTTTGCCCTAGTCCTTCTCCTAGAATACCTCAGGAGCTTTACTAAATCTAGAGAAGCAGCCCTAGAATATCTAACCCCCTGTCCGTTAATATCTGTCGACTATACATGTCTCGTCCTACGCCTCATCGATGCGTCGAGTAACATATTACTTTCTGGCATGCCCAACAAAACCGCCGAGTACCAGGGGCCATTTCTCGAAAAGACCTTCAACATCTCCGCCAATATCGCACCCCTCTTCCTGGAGGCTCGCCTGCCAGTGTGTTCGGACCATCCCGACAGCTGCTCACCCCTAGATGACGTCCCCATCCTGCTCTTCTCCCCTGGCTACAGCATCCCTCGCCTTTATTATAATGTCCTCGCCTCCGCCATCGCCAGCGACGGCTTCATAGTTATCACCATCGATCACCCCGAGGACGCCAACATCATTATCTATTCCGATGGCCACGCAGTCTACAACAACGCCTCCATACTGAGCAGGCCCACCTGGGACGAGTACCCTCGTGCCGTCGACGCATCCTTTGTTATCGACCAGCTGAGCAACGCGACCGCCATAGCTGAGCTGCTACCCCAACGCGGGCCCCGACCGTTCGCGACTGACCGCGTCGCCATGCTGGGACACTCTGCGGGCGGTTCCTCCGCCATCGTCGCCGCCAGCCGGGACCCTCTCATTCGCGGCGCGGTCAATTGGGACGGCACCATCCTCGGATCGCCGCCCCTTTCGGGACTGTCCCAGCCAGTGCTATTCATGACCCGTGGAAACACTATCTATTCGTCCTGGCTGGCGGCGTGGCCGCAGCTGAAGGGGGCGAAGTTGGTCGTCCACGTCGCGAACTCGACCCACCAAACCTTCTCGGACGTGCCCACACTGTTCCAGGCGGCTGGATAGGACACGGCGCCATTCGCGGATGTGTTGGGCACGATTGCGCCGGCCGAGATGGTGCTGATCCTGACGGCGTATACGACCGCGTGGATGAATGGGGCGTTCACAGGTAAGGAAGGAGGGGCGCTGCTGCAAGGGCAGGAGACGGGCAAGTTTCCTGAGGTCTCAATTCTTATGAAAGGCAATTTTTAAAATGATGAGAGACATCTCGCGAGATAGGCACAACTTGCTATCTTTGATGGTCCGTAAGCGAGTTTGCTCAGGAGCTTTCAGCCTTTGAGAGATTACAAGAGCACTTTTCCGATATTCAGAGGAAGCTGCAGCCTTGCGGTACTGGTAAGCGCAACCAAACGCTCATTAACTCTGAGCTAAGCGCCCGGGGGACAGAAAAACTGAGACACCACAACATGTATGACCCCTGATCTTTGACAATTCGTATCTCACTCACTTATATTCTGAAGAAGACATTAAATAGCCTGAAACAATCTTTGAATTCAGCTTTACCAGCTAGACATCTTTCCGTCTAATTAAATAACGTCTTTGAACCGCTGTGGCATCGATTCTATCCACTCATTAATGCGCTCTTGTCTCAGTCGATCCCATCCCTTATTCGTAAGTGTAAACGCTATATCTGCATCGTTATGATGTACCGTACGAATCACTCGCTTCGGTACAGACCACGCGTTTTCGATTAGGCTCAGCGCTCAGCGGACGGTTGTTTACGTAATCACTAAGGGAAGTGTTGGATTGTGGGCAAATGGTCTTGTATTGAAAGTGTCATAATCTCTGGAGAGTCCTTGAGAGAAGTAAATGGCGGCCATAGGGGCCTTATATAGACAGAAATGACTGATGCCTGTCCCACAGCCAGGAATTGTGTGGTTCAATGGGTAGAGGTCATATTGACCCATACTCGTACGGTTTGCGGCTTTACTTTTCTCCTTGACTTGACAGTCTTGATGGAGTAGCCTTGAAGGTCCAACAGGAAGTAGATCGCACAGCCACAAGCCAGAGAAACGAAAGAGCTGGGGGGTATTTATTATGTAATGTATAGTACGATGTAATGTTCTTCGAGGCTGCGGATTGCAACAAGGGATCCTTGCCTGCACTAATTCCATGTACCGAAAGAGGTGAAAACGTCGCATAACGAAACAATCTAAACCAGCCATAGGGCTTGAAATTCGTTTTTAGACTTATGGTGCAACCCTCAGATCCAGATTCAACCGTTTTATGAGTTTAATATGTGAAAAGAGCTTGATGATGGTTCTACCTGTCTAAGCGTCTCGTTCTCATATAGAGGAAAGCTCTCTGCAATCGGGCGCGCAGGCAACGATACGATTGTAATTTTTGGAGTCCGCAGTGTGGGGAGTATTTGGGAGCGGTTGCACGTTATGATCAACGTCAAAGGGCGAAAGTATCGATGCGGTGACGATACTAGGATTGCTTAAGCATCATTTACCTATGCTTTGTCTCTTGACGTAGGGAGTCTTGCGACGCGGGGAGACAAGTTACTCAACTGCTTTCCTTATTGCGAATTTCGTTCCGAAAACTATCCTTTCACCCAGGTTCGGGCTCCTCGTCATGTCTAATACGCCGCTGGAGGCCAAGCCGAACAAGCGCCAGCCAAGCAAAGCGTGGCAGCATGCTAGAGAAGTTTGGAAATACAGCGGAGAGAAACGGAACGACGAGATCTAAGCCTCTCTGAGCCATCGGAAACGTCACTGCTCCTGCAATTTGTGCGGCCGGGGCAAATGTTCGGTGTCCGAAGCAGCCAACCACCAGCGGACCAAACACGGAATCACTGTTGATAAAGACCGTCAACCTACTGCAGACCCCTTGAATCGTTTAAAAGTTGAGAAGTTTCAAAGAGCCGACAGCACAGGAGACAAATGCTCGAGGTCACGCGAACCCATTCCGAGGTCAACACAATGACTGCTACCACCTATCTAGCAACGCGACTTGCGAACCCACAGAGGAGTCACCCGCCACTATCCCGCATAGTATCAACAAGAACGGGCCTACACAGACACTACCGATAGTAAGGGCATTCGACGATGACGACATATTAGCTGAATTGAAATTGCTAAGAAATGAGGTTAAGAAGCGGGCGTTAACGGAGGACGAATTGCGGAGGGCTCTTGAGAAATGGAACGGATCTTCTAAGAACCCTACACCAGGCAACGACAGGGTATAGCTGGGGAGAAATCAGCAAACCTCTTAGCGATACGAGCTGCCGGAAGGTTTTCATCACATTGTGTGGAGTTCTTTTGCGCCTTTATTTAGGCCTGTGGCTGCACGTTTGTTCTATTGCTCCTACTCGACAAGATACTGGGTGTCGTTCAATCCACTAAATGCAATGTTCACAGCCCTTGGCTGAGCTGTTCCTATTCGTTCTCGGTTTGGACACACGACAAGTTGTCCGATTGGGGATCACGTGGCGAGTACACTAGCTGTGTTGATCAGCCTTGACCTTTTGGCACAGGTAGGACAGAGTTCATGAATGTGTCTCACATGGTCCAGTCCCATTTTCAGCAGCAGTTTTTCGTCCCACAATTCTCTCAACCCCACGAAGACATCTTCACATACACGACTTGTGCAGGATGGAAAAGGTGATTGGGCACGTTGTTTCAAGAAACATCAAGACCATCAGTTGAAAGACAAGTAAAAGGAAACAATGATTGGTACCTGCTCTAATTGACCATGTTCAGCTGTCGCCTGGCGCTACTCAAGCCTCATGCATTGCACAACGTATAGTTCAGGCAATAAACTAGATGACGCGTCAAGGTGGCATAAATTAATGCCGAGGTATGAATATGTGTATAGTGTTCTCATTCTTTGGACGGCAGGTGAGTTCCCATGGCATATGATGTAGACTTGTGCCGGCGGTTAGCGGTGACGTGAATAATACCAGCAGCGGGATGCGGGTGTGTGAGAGCCATGGATCGGACCAAGTTGATCTGAGTGAAGGCAGACTAAATGGCCTAACAATACAAACTATGGGTGTCACAAAGCTTCAATATATGTCCAGTGCATCAAAAATCGACCCTCAAGAGCAAGCTTGTCCCGCCACTTTCATCAGGTACCGATCTGAAGCAGGTGAGCAACTTGAGAGATTCCCGGCGCATAAATGCAGCCTGAAGCCACTATATATCCCATTCTCTAAGCTAGTCGCTTAATAACTGCCTCTAGCTGCAATTCTCGGTTCAACATGCAGTTCCAGGCTCCATGAAAGCAAGTTGCAAAAGGTATTCGCGATGTTGGAAGCCACCCCGCATTAAAACGATCAACCCCCACCTTCCACTTCAAGCAGAGGCCCGTGCGAGATTACCCGGTAACCCTACCCCCTAGCTAAATCGCGTCGCAGTTGTCATGCATTCTTCATGACGACGTACATTGGCAGCAGCTCGAAGGCAAAGCTACCTAGACAGTCGAACTCACAATTGCCAGTGTTACTGATGACTGAAAATCCTATCGAGGATGGTGCTCCCACTCCCAATGCAACGACGAATGAGGCTCCGCCAGAATGGCCTCTGTCCTACCAGCTCAACCTGCCCAAGCAAACGGCCGGCCAAACGTCACGCAAGCCATGGTTCCACCACGGTCTCTATCGCGGCCCACAGAAGAGGCCTGTGAAGATTCTATACAGCCAAACGAAAGAGCAGTCAGAGGCTATTGCCCGACAATTCCTTGAAGAAACCGTCTTGGGATTTGATATGGAGTGGCCATGGGACTCACATAAGCGCACGCGACTACAGGAGAAGGTGGCTCTCATACAAATCGCTTGCGAGAACAAAATTGCGCTATTCCACATTGCCATGCATCCTGGGAAGACGGCAGGCGATCTCATTGCACCATCGCTGCGGAAGATCATCGAGAGCCCTGACATACTGAAGACCGGCGTTGCCATCTTGAACGCCGACTTCTCGCGACTAGTCAAATTTTTCAGCTTCAAACCTCGAGGTGCATTCGAGCTTAGTCACCTCCACAATCTTGTTGAATATGGAGCTGCACAACCCCAGCTGGTGACCACCAAGCTTGTCAAGTTAGCTCACCAGGTAGAGCATCACCTCGGCCTCCCGCTATTCAAAGGCCAAGTGCGGATAAGTGATTGGAGCAAACCGCTGAGTCCACAACAAATCAATTATGGCGCAAACGACGCGTATGCTTCCTTCATGCTGTTCCCCTGTATGAATGCAAAACGAAAGGCCATGGACCCGGTGCCACCATTGCCGTTGGCGGCGGAAACGTACTTGCCCTATACAATGCCGCCGAACAAAAGTCTTCACTTACACTCCGCGAATGCAGAAGATGCCATGATCACTGCTGAGGAATTCTTCAAAGAAGCTTTGGATGCGGCGGAAGAGGAAGATGTCGAGCCTACTGATCCTCCTCTCCCAACACATCTTTTTCAACGCCTTGTCCAAAGTCGGAAGATACTTGCTGGACTCCACAAAGTCCCACCATACGTTATTGCTGCAAATTCAGTACTGGAGGATCTTGCACGACAGCGTCCGACTAACGAGGCCAGCCTGTTGCAAGTCAAGGGTGTTGGCAAGCAGAAGGTGCAAAAATACGGCGCAGAATGGCTGGCAGTCATCGCGAAGGAGGAGACTACCAACACCTTGCAGCAAATTCAACTGGATGGGAATCCCCAGTCTCTAACGACCCCGAGGCGAGATAGCAAGCGTAGGATGATTGCCACTACAACTGGAGGAGGCGAACAATCTTCCTTCTCTCCGCAACTTCAAACCGGTCTATTATTTGAGCTGGAGGGCGAAGTGCTTGCTGATGACAAACTTGTGGCTAATGAAGACAACTCTTCCAGCGACTGCTCATCGGCATTTGGTACTCCAGTGCCGTTGCCAACAGCATCACAGCTCAAACGCAAACGCCACCGGAGCCCCTTACGCGAGCTGGATCCAATTAGGGGGCCACCACAATCAAAGCCTACTAGAACGACCTCATTCTCGCCCAAGTCACAGAGGACTCTTCAGAACAAAATCGTCGCATTTGGCAGACAAGTCACGTGGAAACTCAAGCTCAAGCCTCAAGAGCCATTGGTCTCGGAAGAAACGGCTAAGCTGATCGTCGCAAAACCTCCTCACACTTCTGAAGAACTACAGATCATTCCGGGGATCATGCCTTTTGTCCGGGCGTGTTCAGAGACCAAGATGGACTTATTGCAAGCTGTCAAAAAGTGGATACCAACTCCACCTGGAGCCTCAGCATGATATATGCTGGGAGTCATCTTGTCTGATTTCTCGAGCTTAGTGCGTGTCTTCACTGGACACCTAGATGGCAAGATAGGATTGCGGATTATGAATGCAATTAGCCATAGGTTGTAGAACACCCCTTGTTAAGTCGAAGATAGCGCCTTGTTGGTCGCAATGCAGATGATGATCTCATTGCTATATTTTCCACATGATTGCCCTATGCTCGACTTCGGTTTGATCTTTGCCGTTGCCGTTGCCCCGTCGCGTTGTCGCGATTGGGCAGTTGCAGTTTGGGCAACTCGCTGGTTGTTCATCCAATAAGAGCTGACCGCGTTTAACGGATTGAGCGCCACAGTAATGCCCTAGCCGAAACCGGTACAGTTGCTAGTGTAGCTAGTGGGCCAAACCCTTCCTTAGAGAGTACCTTATAGAGCCTCTTTACACACATAGCACAACACGTAGATCAGGTATAACGGTCAACACGACATCCGTTCAGAGTCATCAACAGAGGACTGATTCCCTCAGTTCCCCCATTTTGCGATCCCTCCGCCGCCTCCGCTCCCTTCGCGCTCAAGCCACATCTGGGTCCTTCACCATTATAGATAATAGAGAAGGTGTGGGAAGCTATGGCCTTAGGTATGGAGGGGTACGAGGCAGGCCGGCTCGGATGGTAGTATTTTCGGACGCTTCGGGGCCAATTTGGAGTTGGTTCCCCACACACCTTCGTAGTAGCAATACAGCCCCAATACTCGGAATCCGACAGCACTCATCATACTAAATATACACGGTACCGCCTACCTTTACCATCGCGGAGCTCTTGGTTATAGCCTTGCCTTACTTACAAGGCGAAGGGCTGTGGGCTTTTAGGCAAGTACTCTCAAGTTGGGGTGAACGCGTCTTTTAGGTCGACCCTTAGGGGCTCTTTTTCCGTCATTCATTTCGTATTAGCCATTGTTGTTATTTAGCGACTATATATGGAATTGGTTATCGTAAGCCGGAATGCCAGTACCGGTGCGATCCCACAGTTTCTAGTAATTCGCATTTTCTTCCGCTCTTTATTATCACGAACTGTCGAATTTACCTTTGAAAATCGATTCTAGTTAAACTTTTCTTTTCGGAAAATGCGGCACAATACGCAGGATTATATAATATATGGCCTGATAGTCTACCGCTGTTAAATCTTCTCATGAAGTCAATAGAACGCCGCTACGAAGTTTAGTGTCACGACATACGACAGTATGGAACGGGCAATGGCCTGTTCACATTAGTAGTAGCCCAGCAGATCTTCATGTGCTATGTTTAATCATTCTTAACGTTACTTAAAGTAATTGAAAAAAAGTGTGGTTCTGCAGCGAGCTTGTGAAAAAAAAAATAAGATTAATGTGGCAGAAGTGACGACTTTTGCCAACTTGAGGACGGAACCGGTTGTTTATCCAAGCCGCTCACGATAGCCTCAGCTATGAGCCAAGGAACTTTCTCTGTCGCGCACAGCAGATAATGATGAGATCAGATGCAATGACGTAGTCGTCGTTACATCACTCTCCTTTTTTCTATATAATGTCACGAGTTGTTTTACGGCAAGTGCAACATATCAGACATTCAATACAATCAACTACACAATCCTGCACATATATATATGAAATTCCTTGGAGTCTTATTAGTATTACTTTATCAAATAGCCCCATCATTTCTCGGCATAACCAAATATCGCCTGTCGCCACAAAACACGAGTTATCCCACCAACACCAAATAACAAATACCATGTGTTTCGGTTCCCGAAGAACAGCCTAACCTCCACGACCTATTCGAATGACTCAGCATTATGGCTACGGAGTTGGTCCGAGAATTTGCGGGCCCCGGCCTGGATACGGATTTAGCGGTGGACGGCGTTATGGCAGACGGAGGGGACATTGTTAGAGACGGCTGACCACTGTACACGGTGGCAAGGGAAGGAATACGAAGTCGATTTCACAATCGCGAGTTAGTCAACTGGAAAGCTAAGAAGGTTAGTCACGATTTCATCGCGGTGCTAATTTCTATCAGGGGCATACCACGTTGCGTAGTTCCTCGCTGCTCACATGAGTCTTCCCGTGTGGTTTGGATGCATCATTGAGGAGGATTCGAACAGATAGTATATGCGTCTTTCGTTCGTTGAATGAGCGGACTCCGAGCAGTGAGGCCGTGTTACCACTATCTTTTAGGAAGAAATATATACATAAGTCACTGACTACTAGAGTGAAAATTCCATCCTATAATAGTTCATTCGGTCAGTCGTTGAACTTTCAAGGGCCATGACAAGTGATCTGAGCTAGCGTGCAATGAGACATGTCAATTCATTTGGGATGCAGCTTACAATCAAAAACATCCACTGCCAACCCACCAGGTTGCAAACCCCTCATCTGTGGTCTTGCCAACGTCCGTTCCATGCCAATAAACCGAGATAGGTTCGATTTTACATAGATTCCAGAAGCTAGAAGTACAGTAACAGCACTCGCCAGCATATTCCCGACGAAAAACCAAGAAAATAGCTCCGTCGTTTCGTTTCGTTTGTACCACCGCGTAATGGTGTAAAGTCCTCCCGGGATGAAACCCGCCTCGCAGAAACAAAGTCATTGTTAAAACTCAGATGAAGTGAAAATAAGTAAAACCCACCCAAGCAGAAGTCAAGTCCTTTTTGGAAAGCCTAGAATATTGCGAGTCCCCTTGCTTCAGTCAGTTTTGAATTCTTTAGCTGTTAGTCTAGGCTTGTCATGCGATGATATGAGCCCCTATCCAGATTTTTGGGCCAATTTTGAAGAGGATCATGTTGCTAGGTCTCTGGGTGATGATAATATGTCTCTTCATATAGTACTCATGGAGAATGCCTCGAGAAGCATGATGTCTGCGGAAAGAAGTTGCTGGCCAATGTTGAATTGATTTGGTGGAATAGCAGCGTCCCTCAAGACGAAGTCTCTAAGCCCGTTGCCTCTGTATACATAGCATCAGTTATAAGTGCAAAACAAATGCAATGTCAGTTTGGGGAAACATACATACATGTTCTCTCTTTCAAGTTGAAGTGCGAAGAAGCTGAGCATCAACACGGGCATGACCAGGAGGTCGATCATTGGGAGAATAGCTAGTGACTCCGAAATACGATTGGCAGACCTATTTCTTGACGATTGTTTTCTCTTCCCCCTCAGTCCAGTCTGTGTTGTGGGTGTCCAGATCGCTTGCTTCATCGTTAATGTTGGCAGGGGCAGTCGTTTCTATCCCATCGTCCCATAGCCCGGTTCAAACGCAACCATTTCGATATCAACTCTTGCCGAGACTTAATATGCCTGGCATCCAGCAATTTGATGAATGTGTTTGATCTAACAACCAACTGTAACACCATGAGACTTAATTATGTTTATCGTTCAGTCCTTTGTAGATTTTCGTGATGATTAGACCTCGAAGGATTCGAAAGATGTACTATCTAAGGCATGGCTGTTCTACTCATGTGATCCAAGCCAGGACCATGGACTTTCTCGTGACAAACTGCATTCTGGAACATGATATATCACCCCATCGACTGACTCGATTTCAAGCGAGGTATCATTCACAGCGGAATTGGCAATGTATACTCAGCAAAAGTCAACATAGTACCGTCGTCCGCCATGAAACTGCACATGCGAGGATATTCCGCAACGACAAGGTCTCACAACAGTCTTGACTCAAACACAACGTGGATGGCTTCTATGAAGCAACATAAACGATTTACGTAAAACATTGGTCCCACAATCCACCACTCTGCGCAAAATTCAAACTGGACACAAAGGCATCCAACGTGCACCTCCCCAGCGCATCCGCGCCGCAGGACTCAAGTGGAATCACGCGATCATTGACCAAGACCCTGACCAACTCCTCCCCAACACTGATGTTCCCGCTCTCACCGCTGCAAGTCATCTTCTCAACGTACATCCTCGCCGAAAACGGCACCGCCACACTCGTGCTAAACCCGCCCGTTTCCGCAAGCGTCTGCCTCGTCGTGTTACTCAACATAATCGAAGAATTGTAGAGTCCCATCGCACTGTAGATAGCCACCATATCGCTATCGTGCGTGAAATCAGCGTACAGTGGCAGTCCCAAGGGAAATGTCGCCTGGTTGCCATCAAGGGTCGCATTGCTACTCGTGTGATCATTGGACGACGCGTTCGTTAGTCTTGCCACCAACTCGTTCGTGAACCCCACGCCTTGGGTAGGACCCAGTGGGTTGCCGAAGCCATAGCTGTAGAACTTGTCCAGGCTGAGGTAGTACCCGTAGCTTTCCCACTCGTCGGCGGTAAACAGGTCGCAGAAGGGGGAAACGGTCCCGTTGTCGTTGGCAACTGTGTTGAAGGGGCACAAGTCCATGACGTAGATGGTCTCGGTGTCGGTCAGGTTGGCCCCGGGCAGGTTGGCGTTCAGCCGTGCGGTGATGTTGGGCACGAAGACGGAGATCCAGGTCGCGATGGCAGCGTCGCCTACTTCGGAGGCGGGTCCTTCTTCAAAGGCGGTGCAGAGACCGTGGTTCAGGGTGTTGTTCGATCCATCCGCTTCGGAGACCACGAGGATATCAAATGGATACAACTCAGAACTGGTCACATTCTCTGCTCCGGAACGAGCCTGCTGAAACCCCTGGGTCCAGTTCTGCGCGGACTCCACAACACGTTCCTCACCCGACGAGCGGAAGAAGGGCACAGTGGCACTAGCAAGCGCCTGGTATCGGTTGAAGAACTTGATGCCCGAGTTGACAAGCTCCTGCTGGCCGAAGGTGGTCAGCTGGTCCGCACCGAGCGTATACTCGTAGTCCTTGATGAACTCGAAGCCAGACCCGTACGAAGTGACGGAGCTCTGGATCTTGAGAACCGTCGCGTTGTACTTGGCCGTCTTGGACGCCGTGGGGTCACGGGCGCCGTGACGGCTGAGGACCTGCACGAAGGTCACATCGCAGCCGCTTGGGATGCTGTTGTCAATGTCGGAGGCTACCGAGAAGAACGGCGCATATTGGCCCCAGTTGTGCGAGATTTCGCTGTTGCACTGGTAGCCTTCTTCAACGGAGTCGCATGACTGAGCGTAAGTCGTGCGGCTGTTGGATTGCGTTAATATGCGCCCAATGGCAATAATGGGGTGATTAATTACTTACAAGCACGACGCAAAGACGAGAAACGCTGCAACAAACATCGTGTTAATTACAGCGGCTGAATACTGCTCTAGTAATCAGTTACCGATAGACTTCCATCATTCACGAGGAGGGCGCTGGTCTTATATTTGGCATGCGACCTCATCGTCACGTCTAGGCTGTTCTCTCATCTCCGTGATGGTCACCCCTGGTTCCCCTTGAAAGCGATAACGTGCATTCTAGCAAATGGGGCAGCTGCCGGTGCAATGCCGGTTCAATGCCGGTACGTTGCTGATTCGATCGGTTTCAACCCACCTATAGCGCACGCATGTGGAGTCGCGAGGGCAGCGTCGCTAATGGACGGAATGGGGTTTGAGCGCTTGAAATGATGTGGAGTCGGCCGAGATTACCTTCCCTTGCAGATTGTAGGTTAACGTTTCATCAGGGAACCCCCGAAACTGCGTTCAGCTCAAAACGCAATGCTTAACTAAACCGCCAGTTTTTCGCCCCTGAAAAGCGAGCAAGGAGCAGTGTCTGTATCTGTCGGCAGAATTTATCGTTATTAGGACTCCTCGACTGCCGGCTCGGCGGCTTGGTATTGCTTAATTCTTGCTGTCGCCGGCTCCGACGTGATCTACACCGGGATCATGGGGATCCCGAATCTAGCGCCGAGAACCGCATTCCCAATACATCATGATGAACTCCTAGATGCTCCACTTTAGGAAGTCCCATAGTGTCAAATTCCGCAATGGGCTTCGAAGCATTCTCGATGAACAAATTCTGTCAACCACTCCACCACCGAGGAGTACTGGGTCTGAAAATTCTGCCGTAATAGTGTCGCATCGAAGCTTCTTATTAGTAACTCACTGCGCCACTCTATTCCTTAGCCGTTGAAGTCATCGTTTCAACTGCAACCCAACCTAGGAGATTTTTTTCATGCCTTCCCAACCAACTTGCTTACCGGAAACGGCTGCCCGAAATCGAGACAGCCAACATGTGCTCTTGCTTTGTGCGGCAAGTCGCGTCCAGTATCGAACAACATGATGCCATTTCTGGTCAAGCCTGGGAACCTTTCACCCGACCAGCGTAACCACCACCAACCAACACCGGTACACAATAGCCTACACGGGTTGTGTTCTACACACCCGGTCGACAATTATGTGACCTATTCTTGGGGATTGTCCGTGATATGGCATGCAGGAGGTCCAGCTCAGTATCATCGCGAGAAATCGTGTGCTCGTCGCTAAGAGACCACATGAGATATTTCTGGTCATGTGTCCGTACGGTATCATTATACCTGACTCGCATAATACCTCAGTAAGGCTAGCCACAGCCTCAGTCTATCATGCTATCACTGTCAGATTCCAAGTATTGGGGGCTGTATTGGTACTTGTCAGACCTTATAACTACCAAAAATACCTCACTCTACAAGCGAGTGGGTCCCTCGTCTTTTGACGGTCAATTTGATCCAACAGTTATGAGCCCGGGTTTGCGTCTTAAGACTGCAAGATTTTCTCGGGTATTATCAGTCCTCCAATTCCGCATAAGATCATCGGCAATAGTTCGAGACGTTGCCAAACCGCGTCAAAAAATAAGAGTTTTATTACAGAATTCATACTCAAGGTAGAGGGCCGGACAATAAAAAAGATGTTTAAGACCCTGCAGACACCGTAGATGAAAAGATGTACGACGACCAACGAGGCCAACCAACGACATAAGCCAGATGCTACTACAACTTGACGATATCTCTCCAAGCTGAGGGGGTGTGTCAGACCTTATAACTACCAAAAATACCTCATTCTACAACGAGTGGGTCCCTCGTCTTTTGACGGTCAATTGGGTCCAACAGTACTATAAAGGTGCGTAAGGACCAATGCCAGGTTAGTCCCGAGGGGTCCCTAAATACTACAATACGTGCCTGCCTGCCTCGTACCCCTGCATACCTGAGACCACAGCTTCCTCTACGCCCCGGCAAGGGGCCTCACGAATGACGGTTAACGGATTACTAGAGCATAATAGCGGCCATATTCGCAATAAGACACACGGATGAACGGGATGGACGAAAAAGGGGATTCAGAGTGATCAGAGGCTACAGACCTTCGGCCAAGAGAGCCACCCTCCAGCCAGTTCCTTCGCGATTCCTCTCGATCCATGACTGCCGGCGGCGGCTGATTGCCCTTGGCTTACTTGGCTTGCTCGGCTTGCTTGGCTTGCTCGGCTTGCTTGGCTTGCTTGGCTTGCTTGACTTCCGATATTTCTGTTGGCCGGTGCTCTCGTGGTTGCTTTTCTATGTGCCGACGCCCTCTGGCCGACTGTCGGCTAGTTGCTGATTCTGTTCTTCGCGTACCAAATTGATGCCGTGGGCTCTGGCGAATCATCTGCGTAACCACACCGGGACGGCTTATACGTCCAGTCTAGTATCGTATCGCGACTGCGACCATTTCACTTTGACCTTACGTCGACCAGATTAGCACCCTGCGTGTCGACGCCCTTTAGCCGATCGGCTTTGTGTTGAACTTACGGAAGCGATCTTGTATTATGTGTGCCTCGTCGACTCCGTCCTCAATTCGCGTACCAGATCGATATCGTCAGCGCCAGCGGTTCCATATCTGCGGTAACTATGTCACATCGACGATCCCTCCAGTCGAGCGTCGTGTTGCGACTGCGACCATGTCACTTTAGCCATACGTTAGCCAGATTAGAGGCCACAGCTTCCCACAATAGCCCCAATGGCGATTATACTATTACAGTAGATAAAATCACCTCTAAAAATTCTAGCTGCTATCCTATTATTGCGCGATACGCTTGGAGTAGAAGCTACTTGATAAATTAATACGCTATATGCAGCTAATTATATTAACTGCGAAAGTTTGCAATTCAACAGTACTGTGTACTGGCATCAGTATTGAAAGCTCTCAACAATGTAGAATGCCTTCATGTCCTTTAACGCAAACTATAAGAGGGATGACTAGGCGGATCCTATCTGAGATAAATTAGCCTATCCACTACCTTCAACCATACAGGGAGCTCTCACATGAACTAGATAACAGCCGCTTTTTCCTAGTTCGCTATCACCTTCTATGTTTATTGCGCCGTCACCTTATTGATTCTATCGTCATCATAGCTCGCAGACTCGACCGTGACTATACGAAAATATATAATGTCAAGCCAGGCAGCGCTGAAAATCCCATTTACTTCAAGAAATTTACTAGTCACCAAAGAGATTTTGCGGTAGGGAAGCATATCTAAAATACTCTCAATACTAAGACAAACTACAAAAAATCAATTGATAAAAGCAGATTTCGAGACATCATTAAGATATGGGACCTCCAGTATGTTGAGCGAGCATAATAAACCCGATAGACAGAGGCAGCTTATTGTGTACGTGTTGCCCTTCAATGCAGCAACTGAATTTGTCAAGGGTGGATAATATTTTGGGGCGCTTCAGGGAAGTTGATTATAAGGATATCCTTTTCTTCCCTATTTAAGGGCTATAATTGGTAGATTATGTACACTGACTAGACCTGGATATCTGCTAATCGTCTAACTGAGGTCCATTGCTATATCGAACGGTCACTAATATTCCAGCTGGAAGGAACAATTATCATGAAGCTCTTGAAATTCATCTTTCCCCTTACGACCAACGAGCTGCTCGACTAGTCTGCGGAGCGACAGAACAGGCATCTGATCCAAGCTTGAACTCGCAGTTCAGGGCCAAGATGAACAGGACGCTAAGCAAATTCGAAGGGCCTCTTCCTACCCTATTAAAGTAAGGGAAATCCTTGTCATCGAGAAATTTCCCGAAATGTCTAATCTTGGGGGACTCAATAAATAATTTAACACGGTCAACGTGGTTCTTAACAGCGCAGCAGAGGATCCACTTAGGGCCACAGTCTACAGATACAACAAAGAGCCGTTTTTGTATACGAAGCCAGCGGATCCTGCACCTACCCAACTAGCGGTGTATATATACAAGTTTTCTTCTTCACTCCAGGACATCAAGACGGCAGTGAGGTGCACTCGGCTGCAAATTCGTCAAACAGATGTTTCAGTCACTATGGGAATCAGTAATCATCCAAGGGAAGCTGCGGGACTCATCTCAAGCCGTTCTTCATTGATATTTCTTAGTTCAAACACGAACTTTCCTATATCCGGACCACCACGTGGCAGCAAAGATATTCGCGCAACGGTTTGTGGTATCTCCCTTATCACAAACTCATATGGATTGCCGCACAGTTGCCATGCATTTACCACTATCATGAATTTGTCCGCAACCAGTGCTCTGGTGTTCCCCTGGCTCTTCTGAGGGTGACAAACAATCTCAAATCTGACTAATCCCCTGAAATCCAATCTTTTATTCCGCAAGTTCCTGATGCCAGTACCTCATGTGCCTGTCCTCTCCAATGTCAGCATCGTGCAATTTCATTTATCCACCAGACTATACAGAACGACGTGCCAAGCTCCATCAAGGTTCTTTTCAGTGGGCCAATTGAGCGCGTGTATGCTGATGCGACCATGGGGGTGGCCGACTTGGTAGGACCGTCCTCTCAGAAACTGAGACACGTCCTAATACCAATGCTACTTCCTTTGGATCCAGGTCCAAGTGATTAGGAAGCTCTTGCATTGGCTGCAAATATTGCTACTGTGGGGGCAGTGGACTTGGTAGGGTTAAAAATGGAGAAATGAGACCTCTGTTCGACATAGTATCTCATCTGCGACAGCGGCTGATTAATGATTCATCTCGTCGATCAGAAAATCGGAGACTTCGTGAATCTCACAATCATCTGGAACCGAGTAGCCGGCATTGCAGACTACGGAACTTGTCCAGCGTGAACTCGTTCACTTTCTCTAGAGACAGTGTGCAACTGATCATAGTGCAGAAGAGATGTACCTTGTTGTTCTCCAGCACGATGCTGTACATCGCGTTGCCTAAGGACTGGTTTTCGGATTCTCCACCGGCATACACTATCTTCAGTGAACCAAGCAGCCGGTAGGGGTAGTGAATGCCGTACTCGAAATTGTATCGAAGGTCGCTGCGCTTGATGCTGGGCAGGTGAGACTCTTCAATGACGCTGGCACTTTTGCCGCCTGCGTTGGGAGTATTGGGGAGTCCGGAGATGTCAAGACCTGTGGTATTGAACCAGTGGTATCACGGTCTGGCTCGTCTCTGTTTGGAGTATCAGCTGCAGCATTGATCTCGTGCTCCTCCTGATGATACTCGTTCCGAAGGTGTCCAATTTTTTCTGGTCGAATCGATCCTACTCCCCTTGAAGGTGCTCGTAGTGATCACGCTCATTGTACCCATACTCAAGTTGGTTTTGCTCCAGTGAATAGTGATGACCCCGAAGGGGCAGCTGCTCCTTGAACGCAGACATGGTATAATAGCTGGTTGTGGATGATATTGAGATGTCGACGAAGAATATGATAGGCAGAAGAAGAGTGCTTGGCCACAAGACGTTAGTTGTCGCAATATGGTAAACTTCGCAAGTCAGCTAAGATTGTCCAATCGTGGGCGTTACAACATGGCGAGTGTTGAAGATGAGAGGAAGTAGGCTAAAACTCTACAAGTTAATCTACAACTGCTTAAGAGATAGGGCAGGTGGCATAAGGACCGCAATGATCGCGTGATGAGACGCGTAAAGAACTTACCTGGTGGTTCAGGACGACGTCAGTAAATCAACGACCTGTAGAAGAAGCCTCTTTGCTCAGAGTTGAAGGATTAGTATCAAATAGAGATCCGATAACTCGGTTGTAAACGAGATGTGGTTGCGCAAAATTACATATATTGATGCTCTTGACCGGCGACGAGGAGTTAAGCCTGCTGTTGTTTGCGACGAGAGGAGCTTTAACAAGCGGCAAGTCCAAAGATCAGGGTAAATACAGATTTGACCGGAGTAGATGAAGTGATCGGAGGGATCGGTCTGTGGTCGATTAGGACTAGGAAATTGATGGGATCGTAGTAGAAGTCTGTTTGGCGAGATGATAAAAAGACCAAGAATGGGAACTGCTAGGTAGAGGGGAGGCTTTTCTAGACTTCAAAATTGGTGGTCAGGACTAAGGATATTTATAACTATAGTCATTCATTTCTAGATCAGTGTATCAATAATTCAGTTTATATATTCATTCACACAGTGCAAAAACCTCCTACATTGGTAGGGGGAACCTAGGCACAACAGATGAAGTTGGTGCCTCTCAAACGGCTGAAAACCGTCTCCAAGCTCTTGGGCGTATTGATCAATAACAATGAGTGACGGATCTGACCACCTCGAACACTCGGAAAAGTGTGTACAACCGACGAAGTACCAAAGGCATTTTTTTGCGCTTGAGTTTCGGATTTGACGATACCTAGAGCGGTGTCAGGAGAAGCTTATCAGCACCCAGGATTAGAAACGCTTCGTCCAGACAGTAGACAAGAGAGAGCCAGCATCCAGGGCTTGCAGGGCATAGTGAGAGCAACCAGCAAGGAAATTTCAAATAACCAACAGGCAACCTGCTTGACACACAACTAACTCGAAGTTTAAAAAGGTGCACATCGTAGTTTAAATGTAGCCAGTCAGAGCCCTTCGACGAGAAGGCCCTGAACTAAAGAAAGGAGCTTGGGTGTACTGTCAGGTGCAGATAAGCCATAGTGGTTTGCCGGGCCCTAGCCTATGCGAGGGTCGGCAATGTATAAATAGGCTGCTGTGAACCCTCTCCCTTCCTTGCCATTCAGCATTTGTCCCTGAGCAAGGACAGCGACTAAATTTCCGTTCTTAAATCCACTGCACTACACTGCTGGTACTCACCTAGTGATTGGCAACCGACTTCTCTCTAGCCCTCTCATCCTTCACTCCATACTTCAAATACTCGTGACATGCACCTACGGCTACAGATGGATGGAAGGCAACGAATTCCAAAAAATACTAAAATTGCATATTTCGCAATCTCCACACTCCATTCAGAAACCCCATAATAAACATCATTAGTCAGTTTATTCATATTATTATAGTGAATAATTCCCACATTTGGCTGTACTTTGTCCACAATCATGAGTATGGATAACACTATAGAACAAAAGCTACTAGACGACACCCTATTGTGAGCTAAGTAAACAGTTAGCTGTTACAGGTATACTTAGACAACCAATGCTTGTTATTGAATCACGTATGATATGAGGGGCAAATGGTATGGTAAGGAGAGGTTGCGTTGAGGACTTGAAGTTGAGAAACATGGCATGACCTACTTAACCGGATTTGTGGGGATGCTGTGCACGAACCTTCCCCAGATTTTGGATTGGCACCGGCATCGGCCCCCCAGACACACAAGCCGCCAATCAGAGGGAAGGCTTTTCAAGCATTCTGAAATTTTTCGATCCAGCAAGTTTGCGCCTTCCATTGCTGCATTGTGAACGATCAAGGGTCAATTGGGCAAGATGAGAGCAGTCGAACTTGCGTGCCGTAGGGGACCGGCTTTCAGCGTAAGCATATGATGGATTGGTCTTGAGAGCAGGATTGATTGACCTTGAACAGCGCCTCTTGGCCAGAAAACGACTCACGACCCGATCATTCGCAACACCCTCCTTCGACAGCTCGAACCCGCGGATCCCGCCGTATATGAACACGCTTCAGAAGTATGAGAAGGTTCGAGAGATTCTGGGTCAGGCTAGAGCCCTCACCCTCGCCGAAAAGATCTTGTATAGCCACTTGGACAATCCCGAGGAGTCACTCATGACGAACACGGACGGCGGGCGCAACATTAGAGGCCAAGCGAATCTGAAGCTCAAGCCCGATCGGGTAGCTATGCAGGATGCTTCGGCGCAGATGGCACTGCTCCAATTCATGACTTGTAACCTGCCATCCACTGTCATTCCGGCAAGCATCCACTGCGACCACCTGATTGTGGGAGAGCGGGGTGCTCAGGCTGATCTGGAGGCCGGCATCCAGGTGAACCAGGAGGTTTTCGACTTCTTGGAGTCCGCGTCTAAGAAATATGGAATCGAGTTCTGGCCCCCCGGAGCTGGTATCATCCACCAGAGTGTCCTAGAGAACTACGCCGCTCCGGGTCTGATGATGCTGGGTACCGACAGTCACACGCCAAATGCAGGAGGATTGTCCACTATTGCTATTGGTGTCGGCGGTGCCGACGCTGTTGAGGCTCTGGTAGGCGCGCCATGGGAGCTCAAGGCGCCTCGCATACTTGGTGTCGAGTTGAAGGGCCAGCTTAGTGGCTGGGCTTCGCCCAAGGACGTTATCCTGAACCTGGCCGGTCAACTCACTGTCCGAGGCGGCACGGGCTTCATCATCGAGTACTTTGGATCCGGCGTCGAGACCCTCAGTTGCACGGGCATGGCAACTATGTGTAATATGGGAGCTGAAGTCGGTGCCACAACCTCCATTTTCCCATTCAGCCCAGCACACGTACGATACCTCGAGGCAACCCACCGCCACGATGTAGCAGCAGAGGCTAAGAAGTTTTCTGATATCGTCAAGCTGAGGGCTGATGATGGAGCCAAGTTTGACGAGGTGATCACTATTGACCTCTCGACGTTGGAACCCCACATTAACGGACCATTTACTCCCGACTTGTCGACACCATTGTCTCAATTTAAGGACACCATCAAGGAGCAGGAGTGGCCTGAGAAGCTGTCTGCCGGTCTCATTGGTAGCTGCACAAACAGTTCATATGAGGACATGACGCGAGTCGAGAGCATGGTCCGGGAAGCAATGGCAGCAGGTCTGAAGCCCGTATCAGATTTCTACATCACACCTGGAAGCGACCAGATCAGAGAGACCCTAGCTCGCGATGGACCTCTAGCAACTTTCAAGGAAGCCGGTGGCACAGTGCTCTCTAATGCGTGCGGTCCTTGCATTGGACAGTGGAAACGCCAGGACGGGGTCGAGAAGGGCACTCCTAATGCCATTCTGACCTCTTACAACCGAAACTTCCGCGGTCGCAACGACGGAAACCCTGATACCATGAACTTCCTCGCTTCTCCCGAAGTCGTCACCGCAATGGCCTTCGCAGGCACCACCACCTTCAACCCCATGACCGACGCCCTCACCACCTCTTCCGGCAAGGAATTCCGCTTCACACCTCCTTCCGGTCTCGAAATCCCGCCCCAACCCTTCGCTGCCGCCCGCGAACCATTCCGCGCCGTCATAGCAGCTCCCGACGCCTCGGCCAGCGTGGCCATCGCACCGACCTCCGAGCGCCTCGCCCTCCTCGAACCCTTCGATCCCTTCCCTGCTTCCGACCTCACAGGACTGCGTGTTTTGGTAAAGATTACAGGAAAATGCACAACGGATACCATCTCGGCTGCCGGCCCATGGTTGAAATACAAGGGCCATCTGCCCAACATCAGCGCTAATACGCTGAACACGGCATTCAATGCCGAGACGGGCGAGGTCAACGCAGCATACGATCTTGATGGCAGCAAGCACACCATCCCAGAATTAGGACAGAGGTGGAAGGAAGCCAAACAGCCTTGGCTGGTGGTAGCAGAGCACAACTACGGCGAAGGCAGCGCACGAGAGCATGCTGCCTTGCAACCGCGATATCTTGGGGCGCGCATCGTGCTAACCAAGAGTTTTGCACGCATCCACGAGACGAACCTGAAGAAGCAGGGTGTAGTTCCTTTGACCTTCGCCGACGAGACGGACTACGACCGGATAGGAGCCTGCGACGAAGTCGCCACAGAAGGGCTCTATGATATGCTCCACAATGGGGGCAAAGGTGAGGTGCGGCTGCGAGTTACCAAGCATAAGACTGGCGAGGTAGTCATCATCAAGACTAAGCACGCCATTAGCGTAGACCAAGCCGGGTTTATTCTGGCGGGGAGCGCGTTGAACTTGTTAAGCAAGGGCGCGTAAGGCGTTTTCGTTATACGATTGGGATAGAAGTGATCAAAAATCGGGTGTCAGGCGAAAATAAAGGTATATACCACACATGCACGGCAAGAGCACAGTTTCAAGGTCTGTCACAATTTGGAACGGATAAGGTAACATAAAAATAAATAAAAAATGAATCAATCGAGTGCCTGAGCATTCAAGCCTTGTATACAATAGTGACTGACTGCTACCTGCCTAGCTCAGCCTATGGTGTAAACTACTCGTCACATTTCTATAAACAAATTTCCTTCGAGCCCGGCTGTCTCGTGGTGTTATCTTTCATGAACATTGTATATATATATATATATATAGGTGGGTTGGGTTGCGTGTCTATCTGGTCTGCTCCACTTTCTTCCCATGTATGCATGCAGGCGCGCAGCACTGCCAAACCTGCAAGTCGTAAATGCACAAACTCCGACGCCCTTTCTGTTTTCAAAATACATCGCTCGGTATAGTGTATGGTGATGGATGGCGGGAACATATCGATTGTCCTGGAAGGCGTCGGCGGTTAACCAGGGTTTCTCCCCGAGATGTGATGTTGAGACTGGGAGATGCGAGTTTGGCGGGGTAGTGGACTGACTAAGTCGTGCTAGAGCCACTCCCGAACCTGGCGACAAAGATCCTGCTCAGCTCGCGAAAAGAACGGGATTGTCCTCGACCGCCGTCAGCTGGTGATTATTATCATCGTTCTATGCGTCTTCAGTGACGTCGTGCAGATGACGCGAGGTAGCCAGACTGAAGTGCAGCCAAAGTGCGAGTCTAATAACGTAATCCACCCATAAGCGGGCCACCATTTTTAGCAGAATAAGAGGATGATCAGTAACAGCATAACAAGCAAAGTTGAAGCTATTCACAACGCTATTTTCAACTAAATACATCAGAATCGAGCGGTAATTCCTTCCAAACGCGTTTAGCAAAGGTAACAACGCCCCTAAGGGCTTATCTGCGCTCATTTTTACTCATTGTGAAGGTCAACCCTCGCAGACTCACTACAACCAGGTGACTTACAGCTGGAACACCTGCCATGGCAGTGTCAGATGGGAAGCCAATCATAACCCTTGTAGGAGCCCCGCCAAGCGTGGACGACTTAGTCGCGCTCCCTCAAACCTAAGTTGTCATCTTCTTTCCTTCGCTCCTTAGAGTAGAATCTTCGTCGATAGCACCTAATCGAGGTCTCTACCAATGCGATGCAACCCAGGTCGTGACACTCATTACCTGAGCCTCTCTGTAACGAAACCTCTAATAGTCTACCTGCGTAAACCACTAAAGAGTCTGTAAGGGTTTGTGCTAGTAAGTAAGTCCTGCTGCGGAGTCCTCAAGCAATAATATCGGGGTTTGACGTATGGAGTAGAGTGCTTTGGGTAACTGAAGTATTCAAGTAGGGTAATCGGGAATAGAGTCGTCAAGGCAGTTTGCCTCACCAATGGGTTAGATTGATGCTTAGATTGATCACTGAAGTAGAGACTGTCTATCTATGAAATGCCTGGGAGTCCTGTCCCTTATATACCCATCTCTCCTTCACTGATCCCCACTTGGATATGTTGGTTGTCCAACATATCCAACATATCCACCCCTGTAGGTCACGTGACCTATCGGTCCTTTCCTTCCTCCGATGCGGGGTCCCGTGATCCTAGCGTCTGTATCCACCTGGCCTGCCGACGGGCCTGTAATGTTGGTTCAGGGCCAACGGTTCGTAACACTCTCGCTCCTCTCTCCGGCGCTATTAATCTCGAATCTCTTTAAAAGTTAACACACGTGCAGTACCACAGGCCTTCTTCGTCCTTCTATTTCTACTCTCCTATTGTTTCTTGACGAGGCCCTCGTTAATCTTTTGTAAGGCTAGATTATCTGCTAGAGCTGTTAGGCAAGTCTCTTTAATAAAAGAAACCTTACGCTGTAAGGGGCTATCACAAACAGTGACAAGTTTAGCTACAATCTTATTGATCTGCTGAGCTGTATCCCTATCAACTTGAATATCAACGCGTATACTATTCTCGTCGGGAAGGCTTACAAATGGAGGGGTCTTTGGCCGATACTTGGCGAGGATCTTCGACGGATCTAGTCTCTCCAAGCGCCTGGGATATTGTGGTAGATAGTAGATCTAGCTTGTTGATATAATAATAAGAACTGCGGGTTGTCGACTCGTACGGCACCGAAGATAGACCGTTCAGTGATTAGTGATTTGTACGCCTTTGCCAGAGGGCCGAAGATACCCTTGTCAAGGGGTTGAAGCTCGTAGGTCGAATGGGGGGGTAGGCAGAGAGGAATAATTTGATTTGCCTCGTAGTATTCGACGAATTCAAGGGATACGTGGCTTGTGTGGCCATCTAGAATAAGAAGGCGGTATTGACCACGACACTGCTAACGTGTATACGTATCAAAATGGCGTAGCCAGGTCAAGGCAATCTGTCGATCGGTCTAGCCATTTGGGCTGACGGTCTAGAAAGCTAGTGTACCAGTTGACCCCTAGAGGGTCTATATCTCCTTTAGCTTCTAGTAGGTTTACTGCTAGCCCTTCTACTGCTTTGATAGTTAAGGGCTATCCCCACGCAGCTAACTGAAGCAAGGCTCGTTCGATCGTAGCTTCTTCGGCAGGTAATAATCGCTGTCAGTGTTGGTGGGCGGTGGTCCGGCTCTGGCGGCCTTGAATTCGGGCTTGGAGGGTTGTTCTAGGGACCCTAAAGAGCTCGGCTGCTTTACGTATACTAGGGACTTCCCCAGAACGAATAGGATAGCTTTCTTGATCTGGTCTTCCTGATCCATTTGACGAAAGAATAAAGATGTGGCGATAAAAATCGACGTAGAAATTGATGATGTGGTTGTTCAGTTGAGCCAATTCGACAGAGCCGAAATGGGTGGCCCGCTAATGGGTGTAGCCCGCTTATAGGTGGATTACGTTAACCAAGATCCAGCTCAGCCTCAAGCATCCACCATTTCTACGTCACCCTGGTCATCATCACCGTTTGCATCGATCATCTCCTTCTCCTTGTCCTTGACCTTCTTACGCAGCTCGGCTTCCACGCGCAGCCTCTCCTTGTTCTGCTGCCGCTTTTCTCGGTGATAGTCGGCCGCCATCTCGTCCATCTCGGCCACCGCCGCCATCCACGCCGGGTTGCTACGTACGCGCTCCGGCAGTTCCGTCCTTGGTGGCCCGCCCCTCTCGGCCTCTTCGGCTTTGAGTCGTGCTCTTCGTTCAGCAGGTTTGGCAAAGTGTATCCGCGATTTCCTACTTCCACGGGCTGATATCTCATCCTGCTTGCGGTCGTACCAATCCTCAGTCCGCGCATTTGTCCAATGCACGCGCGGGTCAAAATGCGCGAAGTATCTTGAGGGGCGTACGTCATGCTGAGGTTGGAGGTGATGTGGGAGGTCATAGAGAGCTGTGCCAGAACGTCTCGCCTCGTTCAACGGACCGTAGATCGCCTTATCAAATAGTGCCTCGTCGTGCGTATCGATGAGAAGTTGCTGCCGCTGCTGGGGTGTGAGGGTCTTCCACCCAGGTTCCCGCAAGGCCTGCCGGCGCCTCTCTCGAAGCGGTATGAGAGGCGTGGCCAAGTCAGTGGAGACGCTACCTGCTTTTTTGTTGCCAATTCCCAATCCGCGCCTTGGTTGAGATGTCGAAGTTCGACGACGCACCTCCGAGATACTCTCCTGAGGTTGTAATGTGAGAGGACCACTGCGAGCCCGATTTGTCGTGTCTGAAGAACGGAACAGTTGTGCTAGAGTTGAACCTTTTGTGGCTTCTGGACCAGCTGGCTTCGAGGCATCTCTGGGCTGGTCACCAGCACCATGTTCCACTGATTTGGAATTGCTACCAGTAGTGCTTGCTTCCATTGTCGCCAAATACCACTTATTCATTACCGCCTTGGGAACACGCGGAATTATTCGCCGCGCCTGGGATCCTTGTCGCACATCCGGCAACGTGGCGGATGACTCTAGTGGCGCCATGTCTTTGGAACCTGAAGACCATGTTGAAGCAGGACGAGATGGTTCGGGTTCAACTAAAGTATCGGCTTGCACGCCATTTGCGACAGGACCCGGTTTCGAACGGGCCTGTCCCGGTTGGCCCTGCTCAGTAATTTCACCATTCAAGCTACCGGTCACTCCTACACCACTCCGGTTACCTTTCACTGAGCTCGATGGGGGCCTCGACGTCGGCGGAGGTGAGAGGTTAAACCGTTGGTAAACTTGAGCTGGGGCGCGGGCAGATTGTAGCGCTTTATTTGGCTGTGAAGGAGACCGAGTCCCGCGATGGCTGGTCATCGCTTTAGTGTTGGAATCTCGCTGGCTCTCAACCGGATGACTGCGACTGGAACTGCCCAGGGCTCCGTTCGCAATATTTCTGCCGTTTCCAGCTACGTCGCCATGCGTATGATTTTTCAGTCTGTCGACGGGGTCCCGACCCCTTTCGACCGACGGGCTACTGGTATAGGTTGGTCTTTCTCCATTCATCGATTTCTGACTGCTGTTGACTGGGCGGATGGGAGCATTGTTTTGCAATCCCACGCTGCCGGTATATCGATTACTTGCAGACTCAGGTGAATGGGATGGGGGCCGTCCTTCTGAGCCATTCTCGTCGTCTTCACGGCTCAGATCAATTAAAGTCGGCCCCCTCACATGACCTGCTGCCGCGCCAAGCATCTGCGTACTATCCCCTTGCCTAGCTGACTCGGTCTCCGCTGGTGTTGAATCTTGCTTTAAACTTGGGGTTTTAAGCTGCTTGTCTGGCTTCTGGCCTTGCCGCAGCGCGAACCCAGGCTCGGCACGCAAACCCGACCCATTAGTCACTGGCTGTCCGTTGATTGGCTTTGTCCGGCTCCCATGAGGATCAGCGGACAACCGTTGCTTCTTCATAGGAGGCTGTGTAGGTAGAGCGGCCGAGCCAGTAGCTTTGGTGCTGGAGCCATATGATGTACCTGGCTGTGCCACCGTGATGGACTCTAGTGGAACGAAGCTCGAGCTTGAAGGAAGAGCCTTGGCCGTCTTTCGGGCTGTGGCCTTAGCATTCAACACTTTTGTATTCTGGGGATTCAATGTTGCGTTCGCATGCGATGATGGCGCTTTGGCCGGCCATCCTATAGATGGCTCCTTGTCCGTTCTCTGATCACCATAGGTCACTGGGGCAGCTGTTGAGGCCGAGGTTGATCTTCGCGTGATATGATTTGTGGTCTTTGAGGCAAACTCATTCCGAACCGGGCTTGCTGTCACCGAGGTGATGAAACTAGCAGGAGACTTGACTGGAGAAGAACCATTACCCTTATCTCGGTCCGTGTGCTCTTTGTGACAGGTGCAGATACTGCAGAGAGAAGAGCCAGTGAGAGTAGTCTTTGCACATCCTCTGGAACTGCACTGCTGCCCCATATAGTTAATGCTATTTGTCGTGGACGACGAGCCAGGACGAGTGATGGGAGACTCCTGACCAGAGGCTTGAGAAGATGAAGCTCTACTGGACATTGTCGTGAGCGAAGGAGATGATGCCTTCGCAAACATTGAAGAAGCACTGCGATGAGATCCTTGTGAGGTGGCGAATGTAATGTCATGTTTTTTGTGCTTGTCAGGATAGACACATCTTGCACATACCCAGGTCCTTTTATATACTCGTCAGCAAGTTACAGATGATTGTTGTACATTATGAAATGCGGGGAAGGTGTGGCTTTCCTATTGCCAAGAAATCGTTATTTGGAAGCTCTGATGCAGTAACGAGAAAAAGGTTAGACGTGACTGCGGCGAGAGAACTTACGGGGAATTGTGAGGGGCCGGTGTGTGGCAAGCCGTGTGGTATGAGCATTTGCAACTTGCACAGCGAATAAGCGGTTGGCCTATACCTTCTGGTTTAGCGCACGTTCGACAGGTTCGCGGCATCTAGAAAATTGTTGTGAATCCCATATCATAAATATGAAACCTGCGTAAAACAGCTTAGTAAGAAAAGTCCAAAGCCAAGTGTCGTAGCTTCGAATAGAATGGTAAATGTATGTTCGTCTCAGATCTTTTCAGTTTCTGTTAATCGTCAACCTGCTCACCACAGCGGCTTCAAATCCTTACACCTCGCGGGTAAAAATGGGGATACTGTTCGCCGCAGCCTTTGGCCCAGCCCTATAGAGGTAATGTAGAGCCAGACTCCAAAATCGCGGTAATTGAGTCGATACGACCTAAGTTCTCTGAGTGCACATCGTTTTGAGCCTAGCTGTGCTATAGACGCTGTTGCGGGACAACCAGGTGAATGGAAGCACGAGGACGCGCTTTCCTTGCGGGGTGCGCAGTTGCCAGCGGATATAGAACTCGAAACCAGAAGCGGCCTAATAGCAGTCCGACCTTTTACCAAGATCTCATCATTGACGAAGGGCTAATAAATAGATGAAAATGCAGAGGGCACCCAAACGAGTGGACAAAATATGAAGAATCAGACTTACCAATGCTGTTCGAAGTGGGAATGATATATAAAGTATTGCAATTCGTTGCCCAAGAACTCGCTCGTCGCGCCTTCCTTCCTGATGCCAAACTCACCAGCCGGCGTGGGGTTCTTCGCCTCGCACGCTCATTCAGGCCACCCAGTGACCGTGTCCTGCGACGGCGAGACCGGAATCCAAAGAACGTTAAGGCAAGGTGATATCTCAACAAGTCATCAATTCGAGATCACCACCCATCGTCGGCCTTGCCTGAGGTCGCACGTCGCGCAAGTATTGACAGATATCGTCAACGAAAGCTGGTTGTGGGATTCAGCGCGTAAGGATACATTGATTCATTGATTCACTTGGGAAAGTAATTCGATACAGTGCCAGATTGGCCGATCACATGGCCCGTGCAGAGGACCGGAGCTTATTCGGGCCGTCCTGCCTCTCTTGGATTGATCGAATTAATTTCTTTAACCGAGCTAAACAGCCTGTCAAACCAAGATTTGAAATCTCTCAAGACAGTCCAGTTACCATCATGTTGGGTTATCGCAACTCTCACAATAAAGTGGGCATCGTGCTTCCTCACCATAGCTTCAGAGATGGATTTGGGTCCGTTCAAAGCAAATCTGCCCTATTGATTGGACAACGGTGAGCCTGCCAGAGAGGGACAAAATCCTATCGCTTACCCCGACCCTAGGCCTCTCCCATTCAGCTGAAACCGATAATAGCGAACGCACTTGAATCCGACAGGCTCCCATGTCGATCATGTCGGCGACCCTGTCGAGTAATCACGAGTCCTGGACACAAACGAAAAAGAAGCCGTGGTGCCGGCTTCTCACATATGACAGCTCCGGAGCCACCTGCCTGAGGTCCACCTAAGCTTGCCTAGCACCGGCTGCAATAATGGTCAACAATACGAAGGGGCGGGGCCGATTCCACTATCATCATAATATCATTGCGCTATATGCACACGATTGCTCTTAGTGAGATCACAGACCAAGGTTTCGACAAGGAGTTTCTAGGACGATCCACCTACTATTTCAAGTGCGATAATTGGCCGCTGACGACTTTCGCAATTTTTGTATCTTACTTCGCTATAATCCAGATCCCAGACTCGATGGCCCTCGGAACGTTTTTAATCCTGATGCGGTAAGTTGATATATCCTAACGTATAAAAGCTCGGCAAAGTCTATCCCTCTGGACCAATTTTGTTAGAGAACGCCTGCGGTAGAGAACATAACCTTTTTTCGGCTGTAGGTATATTTGTCACAGGTGGTGTGTGCGTAGCCACCATTTCGTTCTAGCCCACTAGCACTAGCCTAGATTTCCTAACACACAGATAGGTGTGCCCTAACAGGTTATATGCCCTGGCGCTAACGCACATTACGAAGAATCGTTATTCTGAAGCGATAATTTGTATTTATTATCTTTCCGATTAGGTACCGATCTTTTCGTCTTCTAATTCGGTCTTATTTTCGCGAATTTTAGCCTTCGAATGTCCGTTACGTAAGGTACATGAAATTACTATAACCCGTCGGCTGGTGTAGTTGGTCACTTCGCTGGTAGATAAGTCCCGATTTGAGCCTCGCCCACTTGGGTCGGTGACGAGTCGCGGGTTCGAATCCCGCAGCTGACACACAAGGGGGTTTAGTCAACCCTTACGGCGCGCTGCCCACCTTGTTGACTTCGCCTACCTAGCAATAATAGGGAGATTGGTGCAGTTTAGGATTACGAGCATCCTAGCCAGTCGACCGTCAAGCACTACGTCGGCGGAATATAACTCGACAGCCGGTCCAGAATTCGAATCGTTAATCCGACCCCTTATCGGACCTCGCCTTTCCGATAACGCTCGTCGGCGAACCCGTCCCCTCCCGATAGAAGGCGCGCAGCACGCCCTCTCGCCGCGATTCTTGCGAGCGTCTGACCACGTTACGGTCTATCCACTTGAGCGTATGGTTGAGATGTATACGCTCGACGAGAACCCCAATTAGCAGATACTACGACTTGTCGCGACAAAAAAATAGTCGAGCATCTTCTGCACATCAGCAGCATCCCACCCCTGAGGACGAATTTAAGTGTCACATTACCACACTTATCGGTAGTTCAGGCAAGGGTTGTAGCACAGACTTAGGGAGGGACAGGAGGTTTAGTAGTCGTTTGGCTACAAGTTTACCTGTATAACCGCCCGACGCGGCTTAAGGGCCCGCTATATCATCTATAGCCCCTTAAGGGAGTACTTGTAGAGGTACCGAGGGTTAACACCTACGGCGTATTTAATATTATTTATTTTACTATAACCTACAACGCGAACATTACTACACTTTTAGTAAATAGTGACGACGGGCAGTGAAGCCACCCGCAGGTTCAAGGTGTTGTGATGATGGCAACGGACAACAAGATCCTTAACAAGACCTTACTGTCCGGGAGGTGGAAAGAATAACAAGATCGAGAGCTTTCTTGCTCCGATCAGAACAACAAGTACCTCAACAGGTCCCTTGAACAATCACCTCAACAGGTGAAAGATGGGAACAATGGCCTCAGCAGGCACAATCAGATCTATAGGGGCAACAGAAGAAGTACCTCAACAGGTACGTCAGACAATAAATGCCTCCACAAGTGAAGAGAAATGGTTCAGATTACTGTGGAAAGGGCCGTGTAGCGGGGATACCACACGTCTCACAATATAATAGTCAGGTAGTGCAAAGGGTAGCTAGAAGTAGGCCAGTGTATGGGTGCGTGTATTGCAAGACTGATTCTTGAGTGTAAGGGTCAAGGGTAATGTCGATGCAATTAGCCTAGCCTACTCTACGAGTACTATCCATCTATGAAGAGAAAAACATTAGATACATTCAGTGTGGTGAACCCTTCTCCCTTTTATACTTCTGTCCTCCCGTCTCGTCATTTCAGGAATCTTCGAGAAGTGAAGCTATTCGGAGACTTCTGTGGGTCTTTCTGGCCGAAGGCGTCGCAGAGGCCACATACCGGTCATAGACCGTGACAATTATCCCCCTCCTTTTCCAGCATGAGCATCTAACAGTTGACGTAAGTCGTTGGTTTTCAAGAGGTATTCATCTAGGGCCGTTGTCTCGTCGAATTCCTCCAGCGGTTCCCAAGTTGGCTTGGTATACCCTTTCCATTTGACTAACACTGTGATCTTCTTCGTCCTGCGGTTCTGCTTGTGCTTTAACATATTCTCGACGTAATAGACCTCCTCGTTGTCTTCGTGTCGAATAGCCAGGGGCTGCGGTTCCAGGACTTGTTGAGATGTCAAGGGGTCGTTGCCAGCTCGTTTGATTTGCACAACGTGAAATACGTCATGGATGCCCCTGGGAGTGTTAAGTCGGACGGCATGCGACCCAACGAGTTCTGTTACCATATATTTGGCATTCTTCAAGTCCAGTTTCTTCGAAGGTCGATCTGTCTTGATGTTCTGAAGATTAAGCCAAACTTTGTCTCCGATCTTATATTGCTCCGAGGTTTGTCGATGATTGTTCGCATATTCCTCGTACTGATCCTGAGCACTGGCTATCATAGCTTGTGCCATCTCCGAGGCTTCTTGAAGCCTGGCTACGAAAGCTTCTCCCTTGGCGACGGGGGATTGTCCTGTCGTTCGTAGTTTCTCCTTGGTTTCGATGAGGTCGACATGATAGCCATGTGTTGCAAAGAAGGGACTCATTCCAGTTGACCGTGCCGTTCGGTTGTTAATGGCTAGCATAGCAACAGCTAGTATTTCTGCCCAGTCTTCTTGGAAATAAGATGTAAAACATCTTAGGTACGCTTCGAGCTCCTGGTTCATCCTCTCAGTAGCACCATCAGTCTCGGGATGATATGCTGTCGACAGCCGCCTTTTGATCTTTATAAGCTTGCAAATACGCCGCCACATGTAGGAGACGAATTGTGGCCCTCTATCAGACACAATAGCTTTAGGGAATCCATGATGCCGAATTAAGCAGTCCTTTAAGGCTCGGGCTACTGCTTCTGTTGTGATCTCATTCATTGGCTCAAAGATGACACTTTTGAACAGTCTATCTGTGATGACCATCACGAAGGTGTTATTGTCCG